CTTTGGCCTGAACCAGCCCTGGCTTCTGAAGGCATTCGGAGATTCGGTCAAAAGGTGGGAATTTTCTTTGTATGCCTTAAATAAATGAATAAATAAAAATTTAAAACAATAAAAACTAAAATAGTCTAAATAGCTATAAGAAATTGAAAGTGTGCTGTGCTGCTATTCTTGCTGTCCCATTTTTGCCCAACATAGCTCTGATTATAAGCTGTTGCGGAGGCTAGCATTGTGGTATAACAGATAAAGTTACCACCTGTAATGCTGGCATTCTGTATGGGTGGGCACTGGTCCATACCCTGAAGTTCCATTTCTGGTCCAGGTCCCCCCTAATGTCCTGAGAAAGGATAGAGGAGGCCCCAGGGGTATGGTGCCTGCCAGCCAAGTAGAAGACCTGGGTGAAGCTCCTGGCTCCTGCCTGGTCCCAGCCCTGGCTGTTGGCTGCCGTCTGGGGAATGAAGCCGTGCACAGATCTCTCGGGGCAGGTGTGATAGTTCAACTGGCTAATCTTCTACCTTGTAGTGCCAGCATCTCATATGCGAGTCAGTTCATGTCCCGGAAGAGCTTTCTCTCTGTCTTTCCTTCGCTCTGTAAATCTGCCTTTCCAGTACTTTCCAATAAAAATAAAACAAATCTTAAAAAAAAAAAAAAACCTTCCCCCTTCCCCAGCTACAGTCAGCCACCTAGGTTGCAATGTACCTAGGCAAGTGTTACAGTGTTGGGAGAAAAGCAGGTAATAGTTGATGGGCATCCTGGGCCTGGCTAATGCCAGATTTGTGTTAACTTGCCAGCATAGTTGCCCGTTCTGCTTTTTACTTCTTCCTTCTTGGCTTCTTTTTTTTAATGCCTGGAGGGCAGGTGCCGGGACACCATCACACAGCATCTGGAGACCCATGTGTAACTGTATGGGGACTATGGGGAGGAAGGCAGGGCTCCAGGCTGGCACGGCACACTGCCAGAAGGCTGTGCTTCGGCATCTGCATGCTTGTGGGCATGGAGTCAGGGGAGGGGGCTGTGGATTGCTCAGGGAAGAGGATCTAGGGATGTGTGGGAGGGAGAACTGCTCAAAGAGAACATGACAGACAAGAAGTGACTTCTAGGGAACTTCCACTGACTGTACTTGCAGGTGAATGAGTGGGTTGAGACCTGGTGGTTTGGTGGAGGGAAACTAGAGAAGCTTGCAGGGTCAAACCCACCCACCCACCCACGTGGGAAACATGATCTGGGCTTATTGGTTCAACCAACACCTACTGGCATGCATGAAAGTCATGGTTGAGGGGCCTGCCTGGCAGGGCTTGACCACACAACCCACCAGTGAGTGTCAGGGTAGGGTGTGGACCATGTTAGGCTGGACACAACATTAATCAGCTCACAAGAGAGCAGATTCAGCTGCCATACCAGCTGGTTTGCCATGCCAGCTGGGGGTGGTGATAGGCTGCACTAGCAAAGATCATGGAACTCACCAAAATTCCTGAGTACTGGGGTTGGGCTGGTCCAGCTGTAGACCCACAGGCGCACCCAAGAATTGGGTGTGGGGCTAGCTAGACCATAACATCCGCCAGCACACACAAAGGCCTAGAGTAGGGCAGGCTGTGCCGGGTAAAGGCTTAGCACTACCAGTGGACCATTGATCCCGTTAGTGAGCATGTGGTTCAGACCTGGGTGTTGATCAGGCTGTCCTGGGAGAAAAAAGATGGCATATAATCAGTTAACACAGGCCTAAAATAATGTCATTGATTTTATGACCTGAGGAATGACTTGTTCTTAATACCACAATAGAAACTTTCCACTTTTTATTCTGTTTCTGTTATATTTATCACTTGGATTCATTTAATGTGACACTAATGTCTCATAACTTTGTAAAAATCAAATCTTTTATAATGCAAAGCATTTGTTTGGTAATGTATGTGTATATTGTAATAATTGTTAAATATAGATTATTAATATGGTCTAATAGAGTTTAAATTTTAAACAAAAGCTTCATCCTTATCCAGATATATTCCAATTTTTTATAAAGCAAGCAACATAAGGGTTTTTTTTTAAGATTTATTTTTATTATTTTTTTTTATTGGAAAGGCGGATATACAGAGAGGAGAGACAGAGAGGAAGATCTTCCGTCCGATGATTCACTCCCCAAGTGAGCACAATGGTCGATGCTATGCCGATCCAAAGCCAGGAGCTTCTTCCAGGTCTCCTGCGCGGGTGCAGGGTCCCAAAGCTTTGGGCCGTCCTCCACTGCTTTCCCGGGCCACAGGCAGGGAGCTGGAAGGGAAGCGGGGCTGCTGGGATAGAACCGGCTCCCATATGGGATCCCGGGTGTGCAAGGTGAGGAACTTAACCACTGTGCCATCGCGCCGGGCCCACAACATAAGGGTTTTAAGAAGTTTCTGCAGTTGTCATTTCAAGAATGAGATTTTTTTGTTTTTACAATCTGCGTGAGGAGTCTTTCTAAATGATGTGCTTAGATTTCTGATTCTATTTGCAGATAATACATTCGGTAGTGTTCTCGTTGGTTTATTTTTAAGAATGAGCCTGCTGTCCACAGTAGTATGGATGCATTCCAGTGGCTTAATCCTGTATCAATACAGGCAGCTGGTCTTGCACCTGTTCCTGAGGGAGACAGGAGGTGGGATAACGAGGTCATTGCTAAATAACTTGAAAAAGGTTTAAATGTGATAGAATTTATATTCTGCAAGGCTAATGGTTAGCTATGAGAATGCTTTAAGAAAGTTTTGGAGAGAAAAGAATTAAAGACAAGTTTATTTTAGTGCAAAAATTCTGAAATTGTGCAGTTTTTTTCATAATACACATTCTCTGTGTACTTTTATAATATTTTTCTATTTTCTTGTATTGTTTTTATGACTAAAACATCTTTGTTAATTAAGCTAATTTTTTTCACCTACCAAAAATAATATAAAATATTATGTTTTATCCTATCAGTAACACTTATCATATTTTGATTATCATCAACAAGATTTAGTGTTTTGTATTGTACATTTACTGGCCATCTTTGTAATTGGCCTAATTAACAGTTGTGGTAATTCTAGCAGTGTATTTCCTCTTTTGAAGACAGAAGGGAACTTGCAATTCTTCAGTTTATTTTGTTTTTATGATCTGTTTATTTTATTGGAAAGACAGATTTACAGAGAAAAGGAGAGACAGAGAGAAAGGTCTTCCATCCACTGGTTCACTCCTTAAATGACCGCAAAGGCCAGAGCTGAACCTATCCAAAGCCAGGAGCGAGGAGCCTCTTCTGGGTCTCCCACATGGGTATCGGGGTCCCCAAAGCTTTAGGCGGTCCTCCAGTGCTGTCCCTGGCCACAGGAGGTTGCTGGACTGGAAGTGGAGCAGCCGGGACAGAAGCCAGCACAAGTATGGGATGCTGGTGCTGCAAGGCGGAGGATTAGCCAGTGCAGCATTGCACTGCACTTATTGTTGTTCTTGAAACAATTAAATGCTTAAACTTAGGGATTAGGTAGTGAATTGTTGCTTCAAATACAAGTTGGAAAATGTATTGCATTAAAAAAGGAAGTTTCTAAATAATCAAATGCCAAAACATTTATAACCTTAGTTCCACTAATGCTGTATGGTTGTTTTCTTCTGTATTCATTTACTGTGCCTAATAATACCAGATAATTAAAGAAAACTTGCTTGGCTTTGCTCCAAAAAGGTATGCATAATTTTCCTTTCATAAAAATAGATCATTTTGTAGTACCACCTTGTACCTACTACCATGCCATGGTTATCTTTATTAGTGATAATAGCTTACATTAATTTTTTTAATGTATTTATTTTGAAGTAGAGGAGGAAAAGGTTCCCCTCTCTCAGTTCACTGTCCAGATGCCCTCCGTGGCAGTCACCCACACTGGTGGCAGAAGCCCGGTCCCTGGCACTGTCACTGCTGTCTCCCAGGCCTGTGTCAGCAGGAGACTGAAGTCCGGGAGCAGGGCCGGGAGCAGAGCCAGGAGCTGAGCCTGGGCACTCTGACGGGACATGGCGTCTTAACCGGCATCTTCACAGCCCGGCCGGGCTCTGTTGTGTTGGTCTCTCCAGTGTGGATTTGCTGGCTGACCCAGTACTGCCTGAGTGATGTTAGCGAGCGCTCTGTGGTAAAGAACATGGGATAATATGGAAAGACTTGTTAGCTTTTCCAATTTTCTTTTAGTTCATCTGCTGTTGATAAACCGAAGTCTGTTTCATTCTCATATAACCATAACAGCTTTTAATATTTGCCCGTTTGTCTCACAACCTTCAGTGAGTATCTAATTAAAAGGCAGGAAATAACTTTTTTCATTATGTTTGCTTACTTTTTAAAAAGGTCATAAGTGATACTTTTTAATTTAGACTAAGGGCTGAAAATCTTTAAAAATAAAAATTTTAAATAAGAAAAATAGACTAGCTAAAACATTGACTTAAATGATATATGTAGGTACCCCTAAGATATGGCAGAAATTCTGGTGATGATATGCAAATGATTCAGAATTGGAAAATACTGCTTTTTGATAAGTTTGAATTATTTCTATTTTTTTCTGCTATGAAAGGTCTTCACTGACCATATGTAAAGCAGAATATTTTTGCATTGGCTAATTTTCTTCACCGTAAAGCAGTAGAGCTCCCGGAAATCCTGCAGTTCAGGTGTGTTAGGAACTGCATTTGTATGTGTGGTGTTCATGTAATCTAGAGTCTAATGCTTGTCGTCGCACCCTAGGGCGCCTAAGAGATCTTACTTCCCCTCACTCTGCCTCTGGGTTAATTTTCTTTGTTTCTGGAATGACGTTTTTAGCTCTAACTTCTCGAAATTTTAATATGTTCACTCAGAAATACCTAGTTCCTTTGGAATCCAATACTTTTTCTTTTGCAATCTCAACTTTATCCTTATTTTAAAGATTTTAACAGTTATTTTGTCATCATTTTTATTTAGCGTTTGATCTCTTAAAGAAACTCCACAGCAACAAAGCAAAATCATCTTTTTGACATTGACAGAAGTTTCTTTTTTTCTGTAGCTTGCCCAGTTTCGACAGAGGAAAGCCCAGTCTGATGGACAGAATCCTTCCAAGAAGCAGAAAAAAAAGAGGAAAACCTCAAGCAGTAAACAGGACGTGTCGGCATACCATGACCAGTCCCAGGAGGAGGAGAGGAGTCTGAGCAGTTGTCAGGGGGTGGGACCCACTGGGACTCCGGAGCCCACAGCAAGGGGAACTCTGTGCAGTGGGGAGACGATGCAGACCGACCAGGTCTTCTCTGCCGAGGTGAGTGACCGTCCAGATGGTAAACACGATGGTTGTAGGTGGGAAGTAGTTGGAATGACAGCAGTCACCAACACCCTGTGTGATTTCACTTGTTGGTGATGTTTGTGGCATTTTGAAAGTTGTGTTAGTGTGTTAGCTAGTCATGCTTGAAATATTCCATAGCCTCTGGAAAAGTTTTGTGCATGATTGAACAAGCACTTCCTGAGCAGCTAATACACCAAGGATTGAGCGCAATGCAAGGATGAGTGTGACAGACCCTACTTTTTAAGGAAGTCATTCTTGCCCAGAGTGCAAATAGGAAGATAATGTGGTCTGTACTCTGATTGGAGCTATGTTATCAGCAGGGCGCACAGCATGTCCAAGCAAGTCTGGTGTATGACATTGAGAAAGATGGTAATGAAGTTGTGAGAGAGCTGGGCTTTGCCGTATGAGTTGAAGTTAATTAGAACCAGAGAAGTGGAGAAGCAGCAGTGTTTGCCAAGGCAGGAGCAGTTGTCGAGATTTTAGCTGGCTCCTGAAGTGAAAGGACAGTGTGGTGGTGGTGGTGAGGGGCTGGAGATTACACTTGACCTGTTGTAGCTGCTTCATCAATGTTAATTCCATCCATCCGCCTAGCCTGCTCGAGGATGTCATGTTCCAGGGTAAAGAAATGGAGGGAGCAGGTACTTGGTGCAATAGTTGAGGCCTCTTCGGATGCCTGCATCCCATGTAAGAGTGCCTGGGTTCAAGTCCCAGCCTCAGCTCCAGAATCTAGCTTCCTGCTGATGCATACCCTACAAGGCAATGGGTAATGACTCAAGTCCTGGGTCCTTGACATCCAGGGCGGGGGACCCAGCTTGAGTTCCAGTCTCCTGGCTTTGGCCTGGCCAACATGTGGCTATTTGAGGCATTTGGGGAGTGATCCAGATGACCACCTCTCTGTCACAGTCTCTCTGCCTTCCAAATATGTATGTTTCTATTTTAAAGTAAGCAGATTAAAAAAAAATTCTGACCATCATTGTACAAAAAGAGGGGTGAGGGAGAAGGAAAGGGTTTTTTGGATGTGGGGCCACCAACAGGCCCAGGAACAGAAGGTGGATTGCTTAGGTGGAGGAGTGCTGGATGGGGAGGGAGATAGGTTGCATTTGGATAGTGCCTTGGCCAATTTCTGTGGAGTCAGCAGGATGTGGATACAGAGATTGAGCCTTGGGGTGGCCATGAGGGTGTGTTCTCCATCCTTAGGGTGGGAGAGCTCATCATGGAAGAGTAAGGATGCCATGGGAAAAGAATGGGTTGGAACTTGGAGACAGAACTATGGGTTTTGTCTCAGTTACTCATTCTTCAAATACAGGCATTCCTTAGTGTATTTTGTGTTCCATGGAGTTACTTGAGTGGTGAAATAGCAAATACTGAATCTTTGCTGTTAAGGGAAATTAAAGGTTCCCGTGAGCCACTGGACACCACATTTTTTATCAACTAATTGATGTGTAATCATCTTTTTTTATTATTGGAAAGTCAGAATCACAGAGAGAAGGGGAGACAGAGAAAAGGATTGTCCATCCACTGGTTCTTTTGAGTGTGTGTTTCAGTATTGTTGATGCATTTACATTTCACCCTTTTCCACCATCAGTGTACCTCACCTGAACAAAGCTTATCTAATACATATTTTCTTCACAAAGCACACTGCAACCTCCTGCTCTTAGGATCAGTAGAGAGCACTTTAGTTGGGACTATTTTATCGGTGGAACCATCCACAGAAATGTGACACCAGAAAGAATAGCAGGGGCACAGGGGCATTACAGAGCTGAAACAGGAAGGCAGTGTTGCCTTGTTTGGCCTCAGCTAGAAATGTGTGCTGCTCATGTCTGCAAGTGACCATGAATGTGCTGCAACTGTTGCTGTGGGGATTACCAGTACATTTTACCAAGGAGGTGAACTCCCAGATGCAGTCTCGGAATAATGTGGATCAGCTGCATTCTTAGTGAACACAAGATGTGCTATTGCAATCTTTTACTATTCTCTCTCTTGGTGTGTCCTTGCATGCATTGAGTTTTAAATTTTGATGTAGTTGCTTGTATTTTTTTTTTAGTTGCTTGTGCTCTTGGTGTTAGATACTAAGACTACAATTGTTAAAACCAAGATTGTGAAGATAAACATCTACATTTATAATTTAAATTATTTTTTAATTTTGCAATTTTAATTCTTACATGTTGGTCTCTGATCCACTTTTTCGTTTTAATTGATCTACCTTGAATTTTGCTGCTACTTTCTTCTTTCTGCTTAGATGATCTTGTTGTGTGTGTGTGTATAATAAATTAGCATTTGGGGTCTTCACTATATGCAGTGGTAAACTTGTTGGCCTCTTCAGTTTTAGAGCCACAGTTTCTAGTACAGAGTACACACCTAACCAGTCACTGTGGGGAGCCGTGGCATAGAAACGCTCTGGCTTTTAGAGAGGGCTTTGCCTCCCGAGTCAGGAGCTGCTGTTAGCAGGATTTTAGAGAAGACAGAGGTTAGTTCTGTTCCTGGCACAGGAAGAAGGTCAGTTAGAAAAAACGTGGTCTTGCATGTTGAATACCTTGGGTAAAGAATGGAGACGGTGACAGTGTTTGTTAAAGGATCTGACTTTCCGTAGGCAGAAAGGTGCAGATGCCGTGAGAGGGCATAGACCAAGGTAGGACCTGTGGAATCGCTTTGCGTTTGTTCCTTGACCCTTCCTACAGCTTCTCAGCTGAAGGGGAAATTGGAAAAATCACTCACTTTGGAAAGTGGTTTTTGTTATTTTTCAGTTTATTACCTTTTAGGCATGAAGATTTGATGACTCTTGAAGAAACTGAACTTTTCTGACATTGTGTTAGGACTTTCAAAGAAGCGCAGATATTGTAGGAATTGTGTTTCATTTGGTGCTTTTGGCTTATTTATGTAGCGTCTAGGACCCTGTGTGCTAGTATCCTGTGATACTGTTACATTTTAAATAGTGCCTAGTGAGAAGCATTCAATGCACTAGTTAGCCATTTTGTTTCATAATTCCAGTACATTTAAAAATATTTGAATAATTTTCACGAGTTTCTTTTTAGTATTTTATGTAAGTATGATACTTAACAAGAGGGAAAAAAAGCCATGTGATTTTAATTGATTTTTACTTTTGTTTTAGCCAGAGAGTGAAATTTCAACTACTGCAGATGATTACAGTTCAGAGGTAAGACAATTACGATTTAAAATGCATAAATAGCATTTATACTTTACATTATTGACATTATTGGTTGTTGGTGCTTTATTTCTTGTAACTTGCTCACTTGTACTGTAATTTGTAATGCAATATAGTATGACTAGAAAACTTGAAGATTAGTGTTAGCTCACGGGCAAGGTCTCGGGTCTGTCTGAGTAACTCAGCCCTTAGTCAGGTGTAAGCCTCGTTTTAGTTCCTGGCCGTGCGATACTGGATTTCTAAGATAAGTTACTGTTGAAAGGTGTCGGTATTTAGCACAATAAAAATTTTATGGGATACTTTGTTTTGAATAATTTTTTAAATGCTTGGATTCTAATTAATCATATAACTCACTTATTGAGATTAATGTTGGTGATTATAATTGTAGTTTAGGTGGTGAAGACTAATCTGTGCGCTGGGGGCGTTATTGTGTACTGTCCTGGTACTATCTGTCATTTTGTTACACCTTTTTTGTTATTCTTTTAGACATGAATGTCATTTCTTTTTTCCAGAATTTGATGCATGGAAAACATGTATTCATTTAAGAACAGGATTTTTTTTCCCTATTACCAAACTGCTCTAAATTGAGACTTGTGAAATACGCGTTGCTATTGAACCATACAGAGTAAGGAGGAGTTCTCCGTGTTGTCAAGATGTTAATGGGAGCAAAACTTGTACACTTCAGAAGCTTCATGTGTTTAAAAGCTAAGAATATACTTCTTAGTTTCCGGTCAAGGAAATAATTAGCCAGTGTTAGATCAGTACTCAACGCCTGGTTTCAGCTTTGTGAAGTTGTCCTTAGTGGAGTATCTTGAGTTCAAATCTTCGCTTGCAGTTCAGGATCTGTCCTGTAGCTTTACGTTGCAGCTTGTTTGTGACAACTCCTATTCTAAGTGCTTTAGAGTAGAGTTTTTTTACATACCAATTAGCCACAAATTAGATCATTGCTTGCATGCCACAAAATTTGGCTGATTTTCTCACATTGGGGTAATAGAGAAAAAGTTAATTTTATTAATACAGATTTGAAATACTAAACACATCAAAAGATGATAATTTTTAGATACTCTGTATGAAAATTTAATAGAGGATTCCTATTACAATGCAACATTACTCATCTACATTTTTTAGATTAGAATATTGTTGCAGATTATGAAATCCAGAAAATTAAATTGAAATTATTTGTGGGGCTGGTGCTGTGGTATAGTATAAGCCTCCAGCTATGGTGCCAACATCACATATGGGTACCGTTTGAGTCCCAGGTGCTGTACTTCGATCTAGTTTCCTGTTAATGGCCAGGAAAGCAACGGAAGATGGCCCAGCGACTCGGACACCTGGTTTCTGACTTCTGACCAGCTCAGCTCTGGCTGTCTTAGCCATTTGAGTAATGCAGCAATGGATTAAAGATCTGTCTCTCTCTCTCTCTCTCTGACTCTCTCTCTTTGTCTTTCTCTCTAACTCTGCCTTTCAAATAAAAAAAAATAATTTTAAGTTAAATATATTTATTAAAAAATAAATAATTGGTCTGGGATACCTAGCATATATGATGTGTTCAAAGTAAGGCACAAATGGGTTTTATTCAAAATTTTTTTTAGGATTTATTCATTTACTTATTTATTTTAATTGGAAAGGCAGATATACAGAAAAAGGAGAGACAGAGAGAAAGGTCTTCTATCTGATGGGTTACTCCTCAATTGACTTACAGTGGCCAGAGCTAAGCTGATCTAAAGCCAGGAACCAGGAGCGGCTTCTGGTTCTCCCATGTGGGTGCAGGGTCGCAAGGCCTTGGGCCATCCTCTGTTGCTTTCCCAGGTCACAAACAGGGAGCTGGATGGTAAGTGGACAACCAGAACATGAACTAGTACACCCATATAGGATCCCAGCAGTTGCAAGGTGAGGATTTTAACAACTAGGCTACTACGCCAGACCCTATTTCAAATTGTTTTACTTTTTTTTTTAATATGGTTTGCATAATTAAGTGGGATGCATGCCCGTGTGTGCCTCTCATTAACTCATTAGAGTGGGGAGGGCTAGTTATGGAGGAAGGTGGGTGGGACGTGTGTGTGTGTGCGCACACACTCACATGCGTGTGTTTTCCTCCTGTGTAGAACATACTTTCAGTTGTTATTTTCCCCTCCTGTGTCTACAGAAAGGGAGGGGGAGAAGGTCACTCCTTGTTGTCAAACTGTATCAGCAGTGGGGATGGGGAACATCAGTTGACGCTCAGAGAGACTTGCTGCCCACCTCACAGGTATCAGCAACTGAGGAGGCCTAGTCCTGATACGTGGACCCCAAGCTTGGACCACACATCATGTGATTTTTCCTGTGGCCAGGGCCTGAGTCCAGTGGTGTAACTGGGTAGTCTCATGAGAAAGCTCATCAGGGTGACCTCAGAATTGATTCTTAGGTGTGTCAGCCAGTACAAGATCAGAGTCAGACTGTCACCTGCATCAATCAGCACACATACCAGTGGATGCAGCTGTCTAGTCAGTTCCACCCTCAGCCCCATCTCTCATATGAACTGACAGGTGCTGTGGCCCAGCCCAGCCTGCCACAGATCCAGTCTACATACATACCACCAGTATGTGCCATGGCCAAGTCATGGAAACCCCAGTAACTCCCACCAGGCCTATTCCCAGCCCTGGATTTTGTGTGTGCCAGCCTCTGGTGTGGCTTAGGCCAGCCCAACCTATATCCCATCTGGCTCTCATGCATACCTGTGGGTGCTGTAGCTTAGTTCAGCCTGACCTGCCCCCAGACCCAAACCTCACGTATGTCGACAGGTTCATGTGCTCACAGCAACAGATACAGCCTAGCAGGGAAGTGCCCACAGTTCTCCTGCCAGACATGTTTCTAGCCACTGATTTTGTGTCTGCCAGGGGTTACTACGGTCCAGTCTGAGATGACTTGTACCCAGTCCCGGCAACTGCTAACTGGTGATCTAGCCCAGTTTGTATGCATTCTGGCTTTTGTGTACCCCAGTAGGTGAAGCAGCCTATCCTAGCCACCAGTCCCAGCTTTTTTTTTGTTTTTTTTTTTTTGGAAAGGCGCATTTACAGAGAAAAAGATCTGTGTGCTGGATCATTCCCCAAATTCCTCAACAGCCAGAATTGAGCCAATCCGAAGCCAGGAGCCAGGAGCTTCCTTGGTGTCTTTAATACAGGTGCAGGGCACCAAGGCTTTGGGCCGTCCTTGACTGCTTTCCCAGGCCACAAGCAGGGAGCTGGATGGAAAGTGGGGCAACAGGAGAATGAAATCACCAAGAGGAACATTTATCAAAACAAATCACCATGGTTAGATAAGACATGACTGTATTAATTATGGCTATAGAAAACATTAAATAATTCCTGGCTATTCAGACTTTAGCCAATCCAGTTAATGATGTTAGATCAGAGTGTCTGATCTAGGATTTTGGGAGACTTCATTTTTTTTTTAATAAAGATTTTTTTGTTGGAAAGTCAGATACACAGAGAGGAGGAGAGACAGAAAGGAAGGTCTTCCATTTGCTGATTGACTTTCTAAGTGGCCGCAGTGGTTGGAAGTAAGTTGATCTGAAGCAGGAGCCCAGAGCCTCTTAAGGGTCTCACGCAGGTGCAGGGTCCCGAGATTTTGGGTTGTGCTTGACTGCTTTGCCAGGCCACAAGCAGGGAGCTGGATAGGAAAGGGGGCTGCTGGGATTAGAACTGGTATCCATATGGGATCCCAGTACATGCAAGGTGAAGACTTTAGCTGTTAGAATACTACGTTGGGTCGAATTTTGGGAGACTTCTAAGCCACATTTATATGTGGAGGAGGCAGAAGAGAGTAAAGTCCTCACGTAGCATGTGTCAGGACCCTATATGGACACTGATTTGTATCCCAGCTGCTCAACTTCCCTTCCATCTCCCTGCTTGTGGCCTGGGAAAGCAGTTGAGGATGCCCCAAAGTCTTGGGAACCTACATCTGCAGGTTGGGAGACCTGGAAGAAGCTCCTGGCTTTGGATCATCTTAGCTCTGGCTGTTACAGCCACTTGAGGAGTGAACCGGCAGAGGGAATATCCTTCTCTGTCTCTCTTTCTCTCTGTGTATCTGCCTTTCCACTTAAAAAAAAGTCTTAAAAAAGGAATAAAGTCTTAATTATGAATAAAGGGCGAGTTATTCTTTAGCATTTTTAGACTAGTGTTCACTGAAAGAATAAGATTTTGTGTGATGACTGTTCAACAGCTATGTAACCAAAATTGTGTTTCCTCAGATTAGCTTGCCTAGAACACTCAAAAATTTTAAAGTTTAACATGTATCTTACTTGCAGGTTTGATATCTTTAAGTTGTGTGTAAAGATGGAATAAATCTTCTGGAACTTAGAAAACACATAGAAATATTAGCACAGCATAAAGGCTCAATACTGGCAAGTGCTCTAGTCAATGGCATTGAGGAAAGTTAACCTGCTTTCATTGAGTCCTACTAATCCAAACTTCATATTTCAGGTTACTTTCATATTACGCATATTGCGACTACCAAATGTAGTGTTAGAAATCTAATATTAGAAGAAAGACTTCTTTCTACTTTAATTAGCAAGAAAATAATTACATTAAAAATAATTGAATGCTAATTATTAATTATTGTTAATATTCCTTTGAGTATCCCTATTCTTTGGAATATAGTTTGCTTTTGTTTAGTTTGGGTTAATTATATTTTATAGTCTATTTTTATGTACAAATTTTAAATTTAATATTGACAAGATTTTTACATTGTAATTACAGTTAAGTTTTAAAAACCGGGCATGTGGTTTAAGAAGTTAAAATATTAAATTTGCTCAACTATTTTGGGAAAAAAATTAAGCTGAACATTGGCTAAGATTGTACGATTATTGTAAGCACATAATTTATGTAATATGAGAATATTACCACTTTATCTGTTATTTAATATGATACTTGAAGATATTCATAATCATTTTATTATGCTGTTATCAGAATGCTTCATTTTGGAGTTGAGAAAAGGTAATTGAAAATTCTAAGTGTTAAATTTGGAACTTACCTCAAATGACTTGTGTTAATAATTAATTTAAGTGTTACTCCAGCCTGAGATGGCCCTGTTGGGCCGAGCCAGGCAACCAAAGCCTGGAGCCAGGAGCTCCTTTCTAGTCTCCCATGTGGGCCCCAAACCCATATGGTCTCTAAGGCCCAAACCCTTAGATCATTTTCCACTGATTTTCCCAGGTGCATTAGCAGGCAGCTGGATCCCAAGTGGAGGAGCAGACAAGATTCGTAATAGTGTCTGTATGGGATGCCCTTGTTGTAGGCAACAACTTTACCTGCTATGTCACACTGCTGAGCCCCAAGTGGGAACTGTGCAGTGACATGCTGTGCCACTCTGCTTCCTCCCAGCACAGATCCTCTGAGGCAGAGCTGAGCAGTGCAGGTTCAGGACTGGCAGGCTGTTAGCAGTGCTGCCTCGGGAAAGTGCTTGGGGGGCGTTTGTCCTCACCTTCCCTCCTTGAAGCGTGTGTCAACAGAATACACATTAGTAGAAAATAAGTAGGCTTCACCAGCAAACGATGAATTTTAAGGAAGTATTTTATAGAAGAGCGCCTAGTGACCCTTGTGAAAATCAAACAGAACATAGAACTCTGATTGACTTGCAGTGTCTTACATTATAAGCACGCAGATGTTTCAGAGTTATTTTCATTTCAAATGATCAGAATGCCTTCTACTTAAAGCTAATCATGTATCTGTTTTGTGTAGCCTTCGGAGACATGAATACACTTAGCAGACATATTATTAGCTAAATAAAATTATAAGATCATAACATATCAGGAAATTATTTTTATACAGGTTAATGGTTGCAGTTTTGTGATGAGAACAGGAAAGCCTGCAGATTTATTAAGGGTACAGTATTTAAAGCTACTTGTGTTACTAATGTTTTATACTATTTGAAAAATCTGGCTTACTAACAATGCTTTTTCTTGCATGTACTTCTTTCTCTGTGTGATTTCAAAATGCACTTAATAAATATCTGATAAAATAATTATCCACCCTTTATTATAAAACTCAGTTGTAACAGAGTATACACATACCCTGTTTACACCTTTGAAGTATAAATTACATCTTCAACAATCCAGGTTGCTGTGCCAATAACTTCCTGGTAATGAGTAATAGTTTTAAAGTGGAAATTTAGTATTTGATTCCTGCTCTCTGAGGAAGTATTGGATTATTAAAAATCTTGGCTCCATTTAGGAAGAAGAATTTGGTGTCGATGATTCTTATTCTGAACCAGGAGTACAGTACAGTCAGGCGCACCTAGAGATGATGGAAACTGAATTGACTGGGAAACAGCAAGAGATTGAAGAGCTCAGTAGAGAGTTGGAAGAGCTCAGGGCCACTTACGGGACCGAAGGACTGCAGCAGGTATGACTGCCTTCTGTGCCTTTTGATTTGCTGTTATTAGGAACAGAAACCTGGAAGTTTGGTAGTAGGTGTTTATTCTTTATTGATGAAGTGTTTCATTGGTCACTTAAAGTCATGTCATCCTTTTTGTCCTTAGTCAAAGCATAAACAGCCCTATTTAAAACCAGGAATCCAGAACCAGCATTGTGGCGTTGCAGATAAATCTACCAACTATGACACCGGCATCCCGTATGGCTGCCAGTTCATGTCCCGGCTGCTCCACTTTGATTCAGATCCTTGTCATCAGCCTGGGAAGGCAGTAGAAAATGACCCACGTATTTTGGTACCTGCCAGCCACATACCCAAAAGAAGGTCCTGGTTCCTGTCTTTGTACTGGCCCAGTTCTAGCCATTGCAACCATTTTGAGAAGTGAACTAATGGATGAAGATTCATATTCTCTGTCCCTTTTTCTTTCTTCCTTCCCCTCCATAAACTCTGCCTTTCAAATAAATAAGTCTTTAAAAAAAAAAAAAACTAGGGTTCTAGTAATGGTTAAAATAATGTAAGTTCATTTATTTCACATTTTAAGATGACAAAGCTGAAAACACTTTGTAATCAGCATGAGAGAAAATTAAGGTGCAAAATGTTTCAGAATGTTACAGCTTAAGCCCATTAAGTGTGTCAGTGAATCTTTGTCAGTTACCTTGTATGATTAGGCGGTGACATCTGTTGTCATTGCAGTTAGTCACGAAAACGTGTGTAGGACACCGACAATGTCTGAATACATTTTAGCTTCATCCGCTGCAGCAGCAAGTTGGGCTGGCCCTCTGGTTGGTGGTGGCTCTCGGAACAGGCTGAGGACAGCACTTGTCCTTCTAGAAGGAGATACATGTAAACAGCCAAATGTACTTTCTGTATTTCAAGTGAAAATTTTTAGGGTTAATTTGGAAATAAAGCCAATTCTTGTAAGCTGATGGCTTTCCAGAATTCTGTTGATGTGGTTTGAATTTCATATTTCTAAAAATTTTGATTAATATGTAACAGGTATTCTAAGAATACAGCGACATGCCCATCCTTCCTGCCTTTCCTCCTCCCTCTAAACTTTCTTCCTTCTACTCCACCCCTTGTCTTGTGAGATAACATACTCTGGAGTTACACCATGGTACAAAGGCCTTACCAAGAAGTTTAGTAAGAAAAAAGCAAAAAGACCTTACATTAGTGGTAATTACAAACAAACAAACAATCAAACAGTGACTAAGTAGTGAATCTCACACTTTTGAAGAGCAGTTATCTAATAATCATCAATTCTGTTTAGGAAGTAACTTCAGTACTTACTATTTTCTCTGGTTTCCTTTAGTTACAAGAATTCGAAGCTGCCATTAAACAAAGAGATGGCATCATAACCCAGCTCACTGCCAATTTACAGCAGGCAAGAAGAGAAAGGGATGAGACAATGAGAGAATTTTTAGAGTTGACAGAACAAAGCCAAAAATTACAGATTCAGTTCCAGCATGTAAGTATTACTAATAGGACTAACTGTACTCAACTTTTAGTAGTTTTTTTTTAAAGCTTCACTTTCCCCCTCAACATCTAAATTTGTTTAAAAATCTCTTATTATGTCATACACCAAACTAGTTCATCTATATTGTTAACTAAGAATTTGTTCTCACTACTTTAGTGATTTCCAGCTATTAATTTTTCCTGTATTTCTTCCCTGTCACTATTTTTGAAATCCTACAGGATTTTATATGGTTGGTGGAGGGGAAATTTGCAGAAATTAACCTGTAGGCTACCTTTGCCAACCCTGGTAAGATTTTATTTTAATTAGGTGTTAAACAGTTAACCAGACTGAATATGCTTTGTTTGCCTCTAATTAGAACCCCAAGATTCTGATTGCATTAGTCAGACTTTCCAATGGCAAGTAACAGAAGCACTGGCACAGTACAAGCAGAAGGGGGAATTTTAATGTGAGGATGCCTGTTTTTACTGAAATACAGGTAAAACTCAGGCCTCTAAATGTGACTGGAACTGGAAATTAAAAGATCATCAGAAATCCAACAAGTACAGCCTTAGATCCCACTTCTGTCTCAGTGGGTCAGTGTCTTATTTGCTTACCAGTGAGCATGGCAGCCTGTTGCCGGGGGCTGAAGCCCAGGAATGAGCAGAGCTCCCGGGATGCGTTGTCTGAAGTGTCCATCCTCCGGTGTTGCCCCTTTGTGCTGGAGTGGTTTGGGATTTCCTTCTGTTTTCTAGTTACAGGCCAGTGAAACACTGAGAAGCAGCACTCACAGCAGCACGGCTGCAGACTTGCTACAAGCCAAACAGCAGATCCTCACTCATCAGCAGCAGCTCGAAGAACAGGACCACTTACTAGAAGACTATCAGAAAAAGAAAGAAGACTTCAAAATGCAGATTAGTTTCTTGCAAGAGAAAATTAAAGTATATGAAATGGTATGTTTATTGTAAGGCGGTTAACTTGTAATAGCTTTGCAGTGTTAAGGTTTTTTTGTGCAAATATATATATTTTTGTTATCCAAGTGAATCAATCAGCACCATCAACATACTGATTACTCATTAGTTTTGACAGATTTGTAAATATGGAATCTGTGACATGTGTAATAGTGCCTTTTGTATACTTATAGAGACTCTTCCACAGTACGATAAGGACTATGAAAACCTGTTTAAGGAATTAAAGTATTAGTTGCATTTATTAAGTACTTACTCCATACCAGGCATAACAGTACATCTTGCACACAACATTCATTACATTTTGGAAAAGCAAGATGCAAGAAATCACCTAGGTACACAGGTAATGAGTTGATGGAGTCAGATTTCAGTCCTCATTTGTCTGACATGAGAGACAGGTCTTTGAAAAACAGGAGAGGTACAAAATGAAGACATGAAAATTTTGAGAAACACATGCTTGACAATTAAGATAATGTAAAGGTTATTATGTAGACACTCATGGAGTACTTGTAACAGTTTCTTGGCAAGAATGATGACAATATCCTGGAATGCACTGGATCTCATTGTTTAGTAGGGATTAGCGTTTAAAGCCCGAGCATAAGATCATTAATTTACAATGAGAAGTACTTATCATGTGGCATGTATGTTTCACAGTCCATGAATTTTATTTTCTTCCCGTAGAGAAATTAATTTGAAAAGCCAACTGACAGTAAGTGTTGTGTCCTAAGCCCTGTGATCAAGGAGCAGTAGTGGAACGAGATGTTCCCTGGCGTTGGACTGAGATGACGCAATTGCTTATCCCACAGGAAGCAGTCACAGATGTAGAGTAGACTTCCTAAACGCAGTACAGCCCCCAGCAGTTCTTAAAGGTTAAGAATTTTCCATAATTTTCGAAGGCTGATGGCACCTTACCTGTTCTATGTCTAACTGGGCGCTGTCCTCAGTTCCCTCTGAACCCTTCCTTTTAGTGGACGTTGACATCTTTTAAGGAAGGTTATTACAGTCAGCCTCTGCATGAAGCTGTGGTCTCCTTACAGTGATTTTATTTACCTGCTTCTGCTTTTGATCCTTTCCTTCTTTGTGCTTTACAGTACTTAACTATAAGAGAGGATTAAATACCCGAGCCAAGACTTTGATCTCAGGGCTTCCACGTTCTATGCCGTATCACTGTAATAAGAATTGTGCCTTGGCTTTAGCTGTGGTTCCAAGACACAGTCCTGAGTGGAAACTGGGGAACCTATCAGTGCTGCTTCCAGATTTTGCTTGAACCCAAAGTCTAGGGCCAGATTACTAGATGAATTATCTTGAATATTGCTTGATGTTCAGTCACTAAGCATCGTATAGCCCTGAATTACTGATTCACTAAAGAGCCCAGGAATGAATTTAAAGTAGAACCATAGAAATTGTTCTCATTGCTATTTTTATAGATTTTTTTTCTTTTTGGATTTTATTGATTTTACTTGAATGTCAAAATTACAGAAAAAGAGAGACTCATCCTTCTGTTGGTTCACCCCCAGATAGTCACCATGCCCACAGCTGGGCCAGTCCAAAGCTGGGAGGTCTTCTTCCAGGTCTTTCATGTGGGTACCAGGGCTCAAGGATTTAGATCATCCTCTGTTGCTTTACCAGGCTGTAAGAAGGGAGCTGGATCAGAAATGGAGAAGCTGAAACTAGAACCAGCACCCATATGGCATACTGGTTTTGCAGGCAAAGGCTTAGCTAGCTACACCACTACACTAGCCCCTTCGCTGTTCTTTTTTTCTTTGCAGAGCACTTGCCTGTAAATACCAACTCACGATAGTATACAAAAGGAACTTATTTTATTAAAGATTTATTTTTTATTGGAAAGGAGATATACAGAGAGAAGGAGAGAAAGAGAGAAAGATCTTCCATCTGTGGTTCACTCCCAAATGGCCACAATGACTGGAGCTGAGCCGATCCAAAGCCAAGAGCCAGGAGCCTCTTCCAGATCTCCCACATAGGTCCAGGGTCCCAATGCTTTGGGACATCCTCTGTTGTTTTCCCAAGCCAGAAACAGGAAGCTGGATTTGAAGTGGAGTAGCTGGGCCACAAACCGACACCCATATGGGATCGTGGTGTCAGTGAGGCAAGGATTTAGCCACTAAGAAGTCACACTGGACCCCCTTAATTTATTCTTAAGGCTTTTCTCTTTAAAACTTCTAGATAATATGTGATATTCTTTACTAGCTACAGAAAGTACTAAATATTTTTGGAATGTTTATCCAATAAAAGGGGAGCACATAATGGCTTAGAGACTTTTCATCAGTTGGATTTTTAAGTTGAAAATTTTAGTCTTAGAAGTGGAAGAGAAATGTTTTTCTCCCAAGAAGTCCTGAAGTGTTGTCATGTTTACTGCCAGACAGTGTTGGTTGTCCGGGTTCTTACCTGACATTTGGTAAAGTTTTGATAAATAATTAAGTAATATTCTTATCTGTCTTTTGGTAATGAGGTTAAGAGATATAAATTCTCAGAAGCTAAAAATACATTTCTTATATTTTTTTCCAAAAGGAGCAAGATAAAAAAATAGAAAATGCAAATAAAAAAGAAATACAAGAAAAGGAGGCTATCATTGAAGAATTAAGTACAAAAATAGTAGAAGAAGAAAAAAAAGCTCTTGAACTGAAAGATAAAGTAACAGTTTCTGATAAATTATTAGGAGAATTACAAGAACAGGTTGTACAAAAAAACCAAGAGATTAAAAATATGAAATTAGAGCTGACCAGTTCTAAGCAAAAAGAAAGACAATGTTCTGAAGAAATAAAGCAGTTGATGGGGACAGTTGAAGAGCTTCAGAAGAGAAATCATAAAGATAACCAATTTGAAGTTGATGTAGTGCAAAGAATGGAACAAGAAACACAAAGAAAGTTGGAACAGCTTCGAGCGGAGTTGGATGAGATGTATGGGCAGCAGATTGTGCAGATGAAACAAGAATTAATAAAGCAGCACTTGTCGCAAATAGAGGAACTTAAAGCACAGCATAAGGGAGAAGTGGAGAGTGCTTTGAAATCATATCCACATGCTGCTGTTAATGAAGATCAAGTTAAGTTAATGACCATGGCAATAAATGAGTTGAACATAAAATTGCAAGATACTAACTCTCAAAAGGAGAAACTCAAGGAAGAACTGGGAGTGATTTCAGGAGAGAAGTCTGCTTTACAAAGACAGCTTGAAGATCTTTTTGAAGAATTGAGCTTTTCAAGGGACCAAATCCAGAGAGCAAGACAGACAATAGCTGAACAAGAAAGTAAACTGAATGAAGCGTACAGGTCCCTTAGTACAGTGGAAGATTTGAAAGCTCAGATCGTTTCAGCATCTGAATCCAGGAGGGAATTAGAATTAAAACATGAAGCAGAAGTTACAAATTACAAGATCAAACTTGAAATGTTAGAAAAAGAGAAAAATGCTGTATTAGACAGAATGGCTGAGTCACAAGAGGCCGAATTGGAGAGACTGAGAACACAACTTCTGTTTAGTCATGAAGAGGAACTTTCCAAGCTGAAGGAAGATTTGGAAATTGAACACCGAATAAACACTGAAAAGCTTAAGGAAAACTTGGGCATTCACTATAAACAGCAGATAGATGGCTTACAGAGTGAAATGAGTCAAAAGATAGAAACCATGCAGTTGGAAAAAGATAATTTGATAACAAAGCAGAATCAGTTGATTTTGGAAATTTCAAAGCTAAAAGATTCACAGCAGTTCCTTGTGAATTCAAAATCTGAAGAAATGACCCTTCAAATCAGTGAACTTCAAAAAGAAATCGAAATACTCAGGCAGGAAGAAAAGGAAAAGGGTACACTAGAACAAGAAGTTCAAGAATTACAACTTAAAACTGAGTTATTGGAGAAGCAAATGAAGGAAAAAGAGGATGACCTTCAAGCAAAATGTGTGCAGCTTGAAGCAGAGAATAGCATTCTTAAAGATGAAAAGAAGACTCTAGAAAACATGTTGAAAATAAATACTTCTGTTAGTGAAGACGAAGGAGTGATTGTCATGGACTCCACTAAGTCTAATTCCAAAGACTGTAGCTGGCAGAAAGAAATAGAAATACTCACAGAAGAAAATGAGGGCCTCAAACAACAGTGTATTCAATTAAACGAAGAAATTGAAAAGCAAAGAAATACGTTTTCATTTGCTGAAAAAAACTTTGAGGTTAACTATCAAGAGTTACAGGAAGAATATGCTTGCCTTCTCAAAGTAAAAGATGATTTGGAAGACAGTAAGAATAAGCAAGAATTAGAGTACAAACGTAAACTTGAAGCACTTAATGAAGAGCTTCATTTGCAAAGAATAAATCTACCCACTGTGAAAGTGAAAAGCTCAGCCTCTGAAGATGACAAAACCATGTTATCAGAGCCGTTGGAAGCCAGTGAGGTTGTTGAGAAGGATACAACAGAACTTATGGAAAAACTTGAGGTCACCAAGCGAGAAAAACTGGAACTCTCAGAGAGACTGTCTAATCTTTCTGAACAATTAAAACAGCAGCATGTTGAGATTGACTTTCTGAATGAAGAAGTTAAATCTTTAAAGCAAGAGAAAGAGCGGGTTTTATTGAGATGTAGAGAGCTGGAAGGAATACTTTGTCATAATGGGACAGAAAACAGCTATATGGAGAACACTCAGTTAAATTCTCTAAGCGACGAAATTGGTCCTGTGACAAGTATGGATGGTGGAGCATCAGTTTCTCACACAAAGAAAGGTTCTAGTGAAGAATCGAGACTAACAGTGACAGACAAAATTCCCTTTGCTAATCTGCCTGTCGGAAAAACAAGCAAGCAAGAACAGTTGTTTTTGGATCATTTGACCTTGGTAACAAAAGAATCATCGCTTGGGGCAATTGAACCAAGTGAAAGTGACAAACTTCAGCAAGAACTCAGTGTACTTAAATCAGAACAGGTACGTGTACTTAATTGTATCTGGGAAGTCACAGTGAAAATGCATATTTCATATGGCAAGTTTCTACGTTGTTGGAACAAATTCACATTCATACAAGAGAATGAAATTTAATTTTCAGCCAGGCTTATCATTTCTTTACCATTTACCTTAGCTTTTTCTTTTTCTTAACCATCTGTGGCCTGTGCTTTAGTTAATCTCTTCTATGTTCTACTCAGAATATAAAACATACTGATGCGTCCACATTTTCTTTGGAAAGACAGTGTTTAAATGACCATTGAGAATCTCGGCTGTAGAAAGGTTACCGATTTAAATTTGTGATCTTCTGTTGCGGTCTCAAAGATTGATTATAAAAAGTTTTGTTTTATGTTGGAGTAGCCAAGGTTCCCCAAGTGAAAATGAAGTCTTGGGCTGTTCAGTACTGTTTATACTTGGTTGGTAGTTATGAAATTGTATTTCCCTAGAGGAAAAAGTAAAGATTGGAGTTCTTTCAGAGTCTTGTGATACCTGAAGGAGAGAAAGCAGAATTAATTCTGAATATATCTAAAGAATTGAAAAAATGTATTCAATGAGTAATATTAGGAGACTTCTGATCAGTTATCATTTGCCAACTTTATTATTTTAGAATTCTTAGTTGATTTGGCAGCAGTAGATATGACATAAAAATATGAAAAAACAAAACTTGAGACCTATGAAAGATGTTTTGAGCTTTAGCTATGAAAATTATTCTTTTAAAGATGGATTTATTTTTATTGAAAGGCATAGTTAGAAGGAGAGAGAGAGAGATCTTTCATCGCTGGTTCACTCCCCAAGTAGCTGTAACATCTAGATCTGGGCTGCTCAGAAGCTGGAAGCTTCTTCTGGGTCTTCCTTGTTGGTACAGGAGCAAAGTACTTGGGCCATCCTCCACTGCTTTCCCAGGCCATAAGCAGAAAGTTAGATTGGAAGTGGAGCATCCAGGACACAAACTAGCACCTGTTTGGGACGCTGGCACTATAGGCGAAGGATTAGCTTGCTGTGCCACAGTGCAGGTCCCCAAAGTTATTTTTACAAGATGGTCATAAACACCTGGCTTTGTTAATGTGCATCATATCAAGTAGTAGAAAGATACAAAGGACAATGTCAGCTGTCTACACGTTACCTACTTTCATTGTAATTTTGATCAAACTTCCAAAAAGTTTTTGATGATCTTGAATAAGAGACTCTAAGTTGTGGTAGAAAAGTGAATATTCAGACATGGCTGAGAACATAGTAGAAAAACATGTTTCTTATATCTGAGCTTATAAAATTGTAGTGGGTTGTGTGATTTGATGTTGGGTTGAACAGATACGTCAGTGGAACATTATGGAAAACTCACAGATAGTTCCACATTCTGGTGATGTTTCAGGCATGTGATGAGGAAGACTTGAAATCAGCATTTATTTCGTCATGCTTAAAGAGTCCGTGCTACATTCCAAGGTTCTGTTTTAGGCTCTGATCACAGAACAGTGAATAAAAATAGGCAATTAAGAATAAAGCTTATATTTTAAAGGAGTTAAAGGAAATAGGATAGCCAAATAAACAGTATGTACCAGGTGGTAATAAATGTTGCGGAGAAAATTTAAAAATCCAATGTCAGAATTTGCTGTAATATTGGGGTAATGCAGACATTGTGCTGTTTTTCTTGAAAAAGTCCAGTAGAACAGTGCAGCGGAATGAAGAGTGAAAAAAAAGACTTTCAGTTCTCAAACTCCTGTGTGTTTCCCCCTTGTGGTTAGTTAGAAGTAGAAGCTAAATGATTTGTCCTTGTGTCATTTTCTAATGTTTATATGCATCTGCTTTAAGAATGACTTAAGGCTGCAGATGGAAGCCCAGCGCATATGCCTCTCCCTCGTATATTCCACACAAGTGGATCAGGTTCGTGAATACATGGAAAACGAAAAAGATAAAGCTCTTTGCAGACTGAAAGAGGAGCTTATCTCTGCTCAAGAGGAAAAGATCAAAGAACTTCAGGAAATACACCAGTTAGAACTACAAAACACAAAAATACAAGAAGCAGGTAAATTGTTTTCACTTAGAAGTGTCAAGGATCAAGTAAGTTTTCACTGAAAGCCTGCCATTTGATTCTGTCCCTGTCTTAGAATTCTTTGAGGAAGGGGATTTGGGTGTCCCAGTCCTCTGTACAATAGTTTGCGTAATCATTGGACATCTAAGTACTTGAAAAAGCTAAAGTCCGGGAATCATTTTACCACCACAAGCCACAGTCTGTTGGGAATGCATTTGTAAAGTAAACGGACAATTTCTGAAATAGAAGAATGAATAGAAAGAATGGCAAAAGGAAAGTCTTGTACCTTCTAGGAGGGTGAGTAGAGCGAAGCAGTGGGCAGGAATAGAGGGGTTGGAATTTCAGGGGGAGCTCTGCAGTCTTTAAGCTCTGGACATGTTAGGAATTTGTCTATTTTGGATAAGTAAAAATTTAAATTATATGAGAAGTAAATGAGTGAGGTGGAGTCAGAGAGATTGGAAAAAGCTTGATTAGAAAATGCTTTCTGCACTCAGAATGAAGCATATTTAAGCTTTATACTGTTGATGATAAGACTTCAAGATTTTATTTATTTTTTAATTTGAAATTTATTTGAGAAGCAGAGACAGAGAGTTAAGAAATAAGAGAAAACAAGCTCCCACACACTAGTTCACTACCCAGATAACAGCAGTGGTCCTGGGTTTGCAGCTAAAGCCAGCAGTGCAGAACTGAATCCAGACCTCCCACTGTTTGGTAGCAATGGAGTTGCTACTATCTTGTGCTGCACAATAGGGGGCACATTACAGGAAGCTCTGATTGGGAGCAAAGCTGGGACTTTTAAGCCAGGCCATCTAAACAGTAAGCCACACACCCAACCACCGTTAATCTTTTAATAGTTACTTAATTATTCCTTTAACCAGGTTTCCACTGTTCAGGGTACTTTAGGCCTACACCTTGCCTTTAAGATGGAAGTGATTCATGAGTTTTTCTGTTGGAGCTGCCAGTGCCAATAGCATATAATTTCAAGAGTGATTTTACACAAAGGATACATATTTTTTTTCACAAAGGAGTTCTGGGGGCTTCTGTTTAACAGGATTTGAAGTATGGTTTTCATGACTGTTTCCCAAATTCCAAATTAATGAGTCTATTAATGGCCAATGAAGTCAGTTTAATGTAACATTTTTAAAATGGGAGAATAGGACAAAAGACATTGAACTATATAACAAATAGAAAGAGTAATATTGATTTGGGAATTTTTATTTTAAATGCATGCATATGAAAGATGTATATAACTATATTTCTTGTATTGACTTGTTGCAAAAAAAATGTAGTCACTGCTATATACCATTTGTACACTGAAAATTGAAAATCTTACATATCATTTGAGACAGTTGACATTGAGCAATTGAAAAGTAATTTTGAAAGATTTAAAGACTGTTACAGCAGAGAGGCTTCCAGGAGAAACCTAGGATATGATAGCTCACTTAAATATGTTAGCTGAATGTCTCAATGCAGCGTCTGTTCCGTTAGGCGATGAAGCAAAGCCTTTACAGGCACTCCTTGGAAAACTTCAGGAGGCAGTAGCTGAGGAATGTTCCTGTATTTCACAGGTAAGAAACTAGACAGAAGTACCTTTAGATAAGTGCTGAATCCTAACTTACTGCTGCTTTGGTGAGCAGAATCATACAGACTGGTTTTCCCAGCTGTCTTACTTCGTATTCATGTAGGGAGTAAGCGGAGATTTAAGCTTAAAACAAACACTTAACATTTTTCTGATAATCAGTTTGAATCAAAAAGCAAATTATCTCATCAATTGAACAGACTCTAATTGTCAATGTTGCCATGACGAGCTGTCTTAATTTTCCTAGGTCCTTGTTTCTTCATCTAAAATTGGCTGATTAAAGTTTCTAAAAGAAACTCTAATGGGATCAAATTCCATCTTCAGGGCTGTGCTGAAATTTAATAAACTCAGTTATTAATTGACAGTATAGGTTGACTTTTAAGCAAATCTCACGAAAAACCAGCAGTAGACTTGGTTGCTAATAGATTTTGTGTATAAATCTGGAAGTTGTTAATGGTTACTTCAGTTGTGTGACGAGGAGAGGCAAAGCTTAGCAAATGATTATGTGGCATATGTTGTTTTATATGACGTTAATATATTGTTGAGGAAGACAACTGAAATAATGCATATTAGACATTTTTAATTTTCTTATATAAAGCACAGAGGACTATTTTTATGCTATACAAAAGTAAACGAATATAAAATCACCTGCTTGGTAGATCGTAATATAGACTGTATTTTAAAAATTACTTCAAAAGCAGAAAAACGAAGCAAAGCAAGAATATCCCACTGCTGGTTCACTTTCCAAATGCTCACAGCAGCAGGGCTGGACCAGGTCAAAGCCTGTACTAGGAACACAGTCTGGGTCCCCCACGAGGGAGGCAGGGACCATAAAGTACCCGAGTCACCTGCTTTGCAAGGTCCGCATTGTCCGGGAGCTGGAATCTGGACTCTTGGTGCTGTGCCCCTAGACTTCTTTCTGATCATCATTTTCTGAACTTCCGTTTTTGTCCTGTGGTTTTTTTTTTCCAGAAGTAGTTAATATTATAGCGATTCCATCAGAATAGGATGTAAACTAGGTCATGACTAAAGATATGTTTTATCATAAAAGGAAACAGAAAAATTGTATTATTGTCAGTGAAGCTTAACAGTGTTTTCCTACTGTGAGATGTCGTGTCTTATATATAGGGGAAAAAAGTTTAGACTTGATTATTTCTTGTGAAGATTGAATTGGTGTATGGAGGAATATTTGCTTACTGTGCTATTTTGAAAGTTTTTGCATCTAAGAAGTTGGTGTTTAATGATTTTTGGAGGCATAAATCAAGTGTTAATTTCTTTAAAAAGTTTTGCTGTTACTGTTAATAGACTTTATGCCATGTCCTTGGTGAATATTATACTCCTACTGTAAAATGTGAAATAAATGTAGAAGGAAAAGAGAATCCTGTTGATCACACTTCTGAATGTCAAGAGTCTCAATTTCAAGATTACAGATGTAAAGTTCAAGGTAATAAAAGCTTACCACATTATTGAACTGTGTTGAATTTCCTAATTAGCAGCTTTCACCTTTAACAATGATTCGATCATTTGAGGCCAAGTTAAGTTTCTCAAGTTGAATTTGCCTTTTCATTATTTATAAGACCTTATATTTAATATATATCTGTTGCTTTTATTAGCTGTGAAGGTTGTTGAAGCTTTCCATACATTTCCTTTTTCCTGTATTTGTTGAATGTGTTTATGTCAATGGTTATTTTAAAAACAAGTAAAAAAAATTTGAGAAATAAGAAACAATGTTAAGAAATATTTGCCTTAGTGTAAGTTCAGCATTAGTTTCACAAAATTGACCATCAATTATTTTTTTATTGTTCTTCACAGGAAGAATATTTCCTAGCCTTATCTGTTTGTGTCCAAATTATTGATTCCCAAAAGAAGTTAATATGCTGTAAAGCAAAATTGTTAAGTTATCCTTGTAATAAGTCCTTCACATTAATGAGATTTTAATTTTAGTTTCAAAGTACATGAGGTTTATTTCTAGTGGACAGTTTTCTCAAGATGAATATTTATTGGAAGATGCAGAATTTTACTATGGACTGAAATTATATAATTATTTGGTTACCATCTAGACTTTCAAGAAAACATGCAAACTCTTCTCAATCAAGTAAAAGAGGAATACAACAAACTCTTGGTGCTTCAGACACGAGTAAACAAGGTTTGTAAAGTGGAAAATATATTTAGAATATTTTTACGTGTTGTATTACCTGACTTTTGTAAGCTGCTTTATGTGAAAGTTAACAAGGGGCCAGATAGCAGTTAGGCTGGCCATCGCCCACCTTGCCGTCCTTGGGGTGGTTCCTGACCCCATCTTTCTGCCAGTAGAGGCCCTTTCTGCCACTGGCAGGCAGTGATGCTGACCCACGCAGCGCACATGGGAGGCCTGGCTTGCCATCCCAGCTCCAGCTTCACTTTTCCTCCACCCCCCCACCCCCGTGAGGGCAGTTATCTGGGGACTGAGCTGGTGGGTAGCAGCTCTCCACTTCTGTCTGTGTGCCTCCTTTTAAAGAAAAAGTAAACATGAAATAGATTAGGAAAAATGCTGTAAAGAACTTCAGCGCCATGAAAGGATTAAGGAATTTCTGCAAATTGAGTGTTTAATTTCTTTTGAGAGATTTTTGAAATCATGATAAAATATTTTGTAAGCATTTCAACAGGTAATATTTTTTAAATTTTTTTTTCTGTTTTAGAGAAGCTTGATGATTAGATATTTAACACATAGTTCATTAGTTTCACACTGTTATATCAACTTTATTTTCAAGCAGTTTTAAAAATGTATTCTTAGAAAATAAGAGTCTACATGGCATGGAAACTTATGAACTATATCAGAAAAATAAAGCATATATTAGCATTGATATGTGTATAATTCTCATGTTAAGAAATATCTTTCTGGGTTCTGTTTCATACCAATTTATATTAAAATGCTTAGGCAGATCTGAAATGTTTAACTGATAGGCAGTGAAAGCTGCATTGCTAATGAGGAATATTTGGTTAAAATTCTGCTCTTCCCTTTGTGGCTCTCTCCCTTTCTTGCTCCCCGTTCCTTTCTGTATTATTACACACAACCTTATCCAGCTTTTATTAAAATCTGATGCTTACTCCTGCGTCTTGTAGGTAATTAAACAGGAGGGCCAGTAGGCAGATTCAGACCCTTTTCTAACTGGGCATTTCTGTACTATTCCTTTTTGCTTTCCTTCACAGTGTACTGTCTTCATTGCATTGTTTGCTTGCCGGGACCCCGGCCTTCCACACCTGTGGTCTCTCTGCTGCCCTGGTGTGGGCTGCATGTGCCCTTCTACCCTCCTCCTCCTTGGCTTCTAAGGGCCGCAGGACCCTCAGAGGGTCGTCATTGAGTGACCTCGCTGGGCCCTCAGGGTCGCTTGAAGTGTCTTTGATGTTCATGCTGTCATTGCCTCTTCAGTTAGCGTCCTTCAGCCTTCCATAGCCCTTGTGTGTTGCACTCAGAGCCGCCTTTAGCCCTCACGTCTCTGAGTGTATTACTTCAGCTGGCTTACTCAGGACCGTGTGCGCTACTTTCAGCTTCATCCTGTCCCAGAAGTTACTCTTTTTCATTAAAGAGGTTATTTTATTTCTTGTACTCCAGTTGATATCCTCTTTCTCTTGATTGCAGAGATTTCTTTTGTGTTTCCTCCCTACTTATTGTTTTCGGGCAAATTTTTCTGTTTTTCTCTGTTTCTGTCATTGTTTTCTCTCTCTGCTTCCTCTTCATGTTCCTCGTCTCTAGAACATAACTGATCCCCTCTCAGTGTGACACTTCCCTTTGTCTGTTGTCTGAGCTTCTCTTTCTTTTTGAATCACATGTAGACAGAATTTCCCATCGCTCACCTCTCCCTGTCTCGGTCAACAAGCTTTCAGCTTTTACTTCTCTGACCTTGCCTTGACAGAAGTCATGTAATTCCTTAATTATCACCTTTCTGCTTTCTCTCCATTCTTGTCTCCCCGCTCTCCAGGGTAACACGTATGACGTAGTATGGGAAAGCGCACAATAACAAGCAGTGCACATAGGTATTTGCCGCTTGGCCTAATTCTTTTTAAGACAGCGAGCAGCAGCAACAGCTTGCATCGACGAGAGACACCTCGCTTCCCTGGTTCCAGAATGTGTGCATCTTTACTCTGGAGTACCGACATCCAACAAGTTCTTCCAATTTTATTTAAAAACTTTGGCCACCAGATTTTTGATTGATTTGGTTGGCACAAAGGGGTGTGCGATGGTTAACTAAAGGTCAGGGTGCTTGTTTCCCAGTCCACTTCCTCATCCTTACCACTGTACCTTTTTCTCTGAACCTCAGGCCCCTCCGTGTTCCCGTAACCAGGAAGTCAGTTTGGGTCTTGGGTCTCCCACATGGATGGCAGGGTCTCAGCCACCTGTCTCCCATAGTCTCCCAGGCAGCTGGGTTCAAGAGCTGAAGTTGAGAATCAGATCCAGGCACCATGCTGTAGGATGCAGTGTCTTAACCGCTATGACAAATTGTCACCGTATTCTCTCATTTTAGGTGAGCTATGAGAAGACAGGAGTATACTGGAGGTTGCAAATGTAGTGCTTGCATAAACTGCTCATGAAATAAGAAGGTTGAGTGAATCCTGGAGAAGCACTCAGAGGGGCAGAGCCTGCTCAGCTTCATTTTCTTCATTTTGAATGGGGCCTCATGTTGCTATCCTTTAAACTTATGAATTTTATATGAAATCTGTTGCTTTTAAAAATATTATGAGATAGTCTAAAACAGTTTGGGGGTTTTGTTTGTTTTTTGAGTTGAGGGACAGTTCAAAGAAGCTCAACAAAAATAGTTTTGTCTCTAAATGAATGCATCTTTTACCCTGGATTTAAAGTGCAGGCTCAGGGATTAACCCAAGCCGTGCAGTGGCTTGACCTGTCTCCTTGCTGACTTAGTGACTGTAGGATCAGTTGAGCTGTTTCTTTCCTTGAGTGGCCTGTCTTGTGCTGCCCCTCTGGGTATAGCAGAGGAGTCTGCGCTTGCTTCCCCTCCTCCCTGGTTTCTAGGCCTCTGTGCTGGTCGGTCCCATCATAGAGGTAAGAGTCAGGCATCCAGTTGGAAATCTGCTTTCAAAGGCCATCTGTTGCGTCTCAGCGCATGGAAGTTTGAATTAAGTGACATCTTACCCTTAAAATGGCTGTTCCTCGCTTCTCCGTTTGGAGAATGACATCCAACCAGAAGCTTGGGTTTTCTTAAAATTTCTCTCCCCAGACCATTAATCTTGCCCCATACATAAATATATTCTGAAGGGAGTACAAAAGAAAGATAAATGCCTTGTTCTCAGTTATCCCATTAGCACAGTGAGCCATGCTTTCTACTTAGCTGGGTTTTACATTATAAGGAATTGTTTATTCCTCAAGTTCCAAATTCCAGGCAAGGATCAAACTTGGAAGCAGACCTTTCTCAACAGAGGCTTTCTCACAGCTGCTGTGCTAACTCTTTTCAGCACAGTAGGAAATAAGCAGATTTCGTATTTTTAAAAAAGATTGTGTATTTGAAAGGCAGAGTTACAGAGAGAGAGGAGAGAAAGAGAAACAGATCCTACATCCGCTGGTTTACCCTCCAGTTGGCTACAGTAGCTGGGCCTGGGCCGGACTGAAACCAGGAACCTGGAACTCTATCTGGGTCTCTCACGTGGGCAGTCATGGCCCAAGCACTTGGGCCATCTTGTGGTGTTCTCCTGGGAGCATTAGCAAGGAGCTGGATCGCAAGTGGAGTAGGTGAGACTCAAACTGATACCGTGTGAGATGACGAGCATTGCAGGTGATAGCTTAAACCACTGTGTCACCACACTGCCCTGTGGATGCCATGCTGTGATAGAGCATCTTCACTACAGTTTGCAGAGGCATCTAAAGTCTGGTTGGGATCGAGATCAAGCTGGTAACGTAATCCTAGCTGTTTAGTGAACACCATTTTCGTTTACTTATTTGGAAGTCAGAAAGGCAGAGAAAGAAGAGTAAGTTCTTCCTCACGTAAGCCACCTGCACTACTGTAAAATGCTCCGATCTTGTGACACCTTTGGCGTGTTCTCTGTGCTGGTCCTTCCTTCAGCCCCTCGTCCCCAGGCTGCCTGCTCTGCATCACCGCTGTTGACCGTCTCAGACGTTTTTCCTTTGTTTGCTAACACCTGTACAAACTTGTGCTTTTGGTTGCTTTAAATACTTGATTATCCCTTTCTTACTGTTCCCAAGGCTAATTCTGCAAATTTATACTTGTATCACATTACTTTTTGTGTTATTAAAAATATTTTTTCTGATTCTTTAACTGGATTTGAAGCAGTTCAGCATTAGAGAATCTTTTATTTCCTCCCCTTAGCACAGTGCTGATTTAGCATGTGACAAAGATTTGTTGAAGGAATTAGGTGAAGATTATAGCATGATTAGTCAGGAACCTTAAGGATTTACCTCATGCTCTGTTTTGGCTGTGGAAGCAGAAGTGAGATTCTCTTGAAATATGCAGGTGACAGAGTCAGAGTGGGCTGGAAAGGACTTGCAGAGAAGGCCAGCTGCTTGCGAATCATTCTAACCTGTTGATCATCTATCCTGCCAGGATGCTCTGCTCATCCAGTCCTCCTTGACCCGGATTACAACCCCTCCTCCTAATATCGGCATTATCTTCCCTGCTTGGGCATAGGTTCTCTCACAGATGCTGTTGTTCTTCCACTTAGCTTTCCCAAATCATTACCAAAAGCATTTGAGATCCAAAATGAAGTTTGACTTCCTTGTAATTACTGAAATCCACATCAGACTTCCTTCTGTCTCAGCACTACTTTAGACAGATTTCATAATTCAGCATTTCTCATCATGTGAATATATTTCTCCCACTAATTGATAAAATCTGTAAGGACAAGTATACTCACACCTATTTTACTAATTTTATGTTCTTACTCCCCTTTCTCCCTTGTCATAATGTATACTATTCACTATTTTGTGAATGGACAAATTAATTCCAAATATCTTCAACATTGCTGTCTGGTTTTAACAGTGAAAAAAATAGGATTCTATTTTCATTATTTTTGTTGTTTGTGTTTACTGCATAGAATAGCATAGTTTTTTCAGTTATTTAGTTGTGTGTAGTCTGGATGGGTTTCAAAAATTTCATGAAAAATTTAGATTATATTTTAATTTTAATTTCACTTTCCCATGTAATTTAGAAACCCTTTGCATATATTCAGTGATAAATAATTTATATTATCATGCGCTGATCACCACCACATCAGTAATGTTCCCCCCAATCCCGTCATGTGTAGTCTGAAGCTCACCCACACCCTCAACTTCTATAAACCCCCCATATTAGGAGTATTCCTACATCAAATTGCGCCAAGCACCTGATTGTAACCCCAAATTCCTCAAAACTCTTCTCCTAACAACTCATGGATAGCTCTTCACATAACATACCACCTCATACCCCCCCTCTGACGGGGCTACAGTTATTCATCACTCGTTGTCCTCAAAGAGAGTATGCCGATATACCACTATCCCCCCCCCCAAGATTCTTGCACCCAGTCAGTCCGTCACACTGTTGCAACATCACATCTTAAACAATACAATAAGAAAAATAATGAACCTCTAACCTTGATTTCCGGGCTCACTGGATTGTGTATCAATGTCACAAGCCTTTTTTCCCTCCCCCTCCCCTCTTCCTTCAATAGCTTAAGGGACAGCCAATCGACGTGTGACACTTGATATTTGCGGAAAACCACTCACATTACCTAAAAGAGGACCCATTCCTTGTCCCTTCACTCTCAGATGAGCAACTTACAAGACATTGGTAAGTTTTCAACATATACATATATCTTTAAATCACTGCTTCAAAAAGGTCCCTGGCTCTCATCTGAAGGTAAACTTTTACCCACCACAGCTCTGTCCAGTGTCCCACTCCCCAAATGGCCGTAGTGCCTGGAGCTAAGCCAATCCGAAGTCAGGACCCAGAAGCTTCTTCAGGGTCTCCTGCTTGGGTGCAGGGTGTCAAGGACTTGGCCCAATATCTCCACCTCCTTTCATCGTGCCATTTAAGCAGGCGAGCCTGGCTGCCACCTGGAAGCACCTTAGGACGTGTACTGCCATTCTGATATGTAGACCTGGCCTATTAAAGCCACGATTAGTTCTAGCAATTGAGTCCATCGTGGCCATGCCCTCAAATTATCTTATGATTACCACATGACACGGGTACTCCTTTCCTGGCTCCTCTATGCTGAAGTACAAGTTTCCATCCCTTTTTTACATTCTGATTCTAACTTGTTTTAAATTTAAAGACATAAAATTGTTCGGATTAAGGGTGTTACCACTATGAGGAAAGAAAAAATGATCTTGAATTATACTGTTTTCTTTTTATCAAATTAGTTCAATTTTAAACATGAGTTTTTACTGCTTAAAAGGCTTTTTTCACACAAGGATGAAGTTTTCTGTGTTTACAAATAAAGGATTGTGGTATTTCCCTAAGAAATTTGTATCCAGCACTTTGTTCTGCTTCTATGGTAGGTGTCAGTCATGGAGGCAGGTTACCCTCTCAGCAAGCCTCTGGACGGATGAAGCAACTTGGAGATGAAGTCCAGCAACTGGAGCACTCCAGATCCCCTTTGCAGCCACAGTCGGAAGAGACTGATGGAAACTCTGGGGCCCAAGTCCGCTGTTTGCAGCAGAGGCTTCACCCTATTCAGCCAAGGTAGCCCTCTCCTTCCGGCCCCAGCCAGCAGTGTTTGTAGCTATAACATCTGCAGCATCACCCAGAGAATTCTTTTTCTTTCTTTTTTTTACTTTGAATCTAATTTTCATTTATTTATTAACAGACACAAATTGTATAGGTTTATCATCATCTTGTTTTACAGCATATGTACTTCAAGGAATATCAAAATTTAGCTAATAGGCATTTGCATTTCATCACAAATCACTTTTTTTTGTGATGACAACACTTTAAATCCACTCTCTCAGCAATATTTTTCTCTTTTTAAAAAATAATCATTTTATAACACAGTTCCATAGGCTCTGGGATTTCTCCTCCTTCCCACCGCAGATCCTCTTCCCCCCACTGGTTTCCCCTCTATTATTACAATAGTGTAGTGCTTCAAAAACAGTCAAAATCCATCATTCTACTATTTAAATGTATCCTGACATTGTCGGTGTGGATAATGGCAGAGTCTAGCATCGTATTGTCAAGATATATTTAAAACTTACATTGGAAATCCACCTTTGATTTGAAAGTAGAGATGTTTACTGCATTTTATCTTCACACTTGGATATAATGGTCTCTATTGTACATTTCCTTTAAATACTGTGTTGGTTCTTGTAAGTTCAGCAAAGAGATAAGATATGCCACATTTTAAAGAAATAAAGGCAGGAGATAACATCTTTGAAATGTGGAAAGTATCTTTTTAAATGTTATGGGCAGTTATGGGCAGGCAGAGAGAGAGAGCTCTCCCATGTGCTGGTTCACTCTCCAAATGGTGCAACAACCAGGGCTTGAGCCAGGCTGGGGGCAGAAGCTTTTTCCAAGCACTTGGATTATCTCTTGCTGCTTTCCCAGGCCATTAGCAGGGAGCTAGATTAGAAGTAGAGCAGCTCCATCATGAACTGGCATCTAGGTGGTGGCTTTAACCACTATGCCAGCCCTAAAATGTGGAAAATAAATGTTGGTATAAACCAAATAACCTTTTCTGTAAGAATTTTACTCCCACAGTTACTCTACGAAGATTCTAGGTTAAATCAGGTCTCGTGCTTATATTTATCATATATTCTTTTCACATATTTTATATATTCTTTGCCACTTTGATGTGGAGGGTTTGCAGGGAGTCTAAGGGTTTTTCACATGCTCTTTAAATTGTCTCTGCATGACTGTCTCCTGCTGTAGTTCACCACGAGCAGAGTAGAGCTCTGCATCTTCTAAGAACTGCTGCTGCCATCACAACCCTTTCCTACCCTTCTTCAGTCTGTCGCAATCCTGTCTCGCCACCTTTAAGGTGCAGATGAGCTGCGCCTGCTCCTCCTTCCCCCCCTGGTCCCTGCCCCTCACATCTCACCCGGATTACCCGGACTTCCCTGAAGTCTGTTTCACCATGACCCACACAGGTGCCAGAACATGCTCTGAGTTTAGGATGGGTAGTGTAACTCCTGTGTTCTTCCCTTGCGGGGCCTTACTGGGCCCTACATGATGTGTTCCTTTGCCTCTCTGACTGTCATCTCTACCGAGTCACTCGTTGCTTCACCGAGCTCAAATCGTGCACTCTTCCGGGGTCTGTGAATGAGCGTGTTGCTGCGCTTCTGCTGTGGACGCTTCTCATTGGCTGTTTCTTCCACCTAGAACCATCTTGCTCAGATATTTGCATGCGAAACGTCCTCACTGCCTGCGGGTCTCCTGTCTCTGTGTTCTCCTGAGCCCTGTTTTCGTTACCCCACATGAGTCTCCAGAATTGTGTCTCATAGATTCCTACTTAATTTTCTGTAGAATGGCACAAAGGTGATATGTTGAAATATCATTCAGTTGTGTTACTTTTGCTTGGAAAAATGAGTTAAATATGATTTTGGCTTATAATGTCTAAAAACCCTTGACTCCCATTTGTGTCTCCCTTACCCCAGTACACATTTCACATATGATATAAATTCTGAACAAACAGTAATTAACACACACAATAATACTTTTTTTTTAAATTTATGTTTAGCTTCTCCAATGGTTCAACAGTAATTGTGGACTCAGATGTACAGAGAACAATGTATCCTGGAAATTGTCCAGAAGACAGTACTGATGGTACAGTAGAGGTATTTAGTTTTAATCTTTAAACTATTAGGTACACTGGTTTTATTTTTCTTTTAATTTTTGTATCTGTGATTTAGTAAATAGTTGCTGAGAAGTGAATAGTTGCTGAGAAGTAGGCATAATAAATATTAGGCTCTCTTGAATAAAAGAATGTATAGGTAAAGATGGGAAGCTTAAGTTGAGACTCCCCAGCATATGGCAAGGTTTGATGTGTGCTGTGTTTCTGATTGGCTTCTGTGTCCTGTTCAACACAGTTCTTCCAACTGTGAGGTGTAGGGTCATGCCAACTCTACAGCAGGATTTAGGAATCCCCCAAATCTAAGATGCCGAGGCCAAGGTAGACGATAAGGTCCTGCAGCGCAGTACATCCTGTGGGAAAGTTGCTTGAGTCCCCTGCTGCCTGGCCTCACCTTTGGCATTCCCAGTTCCTCAGAGCTGCACCTCGAGACCCCTGTCTGATCCTCCTCCGTAGATTTTAGATTTCTGAATCCTAGAGGAAAACTAGAATTTGTATTTTGCTAAGACTGCATAGAAAATTTGTAAGAAAGCGATTTCTTTAAAACTTTCACAGAATAGAAGTTTAAAAATAAATGCTGAGTATTTAGTGTAAATAAACATGTCATTTTTCTTTTAAATTTAGTTTTCTGGAGAATCTCAAGTGAAACCAGAAACAAATATGGTTAAGATGCTGGAAAAACAGTACCAAGAACGATTAGAAGAAGAAGTAGCTAAGGTAAATTTATGGTTTATCTGGAAGATTATGTTGCTGGACATAACTTTTCAGTTTTCAGAAAATGTAGATTTTTTGTGGAATGTCCTTTTAACTGTATGTTTCTATACATTTCATATTTACATTTTCAGGTAATGCTATCACCTAGAGTTGCCTTTAGGTGAAGTGTTCTGTAAATTTTTCTTTGAGAAGGAGAGGAGGAGATGTTAATCTCTGTATATTACCTTCTGGATAGTAATTGCAGGTACTAAGGCAGGATTACCATGGAAAGTTAACTCCTGGCTAAATGCAGGAGCTTCTCAAAGTGAGTTTCACTTAGGCTGCTTATCCCTACCTGCTACCCAGGCTCATCCTTTAAGTTCTTGACTGTCATTCTGTATAACCTGCTGGTGTATGATTCCATTTCTTATGTCTTTGTTTATCCTTCCGAAATGCATATGCCTAACTGGGTATATGTTAAACTGTTGAATTGTAACTTTGCTTGTCATTTTTTATAAGAAACTGTTACAATGTAATAATCACAGTGGAGCATATATAATTTAAAAGGATGTATTTAAAAGGGGTTGAATTAACAGGACATAAAGGAAATGTATAAAAAAGTTAGGGCAAATCTAAATGAGGTTAAGACCCAAAGAGAGATCCGGGCATAAAGATTTACTTATCATGTCTGAGATGAATATACTTAGCTCCTGGAAAGAAGTGAAAACTGAAATGTTGTGATTCCATCGCTGTCGTTGCTAACATGTACGGAGAGGAGAGACAGAGGGGAAGATCTGTCCATTGATTCACTCCCCAAGTGACCTCGTTGGCCGGTGCTGAGCCAATCCAGACCCAGGAGCCCAGAGCCTCTTGCAGCTCTCCTACATGGGTGCAGGATCCCAAGGCTTTGGGCCATCCTCTATTGCTTTCTCGGACCGCAAGCAGGGAGCTGGATGGGAAGTGGGGCTGCTGGGATTAAAACCAGCACCCATATGGGGTCCTGGTGTGTGTAAGGCAAGGACTTTAGCCACTAGGCTATCGCACCGGGCCCTCATTGTTTTGTTCTTAGGGGAATGCAGGTTTTCTCTTGCACTTGGATCTTATATAAAATTCTCAAGTGGATTGTTGAATCAGGGCATGATAGCATAGTAGTTAGCCTGAGGCTTGGTATTCATTGTGTCATATTAAATGCTTGTTTTTCTGGACTGCTGCATTTGTGACCTTAGGAAAGTTACTTAGCTTCTGAATCTAATTTATCAATAAATCAAAAGAGAAGACTAATAAGAATAGTAGTAATTCTTGTAAGGATTCAGTAAGTATTCAGTACATTTTCAGTACATATGGAGCATCCAGCAGACCAGTTGGTAGATAGTCAGAGCTCATAAGTAACATTATAACACAGTCCCACTGCTGGAATCACAGTGATGGTATGATGATATTTTGTAAAACACTTACCCAAGCTGATAGCGACACGCCCAAGCACAGGTCAGTGGGAGAGAACCTAAAGCTGCCGAGGTGCTGTGGCCGAAGGGATGGCGTTCAGGTGCCAGCATCGTGCTGCATTAGCATCAGGTCACCTGATGAGCGTCTGCTGTGCTGTGCAGCACCCTGTGGTGTCGGAAAAGATCAGAAGCATTTCCTGAAAGCACAGGCTGTCAGAGGTCCGGTGCACTTTGTGATTCTCCACTTGTGATTGGGTACTTACTATAGAAAATAGATGCTCAGGGACAGACTGCTGGGGACTGTGCCGGGTGCTGAGGCATAGCAGACGAACTCCTTCCTCCCATAAGCCTGGTTAGTACAGTCAGAAAGCATACGGATGTGTGTAAGTACTGTGAAGGAGACAGACTAGGACAGTCTGGGACCGGGTTTTGACACGGGGTATCACAGAGGGCCTCGCTGTTGAAGCGGCTGTAGAGAGAAATCTGACAGAGGTGAATCAGGAAGAGATCATGTTGAAGAATTTTGACAAAAGTAAAAAAGAGAAAATCAGGAGCGACAACTGTGTCGTGAAAAATAAAAGTAAAAGGAGAGAGTGACTAAAAATAAAAAGTCGCTAATTAATCAAGAGTGGGCATTTGGCCTCGTGGGTGAAGAAGCCAGCGAGAGACCCACTTCCTTTACCAGAGTGCCTGGGCTGGAGTCCTGGCTCCGGCTCCGGCTGCGTCCTGACACACACCGTGTGTTAGAGCAAGGATTGGCTTAAAAGAGAAAGTTACTAAGGTCTCCAAGAGATGACGAACAGACTTGGCTAGAATCTGAGAAGGCTGTTGGCCCAGAGACTGACTCCTATGAATTGAAAGGTGGTTTTATTCAGTCCTGCAGCCCCCATCTTCATGGAATGTGTTTGTGAAAAATGTTTTGAAATCATGGCATGGATTTGTCTCTGTTTCAGATTTTTAACTGAATAAAAGAAGAAGAAATGCAGGGAAAGGGGCAAGAGCTCCTTTTTGAATATTAGTTATTGAATATTGATTGAGCAAGTAGAAAAAACGCAGTTGCTGTTTATTAAGGACTCTACTGGAATGTGAAAGATGACCAAATGGTAGTGTTTGGAGAGGAAAAGGGGACTTACAAATGAAGTGTTTGACTCATTAAGTGCAAATTTTGTCTGTTTCTCAGGGCATGTGTGTGTGTGTGTGTGGGTGGGAGGGGGCTGTATGGTATCTTTAGGACTCAAGTAGAGGAATTTTTAGGGCCTGGCATGATCGCTCAGTGGCTAAATCCTCACCTTGAATGCCCTGGGATCCCATATGGGCACCAGTTCCTATGCCTGTTCTTCCATTTCTCATCCAGCTCCCTGTTTGTGGCCTGAGATACAGTAGAGGATGACCCAAAGCCTTGGGACCACACCTGCATTTGAGACCTGGAAGAAACTCGTAGCTCCTGACTTCCGATCAGCTCAGCTCAGCCATTGTGGCCACTTGGAGGTGAACCAGTGAATAGAGTATCTTTCTCTTTGTATCTCTTTCTCTGTGTGAATTTGCCTTTCTAATAAACAATGAAAATAGACCTTTTTAAATTAAAAAAAAAAAAGAAAGAAAATTTTATTTGAAAAAGAGAAAGATCTTCTATCCACTGGCTTACTCCCCAAGTGTTCAGAGCTGGACCAGGCCAAAGCCGAGAGGTGGTAACTTGCTCTGGATTTCCCATGTCAGGAAGCGGAGACCTAACTGCTGGGCCATCGGCTGCTGCCGGGAAGGAAGCCAGACTGGAGTGCTGGCCGAGGGTAGGGGCGGCTCAGGCAGCGCCTTCACACTGTGGCAGACCCCTCCCCACCATGTTTGTATTGTATTTTGCATGTTTTGAACATTATCTTGTTATAATCCTCTGGAGAATATCAGTTTTTGTAAAGAACAGGCCATTGATTCCATTGAGTCCAGAAGTTAGTTTTGTTTATCCTTCTGCATGCATATCCCTTTCCTCAGTTTTGGCCCCTCTTGAAGCTCCTTGCCTCTGTGGACATTGCAGAGTTCTCAGGTAGCTGCTCTACAGTTGCATCTGGAGTGTTTAATTGTAATTAGTTGGCGAGAGAGTTACAGTAGGTTTGCTTTGTGCTGCCTAGAACCAGAAGTCTGGTTGGTGTCTTACGTCACTACACAATATGAATTCCACATATTTTTAAGAGAATGCTTTATTGACCTAATGTTTTTTGCATCTTGGCCTGGCCTAGATTTTTTTTTCTTTTTATTTCTTTTGCTATTCACCCGTTGAGCAGTAGGCTTTGCTTTTGTTTACCTTTGGCTATCAAGAATAGTTTATTGACCATGTGAATTTGCTGTTTTTATGTCAGAACTTTGATGATAATCTGCCGTTGTTTTTTTTAAATTCTTTTTCTACAATGAATGTCCTTGTCAGATCATACGTAATGTATCTTTCTTCTTTGGAAATATTTAAGATCTCATGATTTTTGGTATTCTATTTGACCTCTTACAATTCGTTCATATTCTTGGATGTGGAATCTTCTATAATATTTCAGCCTACATTTGATAAAATGATGTCTTTTCATTTTCCAGTTATATCCTCTAGGAGTTTTGATTAGATATCAGTAGACCATTCTTACTCTGTTGTTTGTATCACTTTGCTTATAAGTGCAATAACAGTGCTTACCTTGCAGATATAATGAGAATTAATTGAACTTGTGCAGGGCACAGTGAGAGTGGCCACCTGTGTTGAGTCTCTTGCCATGGTTGGGTTAGCTTTCCCATGCAAATGCTGCAGGAAGGAAGGCCGTGGGAATCAGTTCCCCAGACAGGCACATCGTGTTCAAGTCAGGAAGTGAAAGAGGCATACATTGCTGTGCTCCATGTCAATGAGGAAAACAGGGAAGCTTGTGGCTCAGTAGACATACAGGTTTCTAACCCAAGATAGGCATTATCTCGGAATTAAAGTTCAGTTACATGGGAGTCGGAGAAGGCTGAAGGTCAGCGGGCATTGAAGTATCTGATCACGTGTGTGCTTTCTCCTGGACTCCAAATCCAGTTACGTGACCTGAACCAATAAGGAAATCAGGTAGAAAAGGCTGAACGTTACACAGCACAAAATGTCTCTAACCCCAGGCACTTTTTGCCTTGGCTTACAGACTCCACACTTCTCTCATCGCAAGTTTTCTATGAAGATGTCACTTGAAATAAACTTAGCCCCACAGTCAGTTCTCAGAGACCTAGACACCTGTCAGCCAAGTCTGCTGTTTGAATTTGCCAAGTAACTGTGTTTGTAAGAACTGGAATAAGTAGTGTTTTGTGATCAAATTATAGCTGCTAAGTTGAACAGGATTATGTTTAAATGTATATAAATCATACTTAAAAATAATACAAATAAAGTATATCACATCTGGAAATTTATTGTGAAGAAGTAAAGAATTTGAACAGTAATGCAATTATTAAAAAGATTTCATCACAATGGCATTTAAGATAGTATAATAGTGGAATTAGTCTAAATGTCCAGTGGTGAAAAATGATAGAATAAACTTCTACATCTATACAATATGAAACTTTAAACACTTAGGAAATTGTATAGAAATGTATTTCTTGATTTGAGAAGATATTTAACATTGTTAAGCTGAAGGACCCAATTATAATATTCAAGCATGATCACATTTTTATAAAATGCATGTTCATATCTATGAGTAAACTTAATTGAATTAACAGATAGAAATGAAAATATGAACTTTATTTCTTAACATAAGATCTTTTGGATTCTTTGTCTTCAGGATGCCACTGGTGAGACCCTGTCTTGTATCCTGTTCGCAATTCTTAAACTCTTGATCCCAGTGTTGTAAAATTTTCCTAAAAATCTCTGGTCTGCAGAGGAAGGAGAGGAATACCATTGTGTTCTTAGAATTGTTTCTACAAATTACATTGAATTTTTTAAATACTAATTTAAATTTTTAAAAAATCTCTGGTTTGTCTGCAGCTGGTCTGGGCACAATACTTTGGGCGTACAAGCAGTGAAGTGTGCGTTACTTTAATGTTTCAGTCAGAATTGTGTCAGCCGAGCCAGTTGAGATGTCTGTGGTGGTAGTTTTGGTTTCTGCTGTTCATCCTCTTTAATCTGGCGTGAGCAAGGGTCCAGGTTTTCCTCACCAGTAGGTGGTCAGTCCTCTCCAGCGGGCTTCATCTGTGGCATTATCTGGTCACCCACTTGTAAACTCCTGATTGGGGGGTGGGAATTTTTGCCATAAACATTTTGTAGAGCACCAAGGATTTCACTGTTTTTCTACACCGCACATTGAAGATTTGTTCTTTAATCGTTGCAGAATTCTTGTTGCTCTGAGACAGGCTCTTTTCAAACTGATGTCTTATTCTTCTAAGTGCCTGAAACTATAATCCTATGCAACATACTGAAATAAGTTAGTAAGAGTTTATCTTGCTGCCAATTTTCCTTGGATGTTTTGAAGAGTCGTCATATTTGTAAAGAAAAGAAAGGTTTATTGAAGTGTGTATAGTGAATTTTTCTTGGAAGAAATAAACTTTTATTCTCTAATTTTCATCTTGAAATTGTTTTGCTATTTCTACTAAGAAAAATATGCTTCTTTGCAGAGTCAAGCAGTAAAATAAATGACATTATATTCATTGCAAAATAGTCTGTCTCTGTATCACTTTGTCATAGGATTACTTTTGCTTTTAAAACCATCATGTCTCATTTTTTTTTCTATTTCTTGAAGTTTTAGGGGAGATACTTGCTTTTATACATTACTTGTATTGATAAATACAATCCTTTTTGGTTTGCTTGCTCTATTTCTTTAGGTCATTGTGTCAATGAGTATAGCATTTGCTCAACAAACTGAACTGTCTAGAGTGTCTGAGGGAGTAGAAAATGGCACCGCATCAGAGCAAGCACACGCTCCCTGTCAGCAGGAAGAACAACATTTTCAGGAAAAGCAGTTACCAAAGGGCCAAGCTGTTCTTCAGGCTTTAGAGGGAACAGATACGAAGCTCAAAGAAGAATTTAAACCACTTAGTAAAGAGTTAGGAGAAGATCGAAAGGAAGTTCTGTTGTCAAATGATGAGGATCTTGCTCACACACTAGACTCAGAGGACCATGAACTGACTATTTCAGAAGAAATGTTCTGCAAAGATAAGACATTTGTAGTCAGAGAATCTGTAAGTACACTCCCCCAAATATATTTTTTTTAAAAACGTACTTACAAACAGACTCTTTTCACCATAAAAAGAAACATGTTACTGCTGCTTCATGAAGGAGCCAAGTATCAAATCTAGTCTTAATGTATTATTCGCATTAGTAGTATTGCTTTATTGGTTGAAGAGTATATGGTCAAGTAGCTTACTACTAAATAAAGCAAGGCTGGTTCCTAATTCTTGTTCGTCTTGGACTTTTTGCATAGTAAGATCTCACTGTACTTCATGCCTATGCTGATTTTGTTTCAGCTAGTTGAAGATTATACTGTGAATTGGCAGAATCTGTGAATAAAAGATCTACTTCATTAAATACAGCATTACAGGGAAGCAACTGCCTGTTTTTATTCTCTATGTACCAATTCTCTGCTTATTCAATAATGATGTTACTCTTCGTGATGTTATGCTTTGTTCCCAAGAAATACTCAGAGAAAACTATCAGCTCTATGAAATTCCAAACTTGTGAGGGAGTTACACAGTTTTTAAATTTACTAGGAACTATTCAAGGCAAAATGATTCTTTTAAGTAGTGTAAATTTTTTTCCTTTCTTTAAAAAAAAAGACAGAATTTATTTATTTAGAAAATCAAGTTACAGAGAGAGGGAGGGAGATCTTACCTGCTGGTTCAGTCTCAGTAGCCTCAGCAGCCAGCCTTGGGTGAGGCCAGAGCCAGGAGCTTCGTCTGGATCGGCCACAGTGGCGGGGACCCAAACCCAAGGGCCGCCTTCCACTGTTTTCCCAGACAGGGAGTTTTACAAGGAGTTGGATTGGAAGTGGTACACTGGGACATGAGCCAGTGACTGTATGGGATGCCAGCAATGCAGGTGGCCGCTTTTTCTACTATGCCACAACACTGGCCCCAGTGGGAGTATTTCTTCAGGAATTTAACCGTTCATTGGATCCACAAAGGAATTGACTCCTTTGGAATGTGAAAACTATAATATAAAGATTTTTATTTCCAAATAAAATATAATATTTATTATGAAGCAGTTCTCTGTAGTAGTAGTAATAGTCACTGCATAATGTAAATAAAATAAGCTTGTCATGCTTCATGATTTGAGTTTAAAATAATGTCTTATTGATATTATTTTTGCAGCATAGAATGTGGAGCTAATTAGATTGTAGTGAAACAATAGGTTTTTTTGGAAAATAATATATGCTATAATAAGCCAAATTCATGTTATTTGGGGTTTATAATGAAAAATACCTGTTTTTTATAAAGTTATTTTTAATATAGATTTAAAAAAACAGGTGCTTTATGAGGTTAGCAGAATTGCTTTCACATTTAAAGCATCCGTGCTGACAGATGTTCCCTGATTGTATTATGGTGGATGAATCGATTGACTTATTTTACTGCAGGTTCATGATGAAATTTTGGTATCAAATATGGATGCTTCTAGACAGCTAATGCTGAATGAAGAGCAGTTGGAAGATATGAGGCAAGAACTCGTCCGACAGTACCAGGAGCATCAGCAGGCGATGGAGCTCTTACGGCAGGCACACATGCGGCAGATGGAGAGGCAGCGGGAAGACCAGGAACAGCTGCAGGAAGAAATTAAGAGACTCAACAGACAGTTGGCCCAGGTACAGCCCTTACAGTCCATTTTCTTCCAGGCTGATTTGTAGCGTTGTTTTATGTAGCCTTTTTGAATACAAATATTTAACGTACGACCACACCTGTCCTGCACAATGGCCTTAGATCCTGTTAGGACCTTGTCATGTAGAAAAGCGGTTTTTTAAATCATCCTGTTGACCATATGTAGCAAAGGCAGCTTGGCAGTTTGGAAACACCTTGTGCTGAGCTGCTCAAGTGTGTAGTGGCTGTCTTTCTGTTTTCCCAGGTTTATAGTTGTGGGAACCCATGAACTAACTTTTTCAGGGTTTAACTTTATCTGTCCATAACCATCCTTTTAATCACCGTGGAAATCTACTGAAATGGTATGTTTCTGGAACTTTCTCCAGGGAAACATCTTTTCTTAATTTAAGAAATGCAAATTTATGTAACATTCTTATCCCTTTCTTGACTAAATTTGATTACTCCTTAGTATTTGGGAGCTGGGTTCTTGTTGATTGCTGAATAAAATATACTCACAAAGTCATTGCAGAAAAGCAAAGAGATATTTATGTTTAATTTTTTATGAAAACAAATTCATTGAATTTAATTTTGAAAACTAAAATTAAAAGGAGAGATAGAAATTACAGAATACTTAACACATATATACTTTCAAGTAATAGGAAAATTGAGTTAAACCTGAAGCACATTTTGAGAAAATTTGTTTGCTTTTCTTCATTGTATTTTGTGAATTCAGACTTCTGAATTTTCAATGCAAAATAGACTTACAAAATTGCTAATGAACTGTACAAATTCCTAAGTATTTCAACTTAATTAGCTTCTTTTCTGATGTTTCAGATTTTGCATTGAACTTTGTATATGCCTTTTAACCCCTTATTGTGGAATATGGATCAACAGTAGAACCAGGACCTGTGGGTCCCAGGGGTTAAAAGAAATCTGCTTAATGTTTCTGCCCTTTTCCTCTATCGCAACAATATTCTCTCATGACCTTTTTTCTCATTTAGAGATCCTCAATAGATAATGAAAACCTGGTTTCAGAGAGAGAGAGGGTGCTCTTAGAGGAGCTGGAAGCACTAAAGCAGCTGTGTTTAGCTGGAAGAGAGAAGCTGTGTTGTGAGCTGCGCAACAGCAGTACGCAAACACAGGTAGTGTGGACTCTGGCCCATCTAGGAACAATGGAGCAACGATGCAGTAGGGTTTGTCTGTCTGTGTTGTTGGTGTGAGATGTATTTTGTAGGTAATAAGCTTATCGTGTTTGTGATTGCTTACATGTAAGGTAGGTGGAGTTAACATGCCTGCATTCTCCTCATGGTAATTTGCATTTGGCATTGCTCTGGTAAATACTGCTTCAAGAAGCAGATCGCTTCTTAATCGTTGCACTTTGGCATGCATTACTTTGAACCTGTTGCAAGTTTTTTGTCTCTGCACTAGAATGTTTTATCTTTCTTGGTAATGCTAATTTCCTGATAAAATGTAGTTAAATATTAATTCAGGCAGTGTCTGTCTCGCCTCGACCCGGTAGAGAAGGGCACCTGCGGCTTCCCAGATGACAGGGTTTCTTTCTGTCTTGTCCTCTCTGCCGCTGAACAAACTTCAGCAGGATGGAAGTGAAAACCAGCCGGAAGCGGAGGAACACACGTTCACAGAGAAGGAACTGGACAGAAAACCTGAGGACGTCCCTCCTGATGTCCTGTCCAGTGAAAGGTATACAAAACATGTTCTTATTCAGCGCAGAGGAAATTCACTGGTTACTTCAGTCTGCTCAACTTTTTGTCCTCTTTTATTATACTGCACTTTTTTACTTTGTCTTACTCTGTTTACGAAACTAATTTCTGTATGTGTAAAATGTGAAGGATTATCAATTTTTGTCATTAAATACATTAAAGGATATTTTATATGTGATGTAGTTTTCACTGGATAATTGTATTTAACTATAAATGTTAGGGTATTTATTGGATATCTCACCTTTCATGATTAATTTTATTCCTCTTATGTGTTTTTTTGTCCGAAGAAATAATGGTACATGTCAGCTTTATTCTTTGTTCGTATTGTGTGAATATGATGTTGCCATGTTGTGGCTTGTTTACATGGAGAGGCAAAGTCATGCGTGTCAATACTCACATTTACCTTCTCATATTTCATAACGCACATACTTTGAATCCTTGTCCCAGTTATATAGAGGAATAAATTAATCACCTGGTGTTAACAGAACGTTTCTTTAGTTGATTTTGTAGAGGATAATATAAAAGTATAAAATACTAGATGTAAATGAATGTCCCACATTAATGCTAAGGACTTTTTAAAGCACAATATTTTAAAATTTGTTTTGTTCAAATGAAACATTTTTAAGACCTATCTACTAACTTGATCTCCTCCTTCTCCGGTTTCTGTGACTGTCCCCCCTTTGTGTCCTCCTGACCCCTCCCTCAGCTTGCATGGAGGAATTTGGCCCCTAAGATTTTGGCTTCCCCATTGGATCATCAGTATGGAACGCAGTCAGTATGGAGCTCAAACAAGAAAGACAGTGTATGAAAACCTAGAGTTGACCGTAGCAATATAAAATAAACACCGTGTTTATTTTATATTATCCATCTCTAATTGGTGTATTTTTAAATTATAGAGTATTTAATTTAAAAATTTTATAGTAAGTGCTTATAAATTTTCATCTTTATTTTTACCATTGTATTAATTTTAACCATTTATCTTAAGTAGAAGTATTTTCATATTATCCTATGCTGAGGTTTAAAGTTTGAGCAGAACCTCATAAAAAGTAAATGAAATAAAACCCTTAACTTCCTAATAAGTTTTTTTGAGTTTTATTTTTAATATTCTTGATTATATAAGCAGAGAGCTTGATCTGAGTACAAAAATAGAACTGTCTCAACTTACACTTGACAAACACTAACGAAAGCTTTTCCATTTGTTACCTTGTCTTAAAATAGATATGTCATGTGCCTGTGAAACACATCTTTTAACCTGGCTGTTGGTAAACTCCTCTGTTGTGAAGCTAAGAGATAAAAACTATCTTAAATCAGGAAATCTTTACAATGCCAATCTGATTTTGTCCACATTTATTAATTTTGCCACATTAGTACCACTGTCAGATGAAGCACTAGAATGAGTTTCTTAATTATTCAGAAAAGTGGCCTGGTAATCTTCTGGGTCACCAGTGATGGAAGTATATAACTTAGTGATTATGTGTGTGTGTGTAGACGTACACACACACACACTCATTTGAATCTATAAATAAAGGTATTAAAATGTTAATAGTGATTACCTCTGGGAATGTATAGCAATATTGTCTTATTTTTTTTTAAAGTTAAGAATGTGTTGTCTTTTGAAAAGTATAAGCAGTCCATTAAATTGTTTAGGTTGGAATGAATATAGTGTGTGTAAGGTGTGGCACCTGTCTGAGGAGCAGATGTGATGGACAGCAGGCTGTGATATAGCTCCCTCTGCTGTTAACAGATGGAAATGTCACTGTAAATCTTTTTGAAAGCATCTCTGCCCATTAACTTCTTTTGTGATTTGATTTAGTTCGTCACCATTAACTTGTAGAAATACTGCCACAATTTCTTTTTTGCTTTGTGGAATTTTTTCATTTATATTTTTAGAATAGTTTTTGTGACACATAAAAATATTGAATGTAAAAAAACTATGTGAGTCAATAGCCATGAACAATAATTTCAACTTTAAAAAATGTGAATGCCCAGATACTTTGATACTTTTTAAGACTTAAATTTTGTATCTGTTTAAATTTTTCTTTTTATCTGCTTAGTACTTAAGTGTTTTGCTTTCTTTCAAGTCAAAATACTAAACATTTTAGCAGAACTGCCAAACTTTAAAAAAATAAAAAAATGTGAAATTGGCTGCAGTTTTTCAGGAACAGGTCATGTCAAGTCACAAACAAGCTGTAGGTACTATTGCATGTTATGTAATTAGGGAGGAGCATAGGGTATTTTTCAAATCAAATGCTTCATAGTATGTATTTGTAGGGTATAAGCACAATGCTTTGGGGATACTGAGCATTTTTGTAATTCTTTATGCAGATATGCACTTCAGAAAGCTAATAACAGACTTCTCAAGATCCTCGTGGAAGTTGTAAAGACAACAGCAGCTGTTGAAGAAACTATTGGCCGCCATGTCCTTGGAATTCTAGATAGATCTAGTAAAATCCAGTCATCTGCCAGTCTGATGTGGAGGTCAGAAGCAGAGGCATCTGTAAAATCATGTGTCCATGAGGAACATATAAGAGGTACCAGTTTTATCACCATTAACTTCAACTCTTGCTGAATTCAGAATTTGCCTGTGTGTTGGAAATAACAGAAGAGAAACTATCCAAGTATTTTCCATTCAAGAGATGTCCAAATAAATATACATGACAACCACTCTACTCAGAACATCTTACTGTATGGCATTTGCAAGCGGATTTGTTAGAGTTGTCACACAGATTTAGGGTCACTCCTGGGAGATCCTGTTTTATTTTTCCACCAATGAAAAATTCCACATCACCAATCAGGATTGCTGGGAGACATCCTGAAAATACCCTAGTGAATTACAGGACGCTTGGAGGTAGAGAACTGTGAGGAATCCAGCCCCATTTCACTTACTTGTTAAGATGGTTGGAAGTCCATTTGCAAGGTGCAGTCTTGTCTTTGGATTGTCTTCTGCTGGAGGTTTTCTTCTTGAAAAGGTGGTTTGAAAGATGGCAGAACATGTCTGGGTCCAGAGCCCAGATCCTGACGTGACAGCCATCTTGCTAACTTGTCTTCCTCCAACTTTGTTGGTTTGTTATGTCGCATTGCCAACCTCTAGCCTCTGTCCTTCAATTCCTTATCCCTTGCTGGAGAAGGAATCAGGAAATGAACAGGGGGACAGTTTTGTCAGCCAGGGAAAGATAGGATCTGGACTTGTCGATCAGAAGACAGACCCTGCAGCTCATATCTGTCTCCAATTCCTGAAGATGCCAGTTCTTGTCACTTTATCAAAAATGATTTATCCATTTATTTGATAGAGTAAATAAATAAATAAAGAGGGGTCTTCCATCTGCTGGTTCCCTCTTCCTGTGGCTGGAACAAGCAGAGCTGATCCAGGCCTGAGTCAGGCTTGTGCTAGGAGCTTCATCCACATACCCTCTTTTCGCAGGCTATTAGAGCTGGATCAGAAGCGGAAGTACAGGGACCAGAAATGGTGCCCGTGTGGGATGCTGTCATCACACATGGCAATTTTACCCACAATACCAGCTTCCCAGTTCTTGTCGTTTTTAAGACTATGCTACTTGTTGCATTTTCTGTGAAGAAAGAGGCTGTTATTCACTTAGAGGTAGAAGGTTTACATTTGGACATGTTGGCAAATAGTGTGTTTCTAAGTGCAGAGAAAAGCTTTACTTGGGATTTTAAATAAATATATTTAAAAACATTCTTTCAATTTGAAGTGAGATCCCCATGGAGTCATAATATTTAATGTTTACTTATAACACTTTAGGTGTGGTTGAGTTAGTTCAGCTCTTCAGGGTTTCATTTCAGTGCTGATGTCTGAATGAGTAGTATTGGAATGCAAGAGGAAGCATGAAATGCATAATTAAAAATACAATGTAGAGAATAATGCAAAAGAGATCGTTTTGCTGGCATTAGCATCACAGTTTATAGCATGCAGTTTTCATGTAATTCTATGACTTGATGTTTAGCAATGATGTTAATCTTACCAATGACATTAGGATGACCACTTGTCAGCTTAATTTTTCGTCTTGAAGGATATGTTGACTTAATAGAATTTTAAAACTTCTAAAAATATACCTTAAGGAAAAACTTAAAATTCTGACACTGGTCTAGATGTAAGAATTTTGGGCATTGGAGGCTGGCACCTCTGGCATCCCATTTGGGATCTGGTTTGATTCCCAGCAGCTCCACTTTCAATCCAGTTCCCTTTAGTTCTTCTGGGACAGCAGCACTGATGGTCCAGGTGGATCCATGCACCCACCAAGGAGACCTGAACAAAACCTCTGGCTTCGTGTGGCCCAGCCCCACGGTTACAGCCGTTTGGGGAGTGAACAGCAGATGGAAGATTCCCCCCTCTCTCTTTTTTTTCTCCTTATCTCTCCCTCTCTCTGTAACTCTGCCTTTCAAATAAATAGAATTAATTTTTTGTAAAAGGGTTTTTTCTGAGATTCCTTTGTATTTTAATAGAAGTGTTATTATAAAAAACTAAAACATAATTTTGAATTTTTCTATTTCTTATATACTAGAGCATGGTTTTTAAGAAGTTTTATTTATTTTTATTGGAAAGACAAATTTACGGAGAGGAGAGACAGAAAAATCTTCATCTATTGGGTCACTCCCCAGATTGCTGCATCGGCTGGAGCTGAGTCAAACCGAGCCAGGAATTAGGAGCTGCTTCTGGGTCTCCCGTGCAGGTGCAGGGTTCCAAGGACTTGGGCCATCCTCCAATGCTTTCCCTGGCCAGAGGCAGGGAACTCAATGGGAAGTGAAGCAGCCGGCACACGAACTGGCACCCATATGGGTTCCCAACACTTGAAGGAGAAAGATTAGCCAATTGAGCCATCGCTCCTGGCCCGTTACTCAGCTACTATGCGTGACTTTTTGTTGTAATATTTCTGTTCTGTTTTCAAGCTTCAGATCTGAACTAGTTTGTATTGTAAACATGCATCAACTATGTTTAACACTCAAAAAAATGAATAGTTATTTGGTGAACTGGTTCCTGAAATTGAAGGGAAGTTTTGAACCAGTGTGAAATCACTTGAGCCTGAGTAGATATTGGATGAGTCATGAGGTTCCTCAGGTTGTGTTGAAAGAAAATTGCCTTTAGGCTTACTGGCTTGACAGCAGGAGGCTGGGGACTGAGTCTGCTCTCCTGCGGTTTCCTTCTGAGCAGTGTGAGGCTGCAGGAGGAGGCTGGGGTAGTAAGCGGAGGCCTCCATTTCTTGCTGGCTCACTGTGCCAGTGTTCATTACGGTTTTCTCGGTGTTGGTGCTGGGTCAGCTAGGGCCCACTGTACCCTGGTAGGAGTCCAGGAAACCTTTACAGTCGCTGGAGGCAGCTTGCCCACCCTGCTCTCTGTCAGGGAAGAAACATGAGGGAGTGGAAGGAACACGGAAGAGAGGCAGACAGCACTCCAGGGACCCTCGTTGCTCCGTCCTTAGGACGTGCCCTGGAGAGTTCGGCAATCTGCATTGATTGAACAGTCGGCATGCGATGAATCTGCCCTGTTGGTTGGTGTTATCCTGATTTTTTCCACACAGGATGAGTTGTCTTCCTCGTTCCTTTATATTATAGGGCTAATAAGACAAAATCTGGTTCATCACTGGAATATATTCAGATTATGTCAAATTGTTACAAACTTTAAACTATTTTTTAAAATAAAATGCATCAGAATTGATATCTTCATGTTTTTTAAATCCTTTTTTTTTTAAGATTTATTTTATTTTTATTGGAAAGTGAGATATGCAGAGAGGAAGAGAGACAGAGAGGAAGATTTTTGTCCATTGATTCACTCCCAAAGTAGCCACAACAGCCAAAACTGAGTCGATCCGAAGCCAGGAGCCCAGAGCCTCTTCCGGGTCTCCCATGCAGGTACAGGATCCCAAAGTTTTGGGCCATCCTCAGCTGCTTTCCCAGGCCTCAAGTAGGGAGCTGGGTGGGAAGAGGGGCCGCCAGAATTAGAACAGATGCTCATATGGGATCCTGGCACTTACAAGGCGAGGACTTTAACCATTGATCTACCCCGCCAGGTAGATTCTTTAATGTGTTTTTTAATTAATCATTTTGAAAACTTATACTCATTGGTCTTTTATCAGTCATGCTTTGTGAGTCTTCTCCATTTTGTCCTTCAGGTTTGCTCCTATGCTTGTCTTCAGTTTTTTCTATACTGCTATTTGCTTCAATGTACCCTAGAAACAATGCTGGTACATCCATACAGCTTCTTTTTAAAAAAGGGAAAGGGCCCAGTGCAATAGCCTAGCAGCTAAAGTCCTCGTCTTGCAAGCGCTGGGAAAAAGATATTGCTCTCAGCTTTGTTCTCCATAAAATAAATTCCAGCAAGCTTGATGAGAAAGTAGACTAACACCTGCATTCGCCAGCTTTGGTTTCTATTCATTGTGAGATGTTTTCTTGGCTCCTGGAATGTCTCTCCTATTGGTCTCTGCTGTTTTCCTGTGCTGACTCTTAGCTTATGATTAGGGACTCCACCTTGGGCTTTGTTCTCTCACTAAATATTTCTCATAAAACAAATGCATCCATTGGCCGCGTTCCAGCTCTGCTCTTCCCCTTCCGAGGCTTTGAAGATCCGCGTTAGTAACAGCTGATTCACATGGCCCAGGGCACGTCACACTGCTGATTTTCACGCTCACTCTGCAACTTTCCCCTGGCCTGGGGCGATTTCTTTGTGACTGAGATTTGTCATCTAAGAGTCATCTCAACTGGAAACTCATTTTCCTGCCTGTCTCAGCTGCTGCATCTTCTCAAGCCGGGCCTTCTCCTGAGCCCGTTCCCAAGCCGACCATCTTTATTCAGTCTTCATCGCTTTGCTACTTTCCTTTCTTTGTTTCTTCTTTCTCTCTTCTTCTTTCTTTCTAAGATTCATTATTTTTACTGGGAAGGCAGATTTATATTCCCCAAATGGCTGCAAAGACCAAAGATGAGCCAATGTGAAGCCAAAGTCAGGAGCCTCTTCCAGGTCTCCCATGTGGGTATAGGGCTCAAAACTTTGGGCCCTCCTGCCCTGCTTTTTGAGGCCATAAGTAGGGAGCTGGATTGGCTGTAGAGCAGCTGGGACATGAGCAAGTGCCCTAATGAAATGCCATTGTCACAGGCGGAAGATTAGCCTGTTGAGCTATTACAGCAGCCCTTGTTCTTATATTATCTTCCTGCCCAGTTTATCTTCTTTTAGCCCCGCAGTTCATCTCCACTTTCAGTTTTGCCCTGGAAAGCCTGGAACACCTGTATTCGCATATGTTGTTCTGCGACAGTGCTTTTGTGAAAAACGTTGTCGTTTTAAATCTTGATTTGATTTTGTTACTTTATAATGCAATCATTATAATTAGCTTATGTCTTGAAAATATTGTTATTATAGTTACAGACGACTCCATCCCCCCTTACTCTGGAAATGATGTGTCAAGGAATGACAGTAGCGTGTGGTCCAAAGTGACCGAGGAAGGAGCGGAGCTGTCCCAGCGGCTTGTGAGGACTGGTTTTGCTGGATCTGAAATAGACCCTGAGAATGAAGACCTGATGCTGAACATCAGTTCTCGACTCCAGGCAGCAGTTGAAAAACTCCTGGAAGCCATAAGTGAAACTAGCAGTCAGGTAACCCCTTTTTGTTGCTGCTACATGCCGAGTTTGCTTTAGTCTCTTCAATTGGTAAGAGTTAATATATACTGATGGCCTCTTCCAGTTCTTAACCTCACTGTCATTTTATTGATTTGTTTCTTTGTTTAAACATTTAAATATTTTCATTGGAAAGGCAGGTTTACAAAGAGAAGGAGAGACAGAAAAAAGATCTTCCATCTACTGGTTTACTCCCAAATGGCTACAACAGCCAGAGTTGAGCTGATCCACAGCTAGGAACCGCTTCCAGATTCCCCATATGGGTACAGAGGCCCAAAAACTTGGGCCATCCTCTGCTGCTTTCCCAGGCTGTAGCAGGGAGCTAAATGGAAAGTGGAGCAGCCATGACACAAACCCTTGCACATTTGGTTTGCCACTTGCGTGCAAGTGGAGGGTTAGCCATTTGAGCCATCGTGCTGGCCCCTTCATTATCATTTTAATACTCACATCATCTATGTAGACCCTTAGACATTCTGCCATCCAGATCTCCCCCCCCCCCCAGTTGATCAAGGCACATGACACAGGCCACCTCCTCCTGTTTTCTCTGGTGCGTTAACAAGAAACTGCATTGGAAATGGAGCAGACAGGACTTAAACCTTTGCCCATAAAGGTTGTGCATTCTAGCCAGTGACTTAACCCCTAGAGCCGCAATCCTGGCCTCAGACATTACTTTTTATTGAGCAAAAAAGAATTTAATTTTGGAACTATTATATGAAATCTTCTCCTGAAGTCTGTATTATTTGTTTGAAATAATACATAGGGAATCTCCAAAATCCAATACTGTAATATATTATAACACTGTTACAGTTGTTGCAGTATGACAAGTCGTGTGCTGTCCTTTGCATACTTGTTTACAGCCATTTTACAGATAGGACAGAAGACTGCTGCTTACGGGTCTCAGTGGAAATCAGGATGGGGGATAGTTATTACATCAAAGTACTAGTTTTTTGACACTGAAAGTACTTTAAGAATTGTGGTATTTTTAAAGTGGTTTTTTTAAAGTATACTTCCTATTTAAAACTTTTATTTCATGGATGGTGCCTTTGTCTAAAATTATAAAGCACAGAAATTTTTAAAAACATTTTTATGAAGGAAGATACATATATGGCCCGCCTCACCTCGGTGTTTGCTAGTGGTGTTTGCTAGCCTGGCCTGGCCCACCCCACCCCCAATTCCAGCTCCTGAGGGTTATAGCCTAACCCAGCTCCGCAGGCATCCTGTTCTAGCTGTATTATGTACCGATATGCGTTGCGACCATACCTGGTCCGACCCACACTGTTCTGGTGCTCGAATTCGTTAGCAGCTTATGTGAACTGGTTCAGCCTGGTCTGCCCCTGACCTGTGCCAAATGCATGCCGGTGGGTACCTTTCCCTGGCCTGGTCTTGACTGTCCCTTATCATGCTTCTTGCACTCACGTGCAGGGACTGTGACCTGCCAGATGAGCTAGCCCTGCTCAGTCCACCTCCTGACCTAGTAGAACAGTGCTTTTCCTGACTGGCCTTTGACCCATTCTGGTTCTTATTGTTGAATGTTTCAGCCCGGTCAAGGCTCATTCCTACCCAAACACAGCTCACACAAGGCTCAGTAGGGGCAGAGACCTAGCCTAGTCCATCCTGCATCTACTCTGGTCCTCCAGAGCACCAGATGCTGGAGTCTACCCCGGCTTGATGCATCCAGTCCCAGTCCACACTTGTGCCAAGGGAGACTGCAGCCCTGTCCAGACCAAAACGCAGCCCCGTGCTCCTCAACAGCCCCAACCCAGCTGGGGTGTCCCCTTAGCTCCCAAACCGGGCCTGTTTCCAGCCATAGATCATATGCATGCCAGTGGTTGCTCTGACTCAGCTTGGCATAGCCCCTCACCTGTATTGGCCTTTGCCTTACATGCCGTAGCCTTGCATCCCTGGCTCATGCAGACCCATAGATGTAAGAGCCTAGCTCGGCATGACTTGTGCTCCATCCTGATTTCTATTTTTGCTTGTGAGCTAAGGTTTGCTCAGCCCTGCCTGGTCCACCTCATTCCATTACTGACCCACGCATTAGCCAGCCATTGGAGCTACTTTGCTCAGCTTGTCCAGGCCCCAGGCCTGGACTACGTGTTCACCAAGGGGAGCTATGACTTACTAGAAGAGTTTCCCAAGTTCTTCCACTTGACCCACTCCCAGACCCGGTTCTCATACATGGCAGCTCAACCCACCCCACACCCTATTTAGGATGCACATTCAGGTGCTGCTGCCTTGACCAGCTCAGCAGATTGTAATGTTGAGTGACTGGAATATTGGTAGTCTTGTATCTATTAAAATCCACTTAAGTGACCTTGGCTGTGCTATGTATAATTACAACATCTTCACAGACCAACTGAAGTCTCAAGGAAGGAACTACAATAAGTAAAAATGGGTCAATACCTACTCCAGAGTTTTAAGAGGTACCTGCCCTCTCCCTTGCCAGATTCCGGAATCCCTTTGGAAAGTTGGCGCTCCTCTGTGCTGATTGGTTGCCCTGCTGTGAGGGACTAGCTCCTGGCTCCGCAAACAGCCTTGTGCGGGAGGGGTACCTGCTTACTGTCCCTTTGCAGTTTTCCATTGAGAGAAGGCTTGGTGGGTTTAGGAGATTTAGTTACTAAGCAGAAAGAGAAAGGCACAAGATGAAAACTTTTTCCATCACTTAAAATGTTTATTATGACAAATCCTTTATTTTAAGAAGTAAGTCGTGTATCTTTGATAATTCTTATTTATTCACTGTTGCTAAGGCTTTTGGAGCTAGACTTAGCCTGACCCTTTTAATTGTAGTCAAGGTGTACTGGATACCTTCAGTGGTATAACTACCAGTTACACAATGCAGCTCTTAGAAGATTTATTTTTCCGTAACATGCGCTGTGTAAACAGTTTAGTATGAAAATAGCTTAGAACCTGTCTATATTTAGATATAGTGGCTGCTTCAGAAGATGAGTGTCACTTCTAAGGAAATATCGAATGGAAGGTCAGTTTTGATGTTCCAGAAATATTTAGGATTATTTTATATTCTTGAATAATTGATTAACATTCTTGATTTTTCATACTTTAAAAAAAAAATCAAACTGCTTAATGGGATGGAAAAATACCAGCCTATTTTAGAAACCTCATAAATGTGGCTGAATCACCTTTCCAAACCTTTGACGTGGAACTTGGATCCTGTCGGGCAGGCTTTTGTGGGCGTAGTAATTCGCATTCCACCTGTCGCTGTACCTGTAGGTAGACTTTAAACCACACCCTGTGTTTTGACCTTTTTCCCGCGGGGACACTGACATGAGAGCTCTGGCTCAGCCCGAGAGGCTGTTTGAACAGCTCAGCTCAGGGGAGCTTTTCCTTCTGAATAGAGTGAAGCAGCAAGAACCAGGGGAAATACCAGTGTTGCAAGTGCATTTCTCAGAACTGCTGCTATGGAAATTTAAAACTTGACCTTCTCTGCTAGGTCTTGTGTGGAAGACTTACCTCAGACGTATTCAATACGGAGAGCAGCCTTATTGCTCAACTAATTAGATATTTATTTTTTCATTCTTTGGAGATTTAATTCTGATTTGTAGAGACTTTTGTTGTTGTGATTTATTAGCTTTGCTTTTCTTATTTTTTTGATTTTTGTTTTATTTTTGGTTGTTTGGATGAAAACAACTGAGAGGTGTTTTGTTTTGGATTTTTGTGTGTGTGTGTTTTGGTTTTTTTTATTTGTTTTGTTCTGGGTTTTTGTTGTTGTTGTTGTTGTTGGTTTTGGTTTTTGTAAATTTGTACACTTTTTCCCCCTGTGGACCTTACCACCTTTTTATTGCTCGGGTCTGTGAATTAAGCTTACAGTGGATTCTGACAGTGCTAGAAAGACATTTTCGTACTACTGTTCTGTCTCTTGGTGAGCTAAAAAGAGCGTGTTGATGTAGTGGAAGGCTGGTCATGTAATGAGAAAGCTTGGCAACTGCGTCTACTGGGATGGATTCTTACAGAACCTACCTGGCAACTCTGAAACTCAATGGCTCTTGGCTGGAAGAACAGGATGAAGATATTTATGAAGTTGAATCTCGTGTGCCTTTACCATATCCTTTTCCTCTGTGTGAACATTTGGATGAAAATAACTCAGTAATTATTAACACATCCATTTTCCATTTTATTCATAAGAGAAATGGACACATATTAAAGCTTATTTCTAAAATTTCACTGCCTACCCCTCCTTATTCAGTAAGTATAAAAATATTCTTTTAAAGACTATTTCATGAAAATAACATTTTCAGAGTGTTTGATAAGAGTAAATGAGATAGAATTTTGTTTTGGTGTTTGTTGTGTCTGCTCATTCAGCCTGGATGTGTTAAAGAGCTGAATTTGGTTTGGGAACCTCAACTTGGCTGCGTTTTTCATTTGCAAACGCTGAAGGAGTTACTATTGCATTCCTGCAGCAACGCCAGGCATGCTGAGAGAAGGTCCTGCTTGTCCCTGACATGCCTGCTTTTGTACGCTTATGCGGACAAATGGAATGCTTAGGTTGGAAAGATAGACACTGTGATTCCTAAAATACCTAAGTGGGTTGTCACAAAGCCAGTTCGGAAATGTTTGCAGTCATATGGCCAGTAGGCTGTGGTTCCAGACAAGGAAAGAGGAAACGCGATTCTAAACGTCTTAATATATCTGTTACTGCTTTGGGCAAAACTTTTTTTCTTCTGCTTATTATGTGAGAGATACTTTATGAACATTGTTAAGGAGAGTGCTCTGTGTAGAGGCCCACATATTTAGTATCTAAGGTTCCTTTGATATTTAAACGTGTTTTAAATGATTCATTGCGAGTTACTCAGCACCTTTATGACTTTTGAGACTTCATCTATACTGTACTAGCTAATATTTAACAAGGCAGAGGCATTTCATGGTAGTTTGTATTACCTCTTGGAACTTTCATATATAGTGAAAGAATATTTAAACATGATTTTAATGTAATAAGTTGCCCCGATCCTTTGAAAATACTTATTTTGAAGCATTTGTGCATTTCATGTTAGTATAGAAATGAGGAGTAATCATATCTTAACTGGATAGAATAAACTTTTTAGATATTAAACATTTAATAAAATGAGATCTTATCTGCTGTAATACAGTTTGTTTGCTATATTTAGTGTAATTGATTTGACTTGTGTTGTTTTATAAAACAGGATTTTTTGTGTGACTTTATGATAAATATTTAAATTACTTTAGGGCTGGTTTATCAAGAAGCAAAACACAAACGAAAGCAACGAATGATCCGAAAACCAAGAGCCAGGAGATTCCTCTGGGTCTCCCCAGGGGTGCAGGGACCCAAGGACCTGAGCTGTCCAGCCATGATTAAGGAGCTGCATCGGAAGCAAAGCAGCTGGGATATGAACTGGCACCCATTTGGAATGCCAACGCTTACAGGTGGAAGATTAGGTTTCAACACTGTTGCCCAGGCCCTGGTCATGTTTTTTATTAATAAAAATATTTATTATTTCTCCACATTAGCAGAAAAAAAGTTCATGTGCCAGTTAAAAGTAAAAATATAAAGTTTTACACTTTTGGAGATAATAACATACCGCAGACACTTTAGAAAGCAATCTGTAACTTAAATTTTATTGTCTGTTTTCTGTTGTGAGCCTTGTGTCATTCCTGTTCAGATAAGTTTATGTGATAATTAAAAAATCCCAATAACAATAATTGCAGACTGGATATTTTGGAATTGATCTAAACTATAGCAAGTTTTAGTAGCTGGGAAATCCATTTGCTCTGGTAAATGCCATTCAGCTTTGAAGAACAGGAATCTTTAGTTTAAAAATATAATATTCAGAAAATTATGATTTTATAGAAGTTGCTATTTTGCTATAAATTATAAACCAACATATTTGATTGTTATTTTAAATTTAAAAAGGAAAATAATGGGCCTGGTGTGATAGAGTAGTGGTTAAAGTCCTCACCTTGCACACACTGGGATCCCGTATGGGCTCTAGTGAGTGTTCCAGCTGCTCCACTTCCCATCCAGCTCCCTGCCTGTGGCCTGGGAAAGCAGTAGAGGACGGCCCAAAGCCTTGGGACTCTGCACACATGCGGGAGACCCGGAAGAGGCTCCTGGCTCCTGGCCGTTGTGGCCACTTGGGGAGTGATTCAGCTAATGAATGTTTCTGTATCTCCACCTTCTTTCAGTAAATCTGAATTTCCAATGAAAAAATAAATCTTTTAAAAAATAATGATACACATAATGCATTTATACATTTAAAATTTTTACAGCATCAGCATATAATATAGTAATTGAGGCTTTGTAGCATCAGTATGTAATATAGTATATTAACTGATACCTGTTATCATTCCTGTTTAAAGTTTTGGTAGTAAGCAGTATAAACATATGAACCAGATTTTTCCCCACGTGAAGTTCTTTTGGTAGAGCAGATGCAGAAGCCCATAACACTGAGGCAGGCCCGTGTCTCTCTGCAGGTGTGTGCTGCGCACAGCAGGCTCAATATCGGAGAGCCCGCACACCCTCCTTGGCATTGTCCTTGAGTCTGTACTGCCATCCTGCAAATTTGTTAAAGAATGTCGTTGGAGCATGTCAGTGATAGCTTGTGAGGGAAGCTGTGATTATGGTTCATGCCTCTGAATTCCAAGGTTTTGATAAGTTGAATCTTCATAGAGACTTTAAATATTTCACAAATGGATAGTAATACATGGCTTTGAGTTAAAATGTGTAGGTTACAAATGCACTTTGATTTGTTGCACCACTGTGATTTTGTTAACTGATACCATGCTACTAGTATTAGTTATGTATTATTAATTCCCTATACTGTACAGCAGATACTGTAGGGTCACAGTCAATAAATCTTAAGTATAAAACTTAAAAAGGCTGTCATAGAGCACACACCTACAAAGAGTACTTTGGTAGATACAGTGAGGACCTTGCTCCATTAACCGTATACTCCTCTTTACGTGATGCAATCATAGGCACACATTGATTTGAAAATAAGTAGATTCTGTTGTGCAATAAAACTAGACTATTTGATTGGAAGTTGTACCGAGTTAATACGCCTTTTTTCTATTACATATCTACCTGTTTATGTTAGCATATATTAGCAATACTTCAAAAGCTGTAATTCAGTTCTGTAACTTTACTTAAAATCTTTTTCTAACATGAATGACACTGCTATTCTCAATACTTTATCTGCCTTTCTGGATTTTTCTACCCCTTGTTTAGCTTGAACATGCAAAAGTTACCCAGACAGAGTTGATGCGTGAGTCATTCAGACAGAAACAGGAAGCCACGGAGTCCCTGAAGTGCCAGGAGGAGCTGCGAGAACGCCTGCATGAAGAGGCCCGGGCCAGAGAGCAGCTGGCGGTGGAGCTCAGCAGGGCCGAGGGTGAGCACCTTGCCCGCAGCTGCAGGCTGGAGACTGCCTGCGGCAGATGGATCTGATGCACAGCCTGGCGTGGGGAGCACCATTCAAGGCTGACTTAGAGCAGCCACTGAGAAGGCGTTCCTCCATGCAGTGCTTGAAAACTTGTGTAAGCTTAATGATGAGAAGAGTGTATAGAATCCCAGAAAACATTACAGATTTCAGAAAATACAGAAATGGCTGATGGTGAATTATTCTAACATCACCATCCTGAGACACTATTTGCAGCTTAAAGAAAACTGAGGCAAAAAGTATCATTAATTGCTTAAAATCTCTGTTAAGAGGTGATTCCAGGCCCTAAGCTCCTGAAGCCCCATGATCAACCGTGTGTCCTTGTTTTTGCACCTCCCGCCCCCTTTGGCTCTTTCCTTCCTTCATTGGTGCCTTATTTTCATTCAGATTTATTTATTTGAAAGAGTTACTGAGGAGATCTTCATCTGTTAGTTCACCTCCCAAATGGACACAACAGAGTTGCTTCTTTAGGATGCAGTGTTACGGGCAGTGGCTTAACTGGCTGTGTTACAGCACCACACACGCTCCTCCCCGCCACCATGAGCTTGTGTTTTCCCATGCTATTATGCCTTATGGCTGTTTTAGAAACCCTTAAAATGTCTGCCTTCTCTAGTGATTTAAAATATGATTCCATTCACAAGTATCTGAATTATGTTAAGCTGTTTATATCTGTGATGAAGTCAGCCACGCCTACAGGATGTGGTGCTTGAGCAGAACAGAGTACTGAAAAGTGGAAAAACTGCAATGAGTTTGCCATATTAAGGCAGCAGATTCAGGCATGGCTTGTAATAGATGGCATGATTTAAAGCTTCATTGACAGTATTCCTTTTATTGCTTGTATTGAAGCTTAAAGGTAAAAACTGATTCCTTTCCCTGTGTGTTCATGTTGTCTCGTAGGTGTCATTGATGGCTATGCAGACGAGAAGACAGTATTTGAGAGGCAAATTCAGGAGAAAAGTGATCTGATCGATCATCTTGAGCAGGAGCTGTTGTGTGCAGGTAGCAGACTGCGGGAGCTGGAGGCAGAGCGACAGCAGGTTCAGGATGAGAGAGAATTACTGTCGCGACAGAAGGAGGCGATGAAAGCCGAGGCAGGCCCCATCGGGCAGCGTATGTATTTTTGTGCTATGTATGAAACATCCCTTTTAAAATTTATGTTATTTAAAATTTCAGCCTGACTTCCCCCCCCCTTTCCATGCCATTCTTGACATATTTAAGAGAGTGTGGAAATTGTAAGAAAACCTGCCTTATAGATGAAATGTCTTTTTAGCCAATCATATGGAATCATGATTTTTTTTTCCTGTCAACTCATGTGTACAGAAAAAGATGTTCTTCATTCATCCTTAAACTTCTGCCTCAAGAGATAGCTGCAAATAATGAGGCATGATGTTTGTTAAATTCTCTAAGATGTGGTTGTTTTAATAACAGATAGGCAACAAGATGTATGACTGAGGGTTCCCCAGCAAAGAGTGCTGGTCTGGCATGTGGTGGGAGTGAGTCTGGGACTGCTGTTGGGGATGACGCTAAGTTAGGCAGGCATAGCTTGGAGTTCAGGCTTTCTTCACAGTAAGTGACAGTCTGTAATGGTGGAACTTTTTAAATCCTGTTTATATTAGACATGTAGTTGGAATTACAAGTCGGTTTCACTAATTTCATTTTGCCTGTTTTTTTCAGGTTAGAATTTAAGAATAGAATTAGAATTTTTCACTCTGGAAATTCTTAGAAATTTTTTATCTGGATGTAAAACCTCAAATGTTACCAGTGTTAATAGCTTTTGCTTCTAATACTTGTGTATATGTGTGAATTACTATATTTTAGGAACTAGAAGACTTACGAAGTCTATTTCTGTCTTGTCTGAGCTTGTTTTTGTTCTCATAGGACTAGTCAGTGCTGCAGTGGATGCAGCGCCTGGAGCAGGTGTGTGTACACAGTTGCATGGCCAGTCTCCGAGTGGTAGACTTACTGCTTCAGAATTGGCGTGACCCTTGGATTTTGAGCCCACTAACATGGCTAATTTTGCAATTTGCTGTTGTGTTCATACTTAACAGGGGTTTTTTTTTTTTCTATAATAACAACAAAAATCTACATTACAAGTACATATTTAAAAAAACATAACAACTGACATAGTGACCATCATCTTATCATATTTATTTTTCACAGAGCCTACACTATTTTGAGAGAACATTGAGCATTTTTCAGAAAAAAATTTCCCTCAATAGATATATTAATCTTTTCCATTCTGTTTTTACTATGTTCCCTCTGAATCAGAAAGTATATAAGATAATGGTAGCTAAAAGATTAGTGAAATTAGTAAGAGGCTTTCTGGTTTGTTTACTTCTTGTTTAATACCCATGATCACTATATGTTACATAAAAAATATTTAGCTACATTTAATATACATATATTTGGGTATTCACATATTAAATATGTTTTAAAAGCAAAGCTTATTTCAGCAGGTTCCTAGTCCTTTGCACAGTGTTGGTGCACCAGTTAGTATAAAGGTTCTAAGAGATAGTCTTGCCATTGTTTTCATTAGAAGATAGTTTGATTACATTTACTTTATTATTCGTGAGAATTAGCTAACTCACAGTGCTTTTCAGACTGCTGGCACTATTCTTCGCATGTATAAACTCCTTTGATTTCAAGATAATACTTAAGAGGCTGGTGATAATGTTGGCCCCCTGATGGGCATCACGCCGGGAGAGCAGGGCAGAGCCAGGATCTGAACGTCTGCCCTTCAGCACACTCTGTTCCTCTCCTTCTTGTCAGCATGCAGAAGCAGCTCTGCAGTGCACCTATAAAGAGCTAGACTAACAGGAAGTTCTGATTAGAGTTGTATTTCTGTAACTCCTGACTTGCCTTGGTTAAAGATTTACAGTGGTTGCTCTTTATATGTATTGTGTGTGCATATATGAATTCGGAATGAATTTTTTGCTTGACGTGAATAAAGTGGCAAACTTTTTCTAGGCTTCAGTTTAACTAGGCTTTCTTATTTTCCTTTTACTAAAAGTAGATTTATTTTTTCATTTGCTGTGTTGTTTAAAAAATGCTATTTTTAGTTAATATTCTTTTTTGTTAATTTCACATTTTATTAATACTAGTGTGCTTATTTAAGTAGAAATGTGGTAAAATATTTTTATATTTTCTTTAAGAGAACATTTTTTCTTTTTTAAAGTAATTTGCAGTTTTATATTTATTATATCCCATAAATGTAAAATTTTAACACAACGAAGGGTGATTTCATGATCGTAACATCATTAACTGATTTAACGTAGTGCACTTTTGCATTTGTAAACAGAATTTCTACAAGAGACAGAAAAGTTAATGAAGGAAAAACTAGAAGTGCAGTGTCAAGCTGAAAAAGTACGTGATGACCTTCAGAAACAAGTGAAAGCTCTAGAAATAGACGTGGAGGAACAAGTCAGCAGGTTCATAGAGCTGGAGCAAGAGAAGAACGCTGAACTGATGGATTTAAGACAACAAAACCAAGCTCTGGAAAAGCAGTTAGAAAAAACGAGAAAGTTTTTAGATGTGAGTATTCTCAACATCATGATTTGGCTTACTACTTGTGACTATTTCTAGGCTCTCAATTTTAAGCTACAAAGAGAATCTTGAATCATTTTCACCTATATGTGAATTCTACCAATTGGTCAAAAAACACTATTAAAACTCGAGTAATTTTGTGTTGTGCATCAATCAGAATTGAAAGCAGTGCAGGCAGGTTATCAGTGGGCCCTCCCAGGCAGGTTCTCCAGATTCAGAGTTCGGCAGCTTGTCCCGACAACGTGTGTTTAGAAAGTAGTCACAGCAGCCGTAGATCCGGGTAGCCCATTGGCTGCTTCACACTCAGACACCACACACAGTACCTGGGCCTGGGGCAGGCGAGAGTCCATGGACCACCACACCAGTACTGAAGATTTTACATGGATTGGCTTCTTTTGGATTGTCTTTAAACCTAATACTGTCTTTATAGGTCAGAGTGTTGAATTTTTATATTTTATGTATAAAATCTACATGAGAGTTAAATTAATTTACCAAAGTATTTAATTCTTACACATTTTATGTGTGAAATCTACATGAGGGTTAAAGAAATTACCAATTTGTCTTACTTATTTTGTTTAGAGGTTAAATTAGTAATAGAATTCCCCTTTTGTTAGAAAAAAGTAAATTCATTTTAAGGAAATGATTTTCTCATGTTATATTTACCATTACCTGGATAAAAGTGAAACGTACTTCAAATAATTTGTTTTAAATATTTTAAATTATGTTGAAGAATCCAAAGAGGCTAGGTACCATAGGAAATGTTACCGTTTTATACCTTTGTGTTTTGGAGTATTCCATGGTCCTTTGTCTTCAAGCGAAACTAACCGTAATCATCACTGAATCTTGAGTTCCTGTTATTATTTTTAAACTGTAGGAGCAGGCCATTGATAGAGAACATGAGAGAGATGTCTTCCAGCAGGAGATACAGAAGCTGGAACAGCAGCTTAAACTTGTTCCTCGCTTCCAGCCTGTCAGTGAGCATCCGACCAGAGAGGTAAGAGCCCTTTCTGACGCTGCCTACCTTAGACTCATTGGAATTTCAAGTATAAAAAATAAGGGGACTATCAAGGAAGACTTGAAAATGAGTTTTTCTATTGTGTGAAAAATCTTCAAAATCATAAAATCAGATATTACCAAAGTATGAAAGCATTAATTCTAGAGATTGAGTAGAAATTTGGAATCACTCATATATGCATGTATCTTTTAGGATTTCTCAATTAAATGAACTTCCCTACTAACTTATCCACTCTCATTCTCAAAAAAAAAACCTAATTGAAAGAGTTATCTGTACTTAGCTTCCCAGATCCTGTTCTCTTCTCAGTATAGGCCAGTGTGGTTTCTAATCCCTCTTTTCCATGTATGTATGTGTGTATTTTAATGTAGTATATTTGAGATGAAGAGAGGCAGGCAGAGCTCCATTCATCAGTTTACTGCCCAGATGTCCTCAACGTGCAGGATTAGGCTGGGGCAGTGGCTGTGAGCAGAAAATGTAACCCAGGTCTCTGTATGAGTGGCAGAAACTCAGCAACTGGAGTTAATCACGGTTGGTTTTATTCCTCCTAATTAGCTTCTTCCCGAGAAACACAAGAATAAAACCTGCCCCTTCCTCATCTCCGTCTATTTTAATCCTTGATTTCGCTTTTTCTCAGTGCCTGTTTCCAATCTATTGTTGAGTTAGAATATATGCTGCACCTTTATCTTTCCATCAGCATTGAGCTCCCTTAGACCTTAGGTGTCTTAACTGCTCGCTTGAATGATATGAGGGCCTCATAACTGGTCTCCCTACTTCTACTTTTTCAATTCTGGCTGCCCATTTTCTTAATATATAGTTATAGTTCATCATTTACCAACTGTATGCTGCCTGGCTGAGGGAAGATAGATGTATGTGTGCCGAAAGTTGGCTTGTCCTGGTGACCCAGAGTCTGTGCTTGGACTGAGGCAATCCCAGTTGGGATTCTGTTGTCCGATTTAGTAAGGATATGGCGAGGCCTAAGTAACTTCATCTCTCATGTCTCTATCTAGTCACCTAAATAGAAACTGTAACGGCACCTCCCTCAGGAGTATTGATCTGATACCTAGGGAATACTTCAATTTAGTATTCTGAAATTGACATTTTATTTCTAGAACTCAGCAATACTCAATGATTTTCATGCAGTATACTGGATTTCGTCCCGGAAATAGGCATTTAGCATAGTGTGCATGCCTCGGTTCAAGCCCCATCAGGTCCTGCTTTCTGCTAATGCACACCTGGATGGTGATGTTGATTCAAGTAATTGATGCCTGCCACCTGCATGGAAGACCAGAACTGAGTTCTTGGTTCCTGGCTTCAGCCTAGCCCCACAGTGTTGCAGGCATCTGGGGAGTGAGCCAGCACACGGAGGCCTATTTCTGTCTCTCTTTTTTCTACCTTCTATTTTCTTCCATCTCTCTACTTCTCTCCTCCTGTCTCTCCCTCCCCTTGTAACTCCTTTCAATTAAATAAAAAATATTTTCTAAAAATACAATTCTTTTCTTCCTTGCTGGAAGCAAATCTTAGTCTAAAGAAACAGAACATTTTTTAAAGTTTTTTTTAACTCTTTTTTTAAATTAATATTGCTTTTTTTACTAGACAACGTCTCCTCCATTGGAAGGGATCTTCAGAATTTCATAGAAAAATGTGTAGTATAAGAAATTATTTATAGAATTCAGAATTTTTTTGTCAAAATACACTTAACTCTTAATTTCATTTTTCCAAAAACTTTTCCTTTAAGGATTTCTTTGTTTGCTTGAAGGTTAGAATCAGTTCGCTTCCTAGATATGGCCTCGGTGGCCATTGCTGAGTCATGGAAGAGTCAAGAGCATCATCTGAATCTGCTACTTGGGTGGCAGGTGGCCACACACTGGGGCAATCTGCTGCTTTCCCAGGCCATCATCACCAAGGAGATGGGTGGAAAGTGGAACAGCCAGGACATACACCAGCGCCCAGTGGGAGATTAGCAGGGCGAGTGACTGTATCTGTCAAACCACAACACCTGCCTCTCAAAATTGGAAACGAATGTTTTATGAAATAAAAATGGATAGCTTTAATAGCTTGCAGAATTGTTTTTTTAAATTAGACTTTTTGCTTATTATATTTTCAGGTTGAACAGTTAACAAACCATCTGAAGGAAAAAACGGATAAGTGCAGTGAACTCCTGCTGTCGAAAGAGCAGCTTCAGAGGGACATCCAGGAGAGGAACGAGGAGATCGAGAAGCTGGAGTGCAGAGTCCGGGAGCTGGAGCAAGCCCTGCTCACCAGTGTGGACACTTGTCAAAAGGTGTGGCGGTTTGCTAGAGTTAACTCCATCAAATGTTCGAATGAAAATTACTGTTCATCGCACGGATAGATACCAGTAGATGACAATTTGTTTGTTTGTTTTTAATGAAAGCATGCTGTTGACATCTCACATCCATTAAAAAAGGTTATGTTTATCCTTATTTTAAAATGTTGCATGAATACTTTAGGTCTTCAAAAAATATTAACACTGAAAATTATCTCTTAACCATCAATGAAAGCTAAGCGAAATGGATACTAGTTTAGACTGATGGTTTGACCCAAACTAAAAAGTAATTAAATTGTTCTCCATGGTCTACAAAGAAAAAAAAATTAATTAAAGAAGTAAAGCAGGATAAGTAAGCTTGAGACAAATACTAAAAGGCTAAGCCTTCATTTTAGCTGGGAAATTAATGTTGATTCAAGTAGTTGAATGTTAAGCATTAGAAATTCTTGTTGCAGTTTATGACAAATACATTTACGACTGGTTCTTTAGCGTTGTAAGTGTTCTGCTTATGAATAGAATTGAATAAAATTCCACTTCTGAAAATGTACAGTATCAGGATTTACTGTGAAGCTTAGTGTCTGAACGTTGTCTGTTTAAAGGTGGAGAACCGCAAGCAGTTTGGAGCTGTAGAAGCTAAAGCAGAATTGTCACTAGAAGTGCAGCTGCAGGCTGAGCGAGACGCCATAGACAGAAAGGAAAAAGAGGTAAGGATTATGTTTTTATGTGACAATCTGTGGTTTGAATTTTTTTTAAGTCTGTTACTTTGAAAATGTGATTTTAGGGCTCAACTGTTGATCCTCTGCCTGCAAGTGCCAGCATCCTATACGCAAATTGGCTTATGTCCCAGTCTCCACTTCCCCTGCCACTCCCTGCGGTGGCCTGGGGAAGCAGTACCGGACGGCCCAAGGCCTTGGGACCCTGTGCCCATGTGGGAGACCAGGAAGAGGCTCCTGGCTCCTGGTTTCTGATCAGCTCAGCTCTGGCCATTGAGGCCATTGGGAAGAGATCTCTCTGTCTCCTCTCTCTGTAAATGTCTGCCTTTCCAATAAAAACAAATCTTAAGAAAAGAAAACATGATTTGAAAAGAATGTAATTTGGGACTTAGAATTAAAAAGTGAAGTTGTGCGGAGACAGTAAGCACATGCAGAAACAGGCAGAAAGCATAGCAGTGTACCTGGCAGAGAGCCCGAGTTCCACGCAGGCCTGGAGCAGGAAGCAGCATGGAGGAACAGAAAAGTGCGCGTGTGCGTGTGTATTCAAGTTTTTACTCTGAAAGATTCTAGTGCTGTCTATAGAGTATACAGATGTCATCGCTAACAAACAGTAACAGTTATTTAATGTTCTCCCGTGTCTCTGCTCACTCCTCTCCAGTACAGGACATCCGCATTTTAGAGCAGCAACTTTCTAGTTCAATAATAACTTATGTAAGCCTTTCTCTACTCATAATTTCCCTAAAATAACTCTACTTAATCTATATCATTACACTTTAAATGCTTGAGATTGTGTCATTGTCTCTTTCCATGTGATTTTTTCATGACCTTCAATAAATTTTAACAAATAATTATTAGACTGAAATCATACAGAGGTACCAGTAAGTGCTTTGAGGAGTTGGTTTCACGCCTGCTAATGCTATAGCTCAGAGAACTTTTCATTTAGAAGGAAGACTGCTGCTGAACTGAGCGTCTCTGGGAGCAGCATTCCTTTCTCACCATCAGTAAACCTGACTAGCGGTCTACCGGGGAGGCTCTTCCTTGTTTTGTTTTGGGGTTTATTTCTTGAAAAATATGAGCACTTTTGTTAATATCTATGGACTGTGCAAATTGGCGTTCACAGATTCCCTTGCACTGAGTAATTTGCTTCCTGCAGTGATGGATCTTCAAAACTGGAGCCCCGAGCAGTAATTCATTATGGATAGGTGGGGTTATACTGACTAATCGTATACAATTATTATCTTTAGAAAATAATGTACCACTACCGCCCTAACCTCATGAACTGCTCTGTCTGCCTTGTACTTGAACTTGTAAGAAACCTCGGAGAGCATCTGTGTGCTGACTCCCAGTTTGCAGAGTAAGGATCAGGCCAGACATGTGCATGGGTGTGCGCCGAACCTGACAGCTGAGTCCTCGGCACTAGTTTCAGTTCCTGCAAGAGGTTCTCTGTCGGAATTCATTCAGTTACCTGTGACAGGGGATGGAGGCTGAGAGGCAGGAATGCTGATCAAAATGTGCCTTATTGTAAAAGTAACTTAATCTCCTTTTAAAGTTTGACTATTTAAAATTCATGATAAATGGAGAACAAAATTTTAAAGAGTTCCAGGATTGTAAGAGAAGCAGAATAATGTGGATAGAAATACACTTTGTTTTAGAACGAAGATGCCTGCAGTGGGTTTTATCTCTATAGAGATAATGCCATCTGTGCTACAGCCAGCAGTGATAGCTGACTCACAGTAATGCAGAACTGGGTGCTAGAAAGGACCTAGCACTCTAAGGCCCGCAGACCTTCCTGCCTTCGTCTGTCCGGGGACAGGCAGGATGGTCCCCATTTGCAGCTGTGGCTAGGGCCACAGCTCATCCTGGAGTCCTGTGCTACCTATCGGGTCCTGTTTTTCTTTGTGGATGAGAAGTGTCGAAGGCTGTTCCTCCACACGTGTGAAAATCTAACTGCATGCGGAGCACTGCTGTCCTGTAAGGCAGCCCTTGACTTCAGGGCATCCGCCTGTTCCAAAGAGGTTGAAAACAGCCACACGCAAGTAGATGTAAGTTAATGTAATTCAACCAGTTGTTAGATAAATTAAACAAGAGCAAAACAAACTTGAACAGTCACATTGTTCTCCTGGTTTGGAGGTTGTCATAGGCTCAGTAATAAGATACCTTGTCGGATGTGAGGACGATCTGGCTGTGACATCTGTCACCCCGTTGATCACCAGGGTTGATTGGGCTGATCTGGGTGGCTAGGCGGGCGTCCCCTTTCTCCCTCACCGCTCCATGTGTGTCCCTCCCAAAGCTGCGCGCTCGGTCGAAGAGGACGACCATCCCCGCTAGAGGAGGACCGGTCTTCGGTCAAGGGTATATGAGTAGCTGTGCTCCCCTGCTAGAACCTCCAAACAAGCTCTCAAGATATCTTGTCATAGGATGTGGCTCAGTAAGAGAAGGAGTGCCCTATAGTATTATTACAGGGATTGCAGTCTCTGATGTGATGCCCTCAGTTCTGTTACTTACAAGGTTGGTGATTCTAACCAGAGCGTGCACATGAATTAATGTGCACATGAATTCTGTGGAGATCTTGTTAAAATGCAGGTCTGGCGTGCAAATCATGAGATCCTCTGCCTCTGGCTTGCTCTTATGTGATAGTAGCCCAGCTGCTACAGAGGTGCACAGTGGGGCACAGGGGAAAGTGACCACCAACTGCCGCTGAAGGAAGGAAGCAGACGTCACTTGAGGGAGAGCAGCAGTTTTGAACTTAAATAATGACTGCAACGACCATGCGTGTTAAAACAATGCCCTGTCTGGAGCTGGTGTGGTGGTGTATCAGACCAGTCCTCCACCTGCCAGCATCCCACGTGAGTACTGGTTCGTGTCCCAGCTTCTCCACTCCCTATCCTGCTCCCTGCTTCTGGCCTGAACAAGTACTTGGGACTCTGCACCTGTGTGGTAGACTGGACGAGCTCCTGACTCCTGCCTTCAGATCTGCTCAGCTTCAGTTCTGTGTCCTCTGTCTTTAAAAATCTACCTTTCAAACAAACAAAAAAATAATTAATGATAATACCTTGTCATCAAAAGTGGCTGAAAAAGATAAGGATAGGTGTACGTAAATACTATTATGTATTAGATAACTTTGAAGAAGACATAATCATAACAATTTTCAGCAAGCTAGCTTCATAATTATATATGCACATACACTTACCATACTTAAGTATGTACTGAGTATGCAACCAGTGTTACCCAAGAAAATTTCATCTATAAGTCTTGGACATTAGTTATTAGAAGCAGGATAAATGGTAGTGTAAAACGAGACTCCAGAGATAAACTGCCCACGTTCAAAAGCTGGCTTCTCCACCTGCCAGCTGTGGGACCTCAGGGCAAGCTCCTCCTCTTTGGGGCACCCTTCCCCAGCTCTGAAATGGGGCTAAATGAGGCCTTTCTGTGACTGAGTTTAAGAAACAATACATGTGAAACACTTCGTACCATGCCTAGCTGTAGCTTGTTTATGATTCATGACTATTGTTATTGGTATCGATAGTGCTTCTCAAAAAATAGCAAGCTGCTTTTCAAGGAAGTCTTTCCTTGCCCGTGCTGTAATTCTAATGATATGGTGTGTGCACGGTGTGTGATTAGCCCACATGTCCTTTCAGCTTCTGAGGCACTGAATGAGTTATAGGATGCTGTCTGAGCCAAATGCCTGCCAGGAAATGCTGCTCCTGCATCCAGACTTTAAGGAAAAAAAAGAAAAAGATTTATGTACTGGAAACACAGATATGCAAAGAGGAAGGTCTTCTGATGGTTCACTCCCCAAGTAGTAGCCACAACGGCTTGAGCAGAGCCAGTCCAAAAACAGGAGCCCGGAGCTTCCTCTGGAACTTCCATACAGGTGCAGGATCCCAAGGCTTTGGGATGTCCTCCACTGCTTTCCCAGGCCACAAGCAGGGGGCTGGATGAGAAGTGGGGCTGCCAGGATTAGCCCATGGACCCCATCCATGGGAAACTATGCATTAAATGTTAAGTAGCTACACAGCAGTGAATTAAATGACTGTTAGCAGTTCTCAACCAGACCTAGTTTTTTAAAGCATAGCAAAAACTGAATTTTAATATTTACCATTAATTCCATTTCAATGTGCCATCAAAGAGCAGTTCCTTTACCATTCCTGACGATCTGTCCCAAGAAATTAGCTGAGTTTCTGTTTTTCTTTAAACACTCTCCACTTTTCTTCTGAAAGTGTCTTGTTAGCATAGGTCTCTGTAATTGAGACCTAAGGATCTCCTGATCCCGGTGCCTGCCTTTGCTCCTCTCTGCTCAGACACGCCGTCCAGCAACCAGACATGACAGAGGCTGCATTAGATGTTTTTGGACTGCGTTTCAGTGGCTGAAATAACTCGCTTCACTTTCCAACTTTCAGGCGCCTTTGAATGACAGCTGAGTTTAGGACCAGCCTCCCCCGCGGCTCTGTCCTGCTTCATCAGAGGATGTCTTAGATAGCAAGCAGGTCATGAGTCCTTTCTCAACACAGCTCCTCTTTGCTTCGGGAAAGATAATTTAGGAAGGTTAGTTTGATATGCAAGACCTGTGCAAGCCATGTTTCCTGTAGCCACAGGATGTAGTTTTAAGCATACATATTTTGTTCAGCTAACAGAGCACCCGTCATCATATCTAAACAAATAAGCATTTATTTAAATGTTCTCAATAATTTTGATTTTAAAGATCACAAACTTAGAAGAACAATTAGAGCAGTTTAGAGAAGAACTGGAAAATAAGAATGAAGAAGTCCAGCAGCTACATATGCAACTAGAGATACAAAAGAAGGAATCCACTACTCGCCTACAAGAACTTGAACAAGAGAACAAATTATTTAAGGTAATTAACTGAGAGAAACTGTTCTTATAATTTTCCCATACTTTGGGTCCTTTGTAGTTTTAATTGCCATTTGCTAAGCTGAGCTGTCAAATAATACTACCAGGGATGTGAGCAGGCAGGTGGATTGGCATGAAGCTTATTTTTCAGCTCAACCTATAAAATTGAACTCACCATAAATGAAAATTTTTAAGACTTTTTGTCAAAATAGTTTAAAAATTATTAGCATACTGTAACTACACAGCTGTGATAGTTTCACTTGTATAGGTGCTGTGTCTTTTGTAAGAGTGAATTGAAACAGTGTTTTGGAAATATGTGCCCAAGTTTGATGGTTTATTTTTTTTCCTAGGATGAAATGGAGAAACTGGGATTTGCCATAAAGGAATCTGATGTTATTTCTCCTCAGGACCAACATGTGCTGTTTGGAAAATTTGCTCAAATAATACAGGAAAAAGAGGTAGAAATTGACAGATTAAATGAACAAATTATAAATCTTCAGCAGCAACTTGAAATCACAACAGATAACAAGGTATACCCATTTAAAGTTGGATAACATCTGAAATTAATATGGATCAGAATTTTTAAAGAGAAAAATTGTTATATTTAGTTTCCCATGCAATTACAAAAGCAAATTTTCATTTTTTTTTTTAATTTATGAAGAGAGATAGGGCTTTAGCTGTGAGAATTTTTGTCCTCTCCTAATATTGTCAAAGGGTTCTAATTGAAGACCTTTTGAGTTGGAACTCTTATCATCCTAAATATATTAAGAATTCATCTATTTAATGTGAGTCAAATAGGATGTTTACTTTTGGGTGCTGTAGAAAATATTTATGTATTTTTGTTTTCAGTTAGAGTTTATCAGTACTAACTAGTTTTGGGTCTGGCGTAATAGCCTAGCAGCTAAAGTCCTTGCCTTGCATGCATTGGGATCCCATGTGGGCGCCAGTTCAATCCCAGCAGCCCCACTTCCCATCCAGCCCCCTGCTTGTGGCCTGGGAAGGCAGTGGAGGACAGCCCAGAGCCTTGGGTCCCTGCTCTCATATGGGAGACACGAAGGAAGCTCCAGGCTCCTGACTTCGGATTGGTTCAGCTCCAGCCATTGCAGCCACTTGGGGAGGGATTCAACAGGTGGAAGATCTTCCTCTTTGTCTCTCCTCCTCTCTCTGTATATCTGACTTTCTAATAAAAAAAATATGAAACTAGTTTCCTTAAAGGAAATAAGCTACTAAAAACAAAAACTACTGAAACTACTGTATATATAATAGGACTTCCCAGATTGTTCTAAAGAAGGTCCTTATTTGATCTGAGGGAGGAATGTTGGTCTGTATTGTTAGTAAAGTGACATGGTATGTCTGATAAGGATGCCATTTTTTGTGCATGATTATCTCTGAAGTCTTGCCCTAAAATAAAATTTCTAAAATAAACATACATATTTACTAGGTGCATTTATTTTTCAATCATTAATAGGCCATTGAAGAAAAAAATGAACTGATAAGGGATCTTGAAGCGCAGATAGAATGTTTGATGAGTGACCAAGAACGCGTGAAGAAGAATAGAGAAGAAGAAATAGAGCAGCTGAATGAAGTGATTGAGAAACTGCAACAGGAACTGGCGAGTATTGAGCAGAAGACGTCCGCGGACCCTCCCTGCCTCCCCGAGGAAGCTGACAGCCTGAAGCACCAGCTGGAGCAGGTGATCGCCGAGAAGCTGGCCTTGCAGCATCAGGTCAAAACTACCAAGGAAGAAATGGCTGTCACAAAAAATGTACTTGAGGAAACCAATTTCAAAATGTATCAACTTACTCAAGAATTATGCAACTTAAAGAGAGAACATGAAAATGTGGAAAAAATTCAGAGAGTGCCAGAGAAAAGCATGAATGTGAGTGTGGGTGATCTGAGCAAAGATACGCCTGGGCTGGACCTGATCCCTGCTGAGGACACCCGAGCACTCCTAGAAAACCTCAGGTCTCTTGAAGAAAACAGCAAAGTTTCCATAAGTAGTTTGGAAACAAAGTTGCTCCAACTTGAGAGCACTGTTAGTACAAAGGACTTGGAACTTCTACAATGTTATAAACAAATAAAAGACATACAAGAGCAAGGCCAGTCTGAAACACAAATGCTTCAAAAGAAGATTGTAAACCTACAGAAAATACTTGAGGAAAAAGTGGCTGCTGCTCTTGTGAGTCAAGTTCAACTTGAAGCAGTTCAGGAGTACGTGAAACTCTGTCAAGATGAGCAGGCAGTCTCATCAGAACCCACAAGGACAGACTCGCAGAATTTAAGTCAACCAACGGCAAACACAGTGGAGTCAGATGTATCTGCACTCACCCTGAGAATCTCGGAGTTAGAAAGCCAGGTATTGGAAATGCACTCTAGTTTGATTTTAGAAAAAGAGCAAGTAGAAATCGCAGAGAAAAATGCTTTGGAAAAAGAAAAGAAATTGATGGAGCTACAGAAGCTTTTGGAGGACACTGAGAGAAAGCGGGGAGAGAAAGAAGGGGCGAGCAACGCCCCAGGAGATGTGGAAGTTCTTAAGGTTAGTGGTCCATGTGACTGTCTCACTTTAACATCCCGAGAGAGGCATTCCCTCCCCTTGTTCCTTGAGCTGATGGCTAATGAGTAAATATCTAACAATGTATGTGTAGGAACTTATATTTATCATATAGTAAGTACCATTGCACTACTCTTACAAGAAAAACTGTAGACAAACTGATTCTGATACCGACTGAACCGGACAGCACTGAGGACCAGAAGAGGCTCAGGAAGCCGCAGAGGGAGTGGTACGTGTGTTTGCAGAGAGAAAGCTCAGCACATGGAGGTGGAATTGGTTACACCCAGCTGTGCCCCCATTTGGACATGGTCCTGTGTTCCTCACCCAGGACTCGAGGTTCAGAGACAAGCGCAGACCAAATGCAGCTTAGCACTGTGCTGTCATCCTAACCACCAGGACAGAGGATACGACTGTGTTCTGTGGGTTTCAAACATGACATTTATTCCACTATCTTTGTCATTAAATGCAACAATCAGAAGAAACATAGATCATTCAGTAGAACACATGCTTTCTGCATATGCATTTCATGGCATAAACCCTTTTAAGTAAGGAGGAAATAGCAAATTATGCTAGTGTTTACCTGAACTAACATTTGGGCCTTTCTCCATTGCCTGTTAGGGAGTTAAATCGGAAATAGAGCATCTGGGACACGAACCAGGCTCCTGTGGGATGCCAGTGCAACAGGAAGGAAGAGGATTAGCCTGCTATGGCACAGCTCTCATGGCCCCAACTTTTCATATTTACTGAGAGAATACTGATCATTTTAGCTCCCACCTGGCAATCATTCCTAGAAAACCTACATTGAAATATGTAATTGCCTAGCGTTCAACTGTGTATCATTCTCAATTTTTTATTTGGGAGGTAGACAGAGAATTCCCTTTTCAAAAATTTCCACAACAGCTTAAGAGTCCAAATATAGCCAGAAATTCGATGCAGGTGTCCCCCGAGGGTTTCAGTCCCACTGCCTGATGCCTCCCTCCCAGAGTTTGCATTAGCAGGAAGGGAGTCAGGGACTGGAGCTAGGTATTGAGTTACAGCCTGACATGTAGGACACAGACTGGTGTCAAAACTGGTGTCTTAGCCACCAGTCTAAACATCTACCCTGTCTATAGATTTGTAATAAGTGTTTCTTACTTTTCCACTGTCACTCAGAGAGCTACTGAACTAACTGATACAACTAAAGAAAGTGGAATTTTTGGAGAACTGCAGTCCCTTAAAGCTGAGTCAGCAGCTACCAAGGAAGAACTTGCCAGCTACAAAGAACTGGCAGAAAAACTTCAAGAAGAGCTTTTGGTGAGACATTTAACATAGCTTCTAGCTCATTTATTCATCCTATCTGAATTTCATTTCATAATGTATATCTGTTAGAGTGGGCCTTCGTGTAAGGTGTTTGTCAGGACACCTGCATTCTATGCCAGAGTCCACACTTGGCTTTGGTTGCTGCCTCCAGCTTCCTGCTGATGCAGACCTGGGAGGCAGCAGTAATGGCTCAAGTAATTACATTCCTGCCATCCATGTGGAAACCTATTCCTGGCTGGATTCCCAGTTCCTGGCTTCAGCCCCAACCTGGAGCCATTTGGGGAGTGAGCCAGCAGTTAGGAGCTTTCTCTCTCTCTGTCTCTCATTCTGTACCTCTCAAATTAAAAGGGAAAAAAATTAGTATTATCAGGCCCAGCGTGATAGCCTAATGGCTAAAATCCTTGCCTTGCATGTTCTGGGATCCCATATGGATACTGGTTCTAATCCCGGCTGCTCCACTTCCATCCGGCTCTGTGGCCTAGGAAAGCAGTTGGGACGACCCAAGGCCTTGGGACCCTGCGCCCACGTGGGAGACCTAGAAGTTCCTGGCTCCTGACCTTGTATCGACTCAGCTGCAAGCATTGTGACCACTTGGAGAGTGGACCAGTGGGTGGAGGATCTTTCTCTATCTCCTTCTCTCTGTATATCTGCCTTTCCTATAAAATAAATATTTTTTAAAAAATTAATATTATGACCTGTAAAATAAGCCCATGTATATAACTTAAAAGCTAGAGAAGGGAGAGAAAACGAGGTAGAAAAAAAAACCAGCAAATGAAAAATTTTGTGGACTTGATGAAAAAAAATCCCATAGTTAAAATTCCTTTCCAGGCATCTCCTTGATTGGGTTCCCTGGGAATCTCTGTTAGGATGCTTTGGCTCTCCAGTGTGTTAGTGAAGGAGAGAGGCAGGTATTTGAAGAGCCGTACATCCCATGAGAAGCACAGGAGAGCATCTCCCTGGAGTGATCTGTGACCATGCACACATGCTCATAAACCATGTCTCAGATGTTTTTTCTGTTATTCTGAGAGAAATGAACATTTCAACATGAATTACACTTTTCCCTCACCTGCCACCCCCAATTCTAGGATTGTTGTGGGAATGTGGACTGAGTGCTGCCCTATCCTACTTACTGTTTTAGGTAAAAGAAGCAAATATGGCATCTCTTCAGAAAGACTTAAGCTGCATTAAAGAGCAGCTTACAGAGGCTGAGGACAAATTATCCCGCTTCTCAGAAAAAGATAAGACAGAGGAACAAGGAAACAGGAAGGTCTGCGTACCGGAACTACCTCCTGGTGAAGCCGGTGAAAGCGTTGCTTCCCAGACAGAAGGCGCTGTCCAGGTGGAGAGCCACGCCCAGACTCCACGGATTGCAGTTAGAAGTGCGGGGATCCAGACAGAGCCACGGAGCCATGGTTCCTCTGAAGGAGTCACCGCGATCGTCGCTCAGTTTCCTGACAGGGTGGAGCAGGTGCGAGAGCTGCATGCGCCGAGGTTTTGGACTTGGAATCTAGACACATTTCTGAAACGGAGGCTTGGAAGAGGGGGCGTTGTGGTGCTGTTCAGTTACTGTTCACCACTGAGTGTGGTTCCTTGACATCTGTGATGCAGGGTCTGGGAATGCAAGAGGCGTTTAGGTTTAATAGTGCGTAGTTTTGGAGTTTTTTTTATAGTGCATAGTTTTTAACAGTCTATGATTTTTTTCAAACTTTCAAGAGAAGTTAAAGTGAGAAATAGTCACGTGATCCTATCACAATTAAATATTTCATTATATCAAGCTAGATAATGAAATTCTGATGTAGATTCGGGCACTCTGCGTCCATCTCTTTAATAGCCACAAGGAAAACTCTAGCTGTGCTTCAACCAGTGAGTGGTTTCATCTATCATGACAACATGATAGATTTGCTTTCTTTTGTATCATTTTAAAGCAGCAAAGCAATCCATTGAGTACTGTTTGTATTAAAAGCAAAATAATAATAATGTTTTTTCTTTCTCTGTATAATTAGGGATCCCCAGTTCCTGAATTAACACATTCTAACGCTTACCAAACTGAAGAAGTGGGTTCTAGCGGTAAGTGATACAGTCAGTTGACAGTGTTTGCTTAAAAAATGTTGAGTTTCTTGAGGAAGGAGGGGGTGTTTGTTTATTTTTAATAACAAATGCTTGTTTTCTGCATTTTCAACACTGGATCAGACTGGGGTCAGGAGATTTACCTCACACAAAGTCAGCCGTTTGACACAGCATCAGAAGGCCATGGTGAAGAAGGCGAAAGTTCCACAGATTCGTTTCCCAAGAAAATAAAGGTACTAAGACTTACTTATCTTTTAGCAAACTCGGTGTTATTTCTCTGTTGAGTGTTTTATTTGAAGTTAAATAGCGGGATCATCCTCAAAGAGAATTTTCTAGACAGAAAGGATCTTGCAGAGCTGTTTGATTTCCATATTTTACAAATAATAGGGTATAATATATTCAGTAAATGCATGTATGAAGAGTGCTTTAATAATTTTTAAAGATGTCCACTTATTTATTTTACTTTTCTTTGGAAGGCAGAGGCAGACCCACTACTCGCTGGCTTGCTCCCCAGTGCGCATGTGCAGCTAGGGCTGCACCAAGCCTAGAGCAAGAGCCGGAGCTCAGTCTGAGTGTGCTGTGTGAGAGGCAGGGCTGCCTCCCCAGGGTGCTCACCAGCAGGAGTCAGGACCTGCACTGAGGAGCAAGGACTCCAGTCAGGAGCTCCAGTGTGGAATGTGTGACGTGCATGTCCCAGTTGCTACCTCTAGAATGGTGTTCATTCCCAGTGTTTGAGCTGCTATAATGGAGTGTATGTCCCACCTCTGTTTGGGCCGCATCAGAGGTTGTTGATTCAGGCTAGAAGAGTATACAGCCACATAGAAAGAGCTGAGATGTGAGAGCTGTGAAGGTTACAGGCTGTCGCTTAGGGCCACGTCCTGCTTGGGCAGATGGTGTCAGTGACGCAGAGCCAGGCAGGTACTGTCTGCAGGGACCTTTCCAAACAGTAGCTGTGGAAAGCCCTCTTGTTTATCAATTCCATATCATTCTCTGTCTGATTGCTCAGTCCTTGGAGACACTGACCCGCTTCTGGCTCTTGGGTTTTGGCTCCTAGGGACTGCTGAGAGCCGTGCACAGTGAGGGCATGCAGGTGCTGTCGCTCACCGAGTCCCCCTACGGCGACGGAGAGGACTGTTTCGGTCTGCAGTTTGCAGAATCATGGCGGGAAGAGAGGAGAGCTTACCTCAGTACAATCTCATCTCTCAAGGATCTCATTGCCAAAGCGCAGGTGCAAAGAGAAGCTGAGGTACTCAAGGAATCTACACATCTACATAATTGTATGTTATCTGTAATGTGTGTTATTGTATGAATTATGGTATCTTTTTTTTTTCCACACTTGAAAATAAATTCATACGCTCTTAGATTGTTAACATTTATTTTGGTTGGTAGACAGATTTTTAGAATGTTTTAAAAATGTGTCTATTTGAAAATTAACTTCTGCTGCTTACGCTTTGCTAGGTTTATGACAGTTCTCAGTCTCACGAGAGTGACTCAGACTGGCGCGGTGAGCTCCTTCTCGCCCTGGAACAAGTTTTCTTACGGGAGCGCAGCGTGTTACTAGCCGCCTTTCAGAGCGAGCTGACAGCTCTAGGTCCTGGAGATGCAGTCGGGTTAATAGGCTGTTTGGAGCAGCGAATACAAGAACAGGTATCAAAATGAAACTTTGCTTTAAATACCATCTTTGCCAGTAATAAGAATATGGATTTTTGGTACCATACCTCAGGAAACACAATGAAAGCATTTAACATCTGCTGTAACAAATGAACCTGTACCTCAAGAAAACAGTGAGTGCATTTAACATCTGCTGAAACCTAAAGAAGCCCTGAGGTTCACTTGTGTCCTGGTGGCGTCAATTTCCTCATATCAGTAAAAGTGCTTTGGCTATGGTTTCGTTTTCTTGAGAGGTTCATAAAATGTTGGTTTAATTTATGCTAAAATGAAAATATTTTGTTGGCTTGAAAAAAATATGACAAAGTTGTGGTCTGTGTGCTTCAATAAGCAGGCTCAGAAAAGACAGCAGCACTGCCCTTTTTCTCCTTTTACTCTTTATACATTTGGCAAACTTTGAATAAGCGCTATGTATTAAATGACATTATTATACTAGTGTAAATTCCACATTTGATAATTGTACTCTCATGTGGAGAGTCTTGTTTTTAAGAAATGCACTCTGCAATATTAACAGGCCAAAGAACTTCTGTCTGCAGTAGATACTTACACATTTTAAAAACGGAAAATGCTGAAATTTTTCAAATAAAAATTCATCACATGCATTTCAGTCATTCTTTTACAGTCTTCCCACTTGTTAATCTTACTTTTTTGATAGCTCATCAGTTAATTTTTTATTTTCCTTTGTCACAGAATGTTGAATATCAAACAGCTATGGATTGTCTGCAGAAAGCCGACAGACAGAGCTTGTTGTCTGAAATCCAAGCGCTCCGTGCTCAAGTGAACGGTAGGAAAATGATTCTGAAAAGAGAACACGGAAGCAGTAAACCGGGCCAGGGTGTGTTGTGTGACCAGCTCCTTTGTTTATGTAAATAGATAAAAATATTTCACTTTGTTTATGTTAGCATTATTTATTTATTTTAAAGATTTATTTATTTGTATTGGAAAGTCAGATATACAGAGAGGAGGAGAGACAGAGAGGAAGATCTTCTGTCTGATGATTCACTCCTCAAGTGGCTGCAACAGCGGAACTGAGCCAATCCGAAGCCAGGACCCTCTTCTGGGTCTCCCACACGGGTGCAGGGTCCCAAGGACTTGGGCTGTCCTTGGCTGCTCTCCCAGGCCACAAGCAGGGAGCTGGATGGGAAGTGGAGCTGCCAGATTAGGACCAGCGTCCATATGGGACCCTGGGCATGCAAGGCGAGGACTTTAACCACTACTCTATCACGCCAGGCCCAGTATTATTTATTTAAAGCATATTTCCTCTTAGTAAGTTTCCTGATTCTTATAGTATTAAGGAGCTGGCCTTATTAATTGCTGCAAGGCCATTCATTTCAAGCAGCTACTTTCCTTGTTGAAGGAGCGGGCACTGCCTTGGCCAGATTTTTCAGGCCACAGTTCATTATCTTTATTTTTTTATTATTATTATTATAAGAGTCTAGAGGTATTTTATTTTGCTTTCATTAGTTATGCCATGAATTCCTAGGGAATGGGCTCCAGCAGCTCGGGTTCCTTCCCGTTGGTTCTCACGAAGTGAGCCTCCCTAGCGGAGCGGGCTGGCGCTTCAGCTGCACCCAGGTGCCTTTCTCTTTGGCTTCCTTCTTCTCCTGATCATTTTCCTTCACCATTTCAAGAAGCTATCCCGGCTCTTTGAGTGCTTGCTGTGCTCAGTGCACACACTGATCCTCTTGGCAAGAGTCTTGCCCTTGACTTGCTTGTTTACAACTGTGCCAACAGCATGCTGGGTAACATGGTAGACTCTTCCAGTTTTGCCATGGTAACATTTATGGGGCATTCCTTTTTGAACAGTACCCATTCCCTTGATGTCTACAATGTCACCTTGTAAATGCGCATGTATGTGGCCAAAGGAGCAACTCAGTGCTTCCTGAAGGGCCTGTAAAATTATGCATGTTCTTTTGTAGACATAATTAAAGATTGTTTTTAGAAATGATTCATTTTTTGAGATAATAGAATTCCATTGGAAGCCTAATTGGTGTCAGATAAGTTCATATTTGTATATGTAAAGCCTTTAAGAAATAAGATTGTTTTGTGTTTGTTTAAGACAAAGAGAGACAGCTCCCATCACCTGATTCACATTATAAAATGCTGACTACTGCCAGGGCTGGGCACAGCCTAAACTGGCAATAAGAGACCCCAGATCAGGGGTCCTGCCTTGGGTGGGAGAAATCTGGTCATTCCAGTGGTCACCTGGAGTGGAAAGCTGGAGTCAGAGGCCAGAGCCGTCTGCCCAGCCCAGAAGTAGAACATGGCGTCTGCTCCGGAGATAGTTTTAAAAACCTAAACTAATACAGTTGATTATCATCTAATAGCAATGTCATTTCAGTCTCCTGACATAAATATGAGTCAGTGAGCTTTGATGGAACTTTTTGTTAAAGCAGTGTATTTTTCTTTTTAGTTTTTTACTGCTATTCTTTTCCGTGATAGTTTTACAGGTATAGAGGAGGAATCCATCCGCTTCTTCCCATCTCACCGTGTTCCCCATATTATCACTGAGGTAGAGTCCTTTAGTAATAGGCAAAAGCAGGAAATCTAGCACACTATACTAAACATTTCATCTTTCTTAGGATGATGGTGTTTGTTACATGTTTATGGAAGAACAGAGAAAGGACAAATGAAAGTCACCCCTTGGGGCAGGTCTGGCTGGCGGGCAGGATGCTGCCGTGCCACTTGGAGTGTCAGGACTGAGTCCTCACCTGTGCGTCCTAACACCTGCTTCCTGCCGCTGGAATCCCTAGGAGGGGCAGCAGTGGCTTAGGTCATTGGTGTCCTGCCACCCGGTGTGCCACCTGAATTTTTCCACAGTTCTTGGCTCCAGACGTCAGTGGAGCAGACCCCTGGGGAAAGGCCTGTGAGGGGCATGCTTCTGTCCTGTCTCTCCACCTCAAATAAGCAAAAGTGAAACTTTTCAAAATTAACCCTTAGATCACCTAAATCCTAAAATAACGACTAACTCCAAAATCAGTATGTTTCTAGCCCATTTCCCATGGCATTTGTACATAAGTTTACGTTTGCCATAAACATGAACCTGAGGCACATAACATGCTCTGTTCACTTAACATCCTTAAAGGTCTAAATTTTGTTTTCATTTTAGCAAACAACTCTTACAATTTGCATTGGTTTTTAATGAAAAGCATCAGAATCCAAACTGGAATTCAGACTGCCCTCTTCAGAGGAGGGAGTGAGTCGGGGAGATTTCCTACACACTGACTGCGGAAAGCAATTCCTGCAGCTGTGATAGCTCACGGCCCGATGCTGTGCAGCAACCCGCTGAACCTTAAATGCATGAGCTCCTGTTTACTGTGTTTTTACTTTAAGTCTTGCATCCTTTAGTGTTATCTGCTAAATTTTAAATTCTGAAATCCTGACTGCTAGTGTAGTGGGTCACTTGGCACACATGGCATTTCTAGCTTTTAGGCGTGTAGTGGGCTTATATTTGTTTCACCTCAGTCACCCAGATTAGCCAGTCAGCGCAGTGTAAGCCCACTGTGATAGCTTGAGCATGTTGTAAACTCTGCCCGCGTCCCGTGCAGGACTCCTGGAGCACAGCATGCAGCAGAAGCAGGCACAGTTGCTGGAGCTGCAGGTGGAGCTGAATGGTGCACAGGAGCGCTCTGCCGAGCTGCAGGAGCAGCTGAGCGCCGAGAAGCTGGTGGCGGCAGAGCTCAGGAGTGAGCTTGCGCAGACCAAGCTGGAGCTGGAGACGACGCTCAAGGCTCAACACAAGCACCTCAAGGAACTGGAAGCTTTCAGGTGTGCCGGCCTTCCTTGGGGAAGGGAAGGGGGCGGGAGGCCCTGGGTCGGGAGTGCTGTGCAAAAAGGAGAGCTCATGCGAGGCGTCAGGAAGAACTGCAGGAAAGGGGCAAAACTCTGGATGTGTCCAGCTAGTCAGTGCACAGTCCCTGAGGGCTTCGGCCACACCTGAGACTTGTATTGAGTGTAATCTGGCCTTCGTCGCACCACCAACTAATTCAGAGCACTGTTTAAAATCTCAGTTGACTTCATGGTTTTTATTCGCAAAATTGCAAAATAATTAGTATAATGCAAAGTATTTGAAAAGATGCTTTAAAAATGGTTATTGGTATAAATATGAAAATATTCTAGTTGCCAGAGACACATTACAAGGCCAGTCATTTTCATTTTGAACACACAAATATTCATTATTCCCATATTTAATGAAATATGAGACATTTTTACTAGAATTGCAGAATAGATTTCATAGTTTGCAATGGTAAATAATAAGAAATGACTCTGCTAGAAGCAGTTTATTTGATGTTAACTACAGTCAGTAATCCTTAGTCTTTCCATGGTTTATATTTTCCTATCAGGTTGTTTACAATATGCCCCAAATTTTCAGTGGAAGCAATTTCTCTCTGTATTTTATAGACTTGATCTAATAGTGAGCTGATTCATTCTCTGTGACCTAGGTTGGAAGTGAAAGACAAGACAGATGAAGTTCATTCACTCAATGATACACTAGCAAGTGAGCAGAAGAAATTGAGAGAACTCCAGTGGGCATTGGAGAAAGAAAAGGCCAAAATGGGGCGCAGCGTAGAACGGGATAAGGAGGAACTTGAGGTATGCTCACGTGTGTGCGCGTGTGTGCCTGAATGCCCCTGCATTCTGCATTCTGCTTGGAGTGCCATCATGTTAGCTAAGCTGGATTATGAGGAAATGCAGGTAATGTATCATGGTTGTGGTCTGTTCATTGTTTTACTACATGCAGGGGTGCACAGCCTGCTGGACTGCGGCTGGCATGGAGGGTGTGAATTAGCACAGACAAGATTTGATAAACAGGCAGCTCATGTCGATTTAACACAGAAGTGGTGTCTGTTTTTTCTTTCTCCTGGGGGAGGGAGCAGACTCTTTTCTGGTAGCAGAAGCTCTCGTGGCACTCCTTGGTGAGAACACCCCGGAGGGCTCAGCACAGCCAGGGACAGCTCTGAGCTCCAGCGGGGTGTGCTGCAGGCAGTGGCAGCTCCAACAGTGGCCACACCAGCACCCACGGGCTCTGCTCCAGCTTCTGTGTCCTGCTGTTTCTCGACTGTCCGCTGTGGGGGCCACCAAGGCAGAGTGAACTCTACCCAGCAGGAGCAGTTATGTTCCTAGGTAGTGGTTTTGCTTGTTTTGTTTTTATTTTTTACTTACTTGAGAGGCAGAAAGAAAAAATTAGAAAGAAAGAGAGCCACCATCCAGTGGCTACCCCCGCAAATGCCTGCAGTGGCCGACCTGGGCTTCGCTGGAGCCAGGAGCCAGGAGTGCAATCCAGAAAGCCCAGTGGGGTTCCAGTGAGCCGTGGCTGCTGGTGCAGGCTCTGTGTTCACAGAACAGAGGCGGAGGGCAGAGCTCAGAAACACAGTGTGGCCCATGGACATCTAAGCCATTCTCTAGGCTAAATGTCCCCTTGTCACTATTTTTATCATCAAAATGTTTGTGATTTGTTTGTCACTAGCCCTGCTTTTCCAATATGCTCTATTTTTAGCATGTAACGCTGCATAATATAGGAATTTACAAGAATTTCTGTGGCTTTATATTGGAAATACTTTTTAAAATTGGCTATCTCCCTTTATGTTTTATTCTTGGGAAACATATCTTGCTTTATATTCTTTAGTCAGGTAGGATAGATGTTTTGAGGGAAAAAATTAATGTTTTAAGCAAATATGTTACCTGTATTTTTTATGCCTTGTTGAGGATCAGCCATCCATCCAATTAATTCTGTTCTATTGAAAATTTGAATTATTTCCCTGGGCTGTCACCTGTGTCTTCTGTTACAAACCCTTAGTAAAGCCACAGTGCACACAGAGCAGTCTTAATAATAACAAAAATCCTTAAAATTATTCTCTGCTCCAAGGACCTGAAATTTTCACTTGAGGATCAGAAACAAAGGAATGGTCAACTAACCCAACTTTTGGAACAACAGAAACAACTACTCAGTGAAGCACAACAGGAAATAGAATCCCAGAGAATGCTGTATGACGCGCAGTTATCCGAAGAGCGAGGCCGAAGCTTAGAGCTCCAGGTGCTGCTGGACTCCGAGAAGGGCCGGGTTCAGGAGATGAGCAGCACCCTGGAGCGGGAGCGGGAACTGCACGCCCAGCTGCAGGCCAGTGCCGAGAGCGGCCAGCCACGGCCCGCCGTGCCCTCCGAAGAGCTGCTTCGGGAGCTGCAGAGACAGCTGGAGGAGAAGCACGGGCGCATAGTGGAGCTGCTGGGTGAAACCGAGAAGTACAAACTGGACTCTCTGCAAACGAGACAGCAGATGGAGAAAGACCGGCAGGTGCACAGGAAGACGCTGCAGACAGAACAGGAGGCCAACAGCGAGGGACAGAAGAAAATGCGCGAGCTGCAGTCCAGGGTGGAAGATCTGCAGCACCAGCTGGAGGAGAAGCGGCAACAAGTATATAAGTTGGACCTCGAAGGAAAAAGGCTCCAAGGAATCATGCAGGAGTTCCAGAAGCAAGAACTAGAGCGAGAAGAAAAACGGGAAAGTAGAAGAATTCTGTATCAGAATCTTAATGAGGTAGATTGAACTTGGGATTTTCAAAAATATTTTCAGAAGAGAATTACTGCCCCTTGATCATAAAATTTTGGTAACAGATTAAATAGTATGTATAAATCCTTTTAAATTCTACCTATAGAGAATTTATAGAACCTATACAGGCTTGTTTAGCACATACCTCATCATCATAGTTGTGATTCTTTACAAAAGAATGTGATCTGCTGTTCATTTACAACTGCAGTCTTCTTTTTCTGTCCAAAATAACCAGCCAGCCATGTGGAGCTTAACCAGTGATCGAACTAGAAACTGGGTTCTTCAGCAGAAAATAGAAGGCGAGACAAAGGAATCAGGCTATCCTAAATTGATTGAAATGAATGGAGGCAGAGCTGACTGTAATCCTGAATTGGAAATGATCAGACAAAAGCTTCAACATGTGGCTTCAAAGCTGCAGCTCCTATCGCAGAAGGCCGGTAACAGGTGAGACCCTCTGCCTGGTCTGTGATAGAAGCGGCCCTGGGCTAGCTGGACTGTGTCCCCCACTAATAGCTAACCAAGGGTGGAGAACTGCTGCTTGGAAGGGAGTGGGTGTTTACATAAGCAGGGCTTTCTGTAACAAAGGCCACACCTTGGGAAACAGTAGGTACCTGATGTGGGGCCTCGGGGACCTTAGGACCAAGGAGAGGTGACGGGCGCCAGAACAGCCCTCCCCTGTCATGTTCACGTCAGCAAACACCTTCTGGAGACTTACTGTCATCGCCTTGTCTTTTTCTTGAAGACTACAGTTTGAAACAGCAGATGATGAGGATTTCTTTTGGGTTTTGGAAAACATTGATGGAATTATTTTGCGGCTGCAGAAATTAACTGGCCAGCTGTATGAAGAGGTAAGCCTCTCAATATTAATAATGCTGTTAGCTTGTCCCACGAGGAGGTGGTGAAAGGCTGGAGTGGGGCAGGGATCAGCTTTTACACTTGTTATTGAGTATGCTGAGGGCTTGCTGCATTGAGAGAGCAGCTTCCACAGAGACCGTGTGAGACACCTGCAGCTGCCACCTGCCTTCACGGGCGACTCACCCGGAGAAGCTTCGCAGGCCCTGGCTTTCTAGACTTCTTTGAAGCGTTTGCAGTTTTGACCTCTTCTGTTCTTGTAAAACCCTTGCTTCTCGTGTCAATGTTTTCTTTCTCCCTTCATCTGTCGCCTCAGTGGTAAAACTCCTTCCTCCCCAACGTGTCACCAAACTGTTGAACAGATATACTGAGCACCTGCTGTGCGCCAGCAGTTGCATTGGGTTCTGGGGATACAGTGATGAATGACACTAAGGCTCAAACTTTCTAGCTTCTCTCCTGAGGCCTGATAGTGAACAAATGGATGAATGAGCTGTTCCACATCTTTGTGCTGTGCTCCCAGCTTGTCTCTCCTCAGCATCTTTCACTGGAGAAGTGTACTTTATGGTGACCCCTGATGCAACTCCAGGCACAACCCAAACTGAACACCATCCCCCCTTTCTGCTTCCTCCCCCAGACTCTGCATCTGTCTTCCCCATTCAGGAGGCTGGGGGTCACCACAGACGACCTTCCTCACCATCCCCTGCACATCTAAGCAGGCACCAAGTCCTGTGCCTTAGGCCTTGTGCCCTTGACCCTACCCCTCAGTCATTGCTTCACTCAGGCCTTCACTTCCTTATCTAGACTAGCACCATAACTTTCTCACAGTCTGCAGAGATCCGCCTGTGCCATGCTCTTGCCCAAACCCATTGCCTACCTGTAGGGCTATTTACCAAGCACACATACCTGTGTTTATGTGACCTTGTGCCATTTTATCTTTGCAGCCTAGCATAGTGTCCCCAAGTACTGCTTGTGGCTCACTGACGGAAAGACTACTGAGACAAAACGCCGAGCTGACAGGCCACATCCGCCAGCTCACCGAAGAGAAGAATGACTTGAGGAGCTTGGTGATGAAGCTGCAGGAGCGGGCCAGCTGGTACCGGCAGGCGGGAGCCAGCAGAGATGCCGTACGTGTGTTTAGCCTGTCTGCCTGGGGAGACTGGAGCAGTTTGAGTTTCTGACCATGATCCTGTCGAAGTGTCGAGGATCTGTTTCTTAGGCTCTGTGGAGATTGTTACAGGGGTATTACTGCTAATGATTAATATTATGGGAAGCCTGCTCTGTACCAGACTCTGAAAAAACTGAACTGAAATTCTAGTCTGAGAACTGGTGCTTGACTTCCTCAACACTGACAGCAGCTACATGGGAAGCAATGTTCCAGTGTGAATCTTGATGCTCTGTTCAGTTATTTGTCAGTGTTTGTCACTGAAATGAAAGATGCCCTTCTCTTGTATATTTCAATCTAACTACTCTGGGAATTTGTTTGCATCTACTAACTACAGAGCAGGTGACTGCTTGCTGGGATCCCCCAGAATGGCACAGCCCTGTGAGACAGCTTTATACTCCATGGGTGGCGCACGCCCTTGCAGTCTCCCCAGGACGCCACTTACCCATCTGTATCCTGGGCTGGTCCTCCCCCATGCTCATGGTGCTCAGCATTGGAACCCAGATGGGCCATCATCCGTTAAGGGTTGTGTTTTAGTTCCAAGTTCTGCTAAATCTGCTAAGCCAATTCTGTGGCCGATCCCTCCCCAGGACATGTGGCTAGGCTGCTTAGCAAGGACTGCAACTGAGTGATTTCAGCTAAGTTGTCAAGAATGGTTACTGAGTGGAGTCATCCCAACTTAGTGACTATTTTATAATTTCATTGAGGTCGGCTTGGAACCTTTACTGACTGAGGGTAGGAAGCTGGGACAAGGTGTCCACGATGGGGAACCCTTTAACAGTTAATCCAGGTGTTTCTTCAGCAAGCAGCTTTGGCAGGTCACGTAAGTGGACTGTGCTCTGTGCAGTCTTCTAGGTTTGCATTTAATGGCGGTGCCAGCCTTGAAGCCATCATTGCTTCTGAAAAAGAAGTGTGGAGCCGGGAGAAGGCAGCGCTGCAGAAGTCCTTGAAAAGGGCAGAGGCGGAAGTGTGCAAGCTGAAAGCTGAGCTAAGAAATGATGCTTTGCTTCAGAACCTGAGCCCTGACTCCGAGCACATCGCCTTAAAGGTAGGCCGCATCTTCCGCCTGAGCCCGCGCTGCCACTGCTCCTGCCCTCCGCCTTCCGCCATGCATCCTCAAGCAACTAGGGACTAGGGGTCACTTGGCCTTGTCTCTGGCTCTGTTCATCTAACAGCTGGTCATGGGGGATTTGTAAAGAGACCTAGGCCAAGACTGGGACCAACGCTGTTCATTGTGGCTGGGGCAGTACCCAGAGCTCCTGGCCATGCTTCCCCAAATGTTATTTTCTCAGCAGAAATTCCATGGCTGGCAGGGCGAGAGCTGGCTAAGAATGGGGACGCAATGAAACCTACCTTAACCAGGTGACACTGAATTCAAATAGACGAAAGAATAATACTTATTTCTGTGGAGTGGATATAAATTTAAGACTCATAAAGGGAAAGAAAATTTCAAAGCAATTTAGTGAGGTAGTAATCAACATAACCATATAACTCACACACACACACACACACACACACACTCAGGGCAGCATGAAAATGTGTCCTTGAAGTTGAAACAGCGCACCCCACACCTGAGTCCCCATCCTGCCCCAGCTCGAGCTCTGACTCCAGCTTCCAGCTGACACAGACCCCAGGGCCCGTGCTTGGTCCAGGGCTCGGATCGCTGCCACTCCCCAGGAGACCCTGATCAAGCCCCCGCCTCTGTCACTGCCAACACTTGCGGAATGACCCAGCTGCTGGGAGCTTGCTGTTCTCTGACTCTCAAGTAAATTGTTTAAAAAAAAAAAAATCACATGATAATGGGATCACAAAAATCAAAAATATATGCAGCAAACAAGAATGGGGTAAAAATTCAAAATTTTCAGAAGCAGAGCAGGTATTGGGCACAGCAGTTAAAACACCACTTGGGCCATCTGCCTTGTGTGAGAGTGCCTGCTGAGTGAAGTCACCCTAGGAAGGCAGTAGGTGATACCACCCATGTGGGAGTGGCATGCCTGGCTCCTGGTCTCAGCCTGGCCCGCCTGCTTCTTGTGGGCATTTGGGAGTGCTGTCTGTCTCTCTCACTGACCTGTTCTCATGCACTCTGCCTTTCACACCTGTTTTTAATGCCTTTACACAGCATAGTGTGAGACCCCCACCGGTTAAGAAAGGCAATGGATCATGTTGGTAGCCGAAAGGGGCCTGCCCTGCTGCTGCTGTTACCGCTGTTACCGTAGTTCTCGGAGTCTTGGCAACCTTCCCTGGAGAAGAGTGTGAATAGCTTCTTACACTTGTTTTTCCTCCTGTGAACAGAGACTTTACAGTAAATACCTGAGGGCAGAGAGCTTCCGAAAAGCCCTCATCTATCAGAAGAAATACCTGCTGCTGTTACTGGGTGGCTTTCAGGAGTGTGAGGATGCCACCCTGACCCTGCTGGCCCGCATGGGGGGACAGCCGGCCTTCACAGACCTTGAGGGCATCACCAACCGCCCCCGGGGCTTCACCCGCTTCCGGTCAGCTGCCCGAGTGTCCATCGCGATTTCGAGGTACGCTGCCTGCACCCCAGAATTTGTGGTCAGAGGCTCTGAAACAGTGTTTCATGTCTTGTGCCTGCATTTCTCATGCCTGCATTTCTTTGGCCCTGGTTCTCTGCGCACATAGGAGGCCTGCGCTGGGGCTGACCCATGCTGCTGTCCATTGTGCAGGGCTGTGGCGTGCCTCACCGCGTGGACTCCATGGCAGGCTCTGCCCGACTAGCCTGGGCTGTCGTCCTCAACAAACAAGCAGGTCCCCAGACCAGCTCAGGCACGTAAAGGTCATGCAAGGGAAGTTACCCCTTAGGCCAGGGTCCCTTTGTGTTCCGTGTTTCTGAATCCCTCAGCCCTGGCACCCTGCTCCACGAAGCCCAGAGCCAGCTCTGCTGTCAGGTCAGAGGGCAGCCTGGCACTTGTCCTCCCTCCCCTTGTGGGGCCTGGTCGGGAGCTTTAGTCCTGCCAGTGACTGTAGCACTACCTCAGGGCCTCTGCCTGGGCAGCTACCCCACCCCCAGCCCCACTTTAATTCTCCAGAAGCCAGGAGAATTGCAGAGGAATCTGATTCTTTGAAAATCTAACTGTCAAGTCGCATCTGATGTTTCAAAAGATTTTGCCCCTTTTTCTTGTTTTGCGTAGAAAAGCATCAGGTCGGTTTTCACTGGGGGAGCTGAGATCAGAGGAGGTTGAAGAGGTTTCGGTGCCTGAGTCCCCAGGCCTCCTCATGGTGGCTCCAAAAGCTTTAGCTTACCACTGATCCTCCTGCAGTTTCTTCTCTTCCATTGCCTTTGTCCCTGGGTGGGGCAGGCTAGGCGGGAAGTACGGAAGTGCAGCACTAAAAGCTTGATCCCTGCCCCTGTGCCTCTCCCCAAGGGCAGCTCGCTGTGCAGCAGCGAAGGCACCAGGTTGGGCCTCAGGAAGGCAGCAGTGCTTGCGCTGGTAGGCGCGGAGGCAGCTTGGAGAGCGCCAGTGGATGCTGCTCTGCAGGGCTTGGCTCTGCCCCCTCCTTCCGGTTGTCTTACGTCCTCACCATGTTTTAGCTCTCCTGCAACTTGCTGCACAACCCATCAGTGAAGAAATCAACACAGGCACTCCAAAACTCCTCGGGCCAGGGCAGGGCAGGGCAGGTTCTTGCTGCTTTGGAAACCAGCAGCTTTTGTTTCCAATCCCACGGTCTCATCCCCTCCAGCTTTCTCAGCTCACCTTGGGGCTGGTCAGTGGGCTTCTCATCTGCCCTTCCAAATCCATTTTCTCCTCTGCGCACTTCTCGCCCTTCCTTATCCCTCCCTCTCCTCATGTGCCATTTGCACTAAGTCAGGAACCCGATGCTGGCGACGCAGTCTGAGAGCAGCTGAGCAGAGCCAGGAGCCCTGTGCCGACCGCTGGTGCCATGAAACAGGGGCATTGCCCTGGCTTAGATGAAGCAACCATGTGATCGTGTTGAAATTTCTCCTGTGCTCCTATTGAAGCGTAACTGTGCTGTGAAATGTTATCTCTGAATCTTTTGTAGAATGAAATTTTTGGTTCGACGATGGCATCGAGTCACAGGTTCTGGTTCCATCAATATTAACAAGGATGGCTTTGGACTACATCCAGGTGAAGTCAAAACAGCTTGTTTCCTTATGACTCTAAAATTCCTGCTGAGTAATACTGTGCAAATAACAAATTCTGGAACCACTGTTGTCCGAAGCAGAGCCCTTGTAACTGACGAAGCAGGGCTTCAAGCTGTAAGCAGAGGGATGACAGCTGTTCCCACAGAGCGTGTGGCTGGCCCAGGCCTAATCTTGCCTCCTGTGACATACTAGTTACTGTCCTCACGCTAGTGAGGAAACACTGAGCCGAGGAATTGCCACATTAGGAGAGAATGCTCTGTGCCATGGGGAAAGCGTGGTGATTGAGGCTGTCACAATTCACCAGTGCCGGAGTGGGTTTCTTAGCTGGCTGAAGGATTGCATGATAATGGTTGCCATTAGCGTCTTCGCTCATAGAAGTAGGAGCGGATGCTTGGCTTGAATGTTTCAAGGGTAAGATGAGGTCAGAAGCTGGAGGCTTGTACTTGCCTTCCCATGGTCTACTAGTGAAAGGAAAACTACTTTGCACCCAGATGAAGTATTTCAAAATATGTAATGCTACGGAGAAAGTTGGGATGTGTTCCATGATGGGTGCTAGGTTGTATAACAGCATATGAAAGCCAGTCATTATTCCTGTTGGTTCTCCCCATCAGCAAGACTTGGACGTGACCGGAGACAGGCGTGCTACCCAGCACAGTGGAACGCAGTAGCCTCCCAAACATACTTTGTAGAAATCTCTGAAGTGTTTGCAACTTGTTTTGTTTAGCTGCTGCGTTTTGGATTACTTCAGGTGCTGACAAGACAGACTCATTTTATCATTCTGGGGGGCTGGAGCTGTATGGCGAACCAAGACACACAGCTTATCGCTCAAGATCAGATCTGGACTATCCTAGGTCACCTTTGCCATTTCAAAATAGGTAAGAATTTTAACAGACCTGCCAGAGCCGTTACACACTAGTTTTCGACAGAGAAAGATGGCCACTTGTCTTGCATTAAACTAGCTAGGCATCTTTAAGTGATATGTAGTTTATAGAATCTCAGGTTTAGCATCAGAACCAAATTTTTTTCTTTGTTTTGTTTTTTTAAAATCTGGTTTCAAAGGGCATAGGACATTGCTAATGTTATTTAGTGTATGTGCTTAGACATTGGAAAAAATACTAAAAAAAATCGAGCATCTGTGGCCATTATGAAAAATTCCATAGAGTCTGTATGACACGATACACCAACAGCTATTAAGGATCTTGAGGACAAACAATACAGTAGACATTATAGTAACAAAAGTCACCTCTTGGAATTTCCTGAAGTTCCTTGTCATCCCCACACAGGGATCACAATTAGACCATGCACAGGTGGCCCGTCTTTCGGGGCAGGGAGTGGAAGCAGTCTGGTAAATTCATGGCACTGTTTCTCGATGGTTTTTATTCACATGTCTGTTTTCATGCTGCAGGTATCCAGGCACCCCTGCGGATTTAAACCCTGGCTCCCTGGCATGTTCACAGCTTCAGAACTATGACCCTGACAGAGCCCTGACGGATTACATCACCCGGCTTGAGGCGCTGCAGAGACGGCTTGGAACCGTACAGTCAGGTGCTTCCCCACATGCCCTTCCCCTTGACCCTTTATGGTTAAGATACATCTCGCAGTGCCAGTCTAGCTAGCCAAAGCCTTGACTCTGTAACTGACGGAGAAACTAAAGAATTTAAGTCAAGATACAGTTTCCCCCCTTGGACTCTCCTATCCCCAGGTGATTGCCTAGCATCCTCATTCAGCAGGTTGAGTAAACAGAACACCTGCTGAGCACCCGTGTGCTAGGTCCTCGTGATGCAGACAGCCAGCGCATAAGGCCCCAGGCACCAGAGGGAGTGCTTGCTGAGCGCCGAATGCAGTGCCCTGCCACCCGGCTGCACTCTAAGTCAGAACCATCCCATTTAAAAGAATCGGTGGCAGGCTCTTATCTCTGCTTACATACACACAGAGTTTTCCTATTTTATGGAAGAGGTGGGTTCCCTGGTCACTGACGGGACCTCTTTTCCCTTTATCACCATGCACCCGCCCCCAGCCCGTTCAGACTGAGTCAGTTTGTGCTCTGCCAACTTTTGTATTTTTACTTTTACTAATGACTCATTTTTCCTACTGTCCTACAACTATGGCCTCATCACAGGTGATTGGAAGTGACTTATCTCTTCAAGGGTGCAGTCACATTAGTGGCAGATACCTGCATCCCACGGGGGAGTGCCTGGGCTCAGGGCTTAGCCCTGGCACTTATCTCCAGCATCCTGCCAGTGCAGACCTGGGGATGCAGCAGTGATGGTGCGAGAGCCTGGGTTCCTGCCACCCATTTGGGAGACCTGGATCACATTCCCTGCTCTGTTTCTGTGCTGGTCCAGCCCTGGCCATTGCAGGCATTTGCGCAGCGAACCAGGGCATGGGGACTCACTGTGTCTCTTCTCGCAACTCTTGTCTACTTCTCAAACGAATGAAGCCTGGTTTTTTAGATTTATTTATTTTTATTGGAAAGTCAGATATACAGAGAGAGGAGAGACAGAGAGGAAGATCTTCCATCCATTGATTCACTCCACAAGAAGCCACAACAGAGAGAGCTGAGCTGATCCGAAGCCAGAAGCCAGCAGCCTCCTACCGGGTCTCCCATGTGGGTGCAGGGTCCCAAGGCTTTGGGCCGTCCTCGACTGCTTTTCCAGACCACAAGCAGGGAGCTGGATGGGAAGTGGAGCCTCCAGGATATGAACTGGTGCCCATATGGGATCCTGCCACATGCAAGGTGATGACTTAAGCTACTAGGCTACTATGCCTGAAGCCTGGTTGTTGGGTTTGTTTTGTGAAGCCTAGTTTGTAGAGATGGTTTACGCAAGCAACTTGAAGTTACAGAAAACATTTACCATCATAGCTGAGGCTTCATTTTTTTTTTTTTTTTTTTTATTCTGGGGAATCAGAACTGCAGATCAGGATTTTTGTAGATAAATATTTCATGAAAAATGGTTTATCTGGGTACAAAGATAAGCTAAAACCCTGCCCTAAGTAGATTTTTCTTATATTTTCTATTAACTTCTTTCAAGAACCTGTATGTGTTTCAGTGTTTTTGCACCAAAATAAGCTTATCTTGTAATCCCATCTTCCATGAACTTTTGAAGTACCCACAGGTAAGGTACTTTAACCTCCAGAGCATGTTAAAGGAAATTCTCCTTAGGTACAGTGGCCTTGTTATGGTGACTTTTAAGTATTTTTTTATTTCTCATGATATAAGTCCATAGGTTCAGGAACTTAAGTATGTATAGATCAGTTTGAGTAAAGTGTTTTAAGAAAAGGAGCATGTTTTTTTAGGAGGGGAATAGTCGCCTGCCCTTTGAACACGTCAGGCTGGTGCAGACAGCAATCAGATGTGCAGTACTTTACCTGTCTGTCTCTCTCCTAGGTTCGACTCCTCAGTTTCATGCTGGCATGAGAAGATAATCCCCCGAAACATCATCAATTGAAGTGATTTTAAGCAAACTCCCTTTTGTAAATCAACGGCTCTTTTGTGCTTTTGTATTGTGAATACTCACGGGGACCAATAGGAACACAGCTTATGATTGTATACAAATCCTTTGCCAGCACATTAATGCAAACTGGAATTTGTATATATGCGCATTGTGTATGTAGCCATGCACAATCAGAGTACATGTATATTTGTGGAATGTTAATTTAAATGATTAAATTATGGACTCGTGGGTGAGAAGATTCAGCCTTTGTGCATCATGCTGCTGCTGAGCGTGTGCCCGCGGTGCCCTGCACTTGCCTCCCAAGGCCACCGCAAGCACACGTCTGCCTAACACATTTGCTACTGGTGATGACAGACACTGTCACTTGTAGAGCCCTATTTTTGTATTAATGGTAGAAGTTTTGAATTTTATGGGGTATTTTGTCAAGTACTGAAATAAAAACGACTTCACCATTTTCACCATACTGCGTTCCAACCTCTTCATTGTTAAATGAGCTGCAGTTCTTGGTGTCTATCATCTCTTTACTTACGTCACATGTAGGACTGAGGGCTTGGAGAGAAAGTTGTTCTGATTTCTCTTAATACTTATTTTTTGATGTTTTCATATAGTTGATTAGGGTGATTGGGTCAAGGGCTACAGGAAGGTGGGTGAGATCATGATTTCCACGTTCTCTTTCCTTCCTGTATCTAGGGGAAAGAAGAAGACATGGAGAGAAGCCACATCCAGCCTCCCAAACACCTCTGCACCTAGAATGGAGGACAGCCACCCGACACCACCCCAGGGTCCCCTGGGACATGCTCTGAGGATCCTGCTCACTAAGTTTCAGTAGTTTAACTTCACAGAATTTGCTTCCTGTGCCAGCATCTGCCAGCTGATGCTGCAGCAAAGTCCGCCCAACCCACACTCACTGACTGATGTATGCACCAGTAGGAACAGTCAACCCAACCTGGCTTTCCCCTTGATCGAGCCCAATAGGTACTGTAGCCCTGGCTAGCCTGGTCTTCCCCTCTCAACTCAAGCTATCCAGTGGAATGGTGGTCCAGCAGGGGAACCCTCCACAGCCCCCCTACTGGCTCCACTCCCTGCCTGGCCGGGTTTCATGTGTTCTGGTTGGGTGCTGTGGCCCAGTCTGGCATGGCCAGCCTCACCTGAACATTTGCCATTGGTTGTAGACTGGCTGGACCCAGCCCATCCCCAGTGCCAACTCACGCTGGTAGGAGCTACAGCCTAGTCCAGCCCAGTCAGCCCTGAGACCTGGCCCTCATGTGAACTGGCTTGTGTTGTGACCGAACCTGGCTCGACCCACACTCCATTCTGGTGCTTGGATTCGCCATGGGCGATACGAACTGGCCAGCCTGGTTCGCCTCCAACCTGCACCAAATGTATGCTGATGGGTACCATTACCTGGCCTGGTCCTGGCTACTCCCTATCATGGTTCTTGCAATCACCTGCAAAGACTGCATCCCACCAGAGGAGTTGCCCAAGCACCACCATCAGAACCTCTTCCAATGCCAGATCTCACGTTACAGCATTGGGTCCATGGCCAGCCCTACTTAGTCCACCTCCTGACCCAGAAGGAGCAGTGGCTTTTCCTGACTGGCCTTCATCCATTCTGGTTTTTACTGTTGGGTGTTACAGCCCAGCTAAGCTTGGTCCACACCCAGGCACAGGTCATGCATGGTTCAGCATGAGTTGAGACCTAACCTAGCCCGTCCTATACCTACCCTGGTTCTCACAAGTGCCAGTAGGTGCTGGAGTCTAACGCAGTCTGGCACACCTCCAACCCAGCCCTCACTTGTGCCAAGGAATACTTCAGCCATGTCCAGACCAGACAGCAGCCCCCACTCTGGCCTTCACACCCGTGGGACCCACAGCCCAGCCAGGGCTTTCCTTTGCTCCCTAACCAGGCCTCTTCCCAGCCATAGATCTTGCACATGCCAATGGTGGCTCTAATCCGGCTTGGCATAGCCCCTCACCTGTCTTGGCCTTTGCCTTTGGATGTTATAACCTGGCCTGATCCAGCCTTGCCCCCAGTCCCAACTCTTGCTGGTGGATGCTAGAACCTGGCCCTGCTCAGTCTGCCCCCTTCCAAAGCCAACCCACACATTAGCCAACAGATGGACCTACCTTGCCCAACCTGCCTGATCCCCAAGCCTGGACCACATGCTCACCAAAGGGAGCTGTGATCCACTTGGGGAGTTTCCCAAGTTCCCCCAGTCAGTCCACTCCCAGACTCAAGTCTCACACATGCCAGCAGGTGCTAGGCCCTTGCCCAGCATAGCCAGCTCCTCCATCATGGCCTAGTATGAGCTGGAGAATGTAGCTCCCCAGCCCGGCCCACGCCACACCGTTTTAGGATGCGCATGAGGGTGCTGCAGCCAGGACCTGTCCAGTCTATTCTTTTTTTTTTTAAGATTTATTTTATTTTTATTGGAAAGGCAGATATACAGAGAGGAGAGACAGAGAGGAAGATCTTCCGTCCGATGATTCACTCCCCAAGTGAGTGCAATGGCCGATGCTATGCCTATCCGAAGCCAGGAACTTCTTCCGGGTCTCCCACGCAGGTGCAGGGTCCCAAAGCTTTGGCCCGTCCTGGAGCTGGATGGGAAGCGGGGCTGCCGGGATTAGAACCGGCACCCATATGGGATCCCGGGCGTGCAAGGCGAGGACCTTAACCACTGTGCCACCGCGCTGGGCCCCCAGTCTATTCTTGGCCCCTGTACCCATGAGTGTTAGCAGGTTCCATGGTCACAACCTAGCTCAGCTCATGACCACCCCAATTCTTGAGCTAACCAGCAGGACTTGCATTTCACAGGGTTTGGCCCACACATCCCCCTCAGAATCTACCCCGGACCTGGTTCTCTCGCATGGTGGTGTCATAGCTCTGCCTAATGTGACCTGTCCTCCGTTTCAACATTCAGGTACTGGAATCTATTCCTGCTAGACAGGCCCCCAGCCCTATCTGTCATGTACAATGTTCCATGCTAACAAACCCAACTCAATTCCCATGTGAGCTGGTACATGAATCTGACCCATACAGATCTCCCCTGCAAACCACCAGGTCTCCTCGCTTACCCTCAAATACAGTAACCCTGTCATTGAGTGTCCCTCAGGATTCATTCCTCACGTACATGTCCTGTGGCCTTATCCATGAATGTCACTAAGCAGCAATTCCAGACCCCCAATACCCAGAGCTCACTGCAGGCAGTGGCCAGTAGGCAAAGCTCTGCCTCCATTGTCATTCTGGCTGCCCACAATCCCAGGATTCACCCATTGCTTGGCAGTGGCGGACGGGAAGCTAGGATCCCCGGTGGGCAGCCTGGCCGACACATGCTCTCTCAGCCACAGCCATGTGGATGATTCAGACACCTGCACTTCTGAGCAGACTTACCTGGACTCTGCCAGTTGTTTTGATTTTTAAAGTAGATGCTGTTGGGGTCTTTCAGTGTCCCCATTGTATAGGAAAAACAGCAAAGTTTTGTATCAACTTTAGATCGGTACAGTATTTTTAAACCTAGGTCTATCATTTCATATGGTAGTGATGAAAATAAGATAACCTCAGGAGATCTGTAACATCTAATTTGATTCACTACTAGCTGTTTCTAGTTTCAGAATCAAGGATACTGCTGTTAGTGCGACTTGCTGCCTGAATTCATGAAATACTAACTTGCAGACTGAATACAGTACAAATAAGGATGATTGATTCTTTTCAATGGAGTCACTGAAACGCACTTCACACAACTCATGAGTACAGTCATTCTTCACAGAAAACTTTAATGTGAAAAATTGTCTTAACAGCACAAATTTGGCCTTCACAATTAAAATCTCAACATGAATTCCAGCCTCTTAAAACTGTAATGTACATAAGGGGAAATACGTTGGTTTCATCTGGTAAGAACATGATATGCTCAAACTACAGGCAGATAATGTTGGTCCCAAGGTGTAACTTCTGTTGAACATGTGCTGGCCACGATGGCCAGAATATCTGCTGTGTGGCACTTCCTGGTGAATACTCTGCACTTCCTGGCCTCAAACTATTAGAATCAACCAAACAGTAACAAGCAGCCCTGACTGAATCCTGCAGAGGAAATGGCAAAACCTAGAGCCACAGAAGAGAAACACAGTAACTCCTCAATGACCTGAATTTAGATTTACACCTGGGGACCACATACAGATTTCTCCATCTGATAATTCTGTAATACTTAGTGGCCAGATGCAGATAGAGACCAACTTTCAGTATTACTAATTGTCTACAGGAAACGGTGATCAAGCCATGGTCTTCATCACCTGTTGTCCTGGACCCCTGCTTCCAGGTAAACAAGCTTATATTTTATACATCTTAACCCTGGGACACTGCTCTCTTTTATCTAAGTCTTTAAATGTCTCTACTTCCTGCCCTTCCATCCTCCTACACAAAAGCTACCAAAGTAAACAAGGGACTAATGACTTCACGGTATTTCATTGGGCTTTTCAGACCTTATCAAACTCATCCAAGATTTGGGTTCTCTGTACTTACTTGCTAAGAACTCAGCTTTAAAATCTTACCTGGAAACTGTTTACCTAGAATCTGCCAGGGACCTAGTCTCTCTCAATTCAATGGGTTTCCTTAAAGGATCATATCAAAACTATTAGAAAACAAGTTTCAAATGCCATTAGATTGGATAGAACTATTCAAAGTTAATAAAATATTAAAATCATAAGTTAAACTGGCTTTTAGAATTACACATTCAGAAAAACAGCACACAGCGAGTTGTTTGGTCAAGGCCATTCTCTTCCAAGGCTTCTGCATCCTACAGCGGTGTAGCCCACATTAGCTCCTTGCAGCCCCTCTCAAGTGGATCTTCGTTTGTAACGGATAATCGGATTTTCAGGGGTGTGAATCATAGTTGTGTAATTCACAGATGGGAAATATCCATCAATGAGATCAAATTCATACAAACGCAGCATGGTGGACCAAATTGTCTTAATCTGTACATAGGCAAAATTTTCCCCAATGCAACGATGACGTCCTGTAACCAAGAAATGCATAGGAATCAATAGTAGTAATATCTAAGTTTTAAATGAATAGCAGATGCAGAGTATAATAAAAAAATGTCACATACTATTTTATGTAAGACTATAGTTAATAGTTAAATATACCAGGATACTGTCGATGTCAACCTTCTGAAATATATGGAAGGTTGGACTCATGGTGGTCACCTAGTTCAGGAATAAAATAGGAGGACCAAAGCTAACAAGCAGAGAGAAAAACTTGAAAGGTCACACGCATGTAGAAAAGGACAAGCTAATTCTAAACTGCTTGGAGATAACAAGGGACCAAGGATCTCCAAAACATTCCTTTCAAAACATTCCGCTTTTTTTTTTTTTAAAGATTTTGTTGGAAAGGCAGATATACAGAGAGGAGGAGAGACAGAGAGAAAGCTCTTCCATCTGATGGTTGACTCCCCAAGTGGCCACAAAAGCTGGAGCTGAGGTGATCCAAAGCCAGGAGCCAGGAGCTTCTTCCAGATCTCATGCAGGTGCAGGGTCCCATGGCTGTGGGCCATCCTTGACTGCTTTCCCAGGTCACAAGCAGGGAGCTGGATGGGAAGCAGGGCCGCCAGGATTACAACTGGTGCCCATATGGAATCCCAGCATGTGCAAGGCGAGGACTTTAGCTGCTAGTCTACTATGCCCAGCCCTCCAAAGCAATCTTAAAAAAAAAGTTGGAAGACAAACCAACTTCCAATCTGACCAGCAACACAGGTGGTTGGAACAGGGCAGGAACTGACAGGGCAGAGCCCCAGACTGTCAGGGTGAACCAGCTCACGACAAGAAGTCCAACACACCTCATGGAGAGCAGACCCCACCCTGATTCAAGATGGATGACAGTATTGCAGTCATCAGGAGAACAGGAAATGACCTTTGTAATTTGGAGCTAGGTGAAGTTTAAATACTGATAAATTAAGGGGCTGGCTCTGAGGCACAAGTAGGTCAACCAACAGCCTGTAGTGCCAGCAATCTCATTTGGATGCTGGTTCAAGTCCCAGCTGCTCTTCTGATTCAGCCCCTTGCCGATGATCTGGGAAGCAGTGAAGTGTGGCCCCTGCACCCATGTTAACAAGATCATGTGATGCTTCTGCCCCCAACCCATTGAATTTGACCTGGTGGCCTTCTCTGGAAACAGGAGCTTGTATACACCAGAGGTGCTAGAGAGAGGGGGTGGGGCCTCTGTCCAGTGATTAATAGCCCTGCGAGACAGCCGTGCAAGACTCGGACACTGATGGGAGAGAAAGCTTGTGACCAACAGCACAGAGGATGATGCAACTCCGAGCCAAGGATTAGCGCGTGGGGCTTGGGAGAGGCAAGGAAGGAATCTGCCCTGGAACCTCCAGAGGAACGACAGCCCTGCCAAGCCTGGAGCTTATCACGGCAGTCAGAGAAGCCCTGGGGAACCAAATGATAAAAACAGACTGACATACCAGACCTGCAACCAAATCAGTCTCTCTCTCTCTCACACACGCACACCAGGACTGGGAACTTCTATAAATGGGATATTAAAAGGAAACAGACTTGGGCAGCATTTGCAATCCAGCTCCCTGTTAATGGCCTGGGAAGACAGCAGAGGATATCTTGGGCCCTGCAGCCTAATGGCTACTGGCCTCAGATCAGATTGGCTCAGCCTCAGTCACTGTGACCATGTGGGGAGTAACCAGCAGGTGGAAGATCTCTCTCTCCCCATCTCTTTCTGCAACTCTTGACTTTCAAATAAAAATTAATCTTAATGAAAATCTCCTCTTGGAACAGAATGAGGCACAGAAGTAATGCCCCTTGTGACCATTAATCATTTCATTCCTTGGTACAGTATGTTATACACACTGCAAGTGTACGAAAGTTCAGATCTACAGTGAGCAAAGGACCTTACCCTTAACTTATACACGGAACTATGACCAATAACAAACATCATGTGACAAGTGATCTCTCTGGAAGACAAGAGGTCCCTGAACATTGCTTCGTCAGACAGAGCACCACTGAGTAGAACAATCACTAGAAGAGCGGAGCTTGTTTTGGGATTTTAATGGAAACAAGCACATTTACAAACATACCTATAACCTGCCAATTTTATCCAAGGCTATTAAGAGAGCCAGGGTACCTCCCATCACTCCAGATAAGCTCCAACTACAAGAGGCTGCCTTGGCCTCGCTCTTTGGGACAAATCCTCCTCCAACAACATTGGGCCCGTGTGCTGTGTGGGTGCTGTGTGGGTGCATGCATGCTCTGCAGACAGTCAACACAGGATGCCAGTGTTCACCATCACCTGGAACGGCCCTCAGGTTCTGAGACCAATGAGACACAGCACGGTTCCCTCTAACTGCCCCCGGGGTAAGCGGAGCCCCTTCTCCAATCTGGCTCTGCCTGCTGCCTTTCCTTGTTCTTATGAAATGCTGGTACCATTACCACACGCAGCCTGAAATCCTTCCCCGAGTGGTATGCTAACCTTACTGGTCCTTCAAGACATACTCAAACAGCTTCAAATGTTACAAGGAGAGATGAAACTAGGCCTAATAAAATGAGGTAGGTCAGCAGCTAACAATAGAGCATTATACAGGATCCACAGAACAATGTCCTTTAGTATCAACAAGAAAGTCATTTTTTACCAAGTTGCTAGGGATGTACCTATCAGGGGAAGATGTCTATGAATACACGTTTACTTTGAGCAGGACACGTGCCACCTGGACGAAGATTTCCAACCTACAGTGAATGCAATCAACTTACCGGCTCCAAATGGGACATAGGCAAACTTCTCTCCTGATGCTGGGTTATCCTGGAGGTAGCGATCAGGTTTAAAGTCCAAACGTTCTATCCATGAGTCTTTAAGTCTTTGGTTAACAGTAGGAGAGACACATACTTGATGTCCTGGTGGAATGGTGTACCCTGCTACAGTCTAAAGGGAAGCACAACATCACAAGAGGGGATTTTAGAATACATTGCTGAATCAGCCGGTCATGGTAAGCCAAGCACCGATATACACAACGCAGTTAGAGCCAGCTGATTATAAGCCAGTGAAAGGTTCTGTTCGTACCAGGCGACTTCCAGGATGGGCTGGAAGTAGATGCACAAGGCCAACGCCTTTCTCAGGTGTAAAAGAGCGACTTCAGGAAGCCCTGCCCTCTCTCTCACTGCACAGTCAAAATGTTTTACAAGGAAACATTCCTTTTTTAAAAAAGAAAAAAAAAAAAAACAAGGAAAAAACACACTTGCATTCTAAAAGGCCCAACTGGTAAATGAAAATGGAGCACAGCATGATTATAATTTCTGATCAGATTAGCTTTTATACTCTATGTGCAGGCAGGTAAAAATGTTCTGAAGTTGAAAATTCCATAGAAATCCTTACCCCATAGTTTAGATTTTCATTTCAATAACACTCTTTGATTCTATTACATTTCATCTTGGTCATAAATAAAAACTGAGGCACAAAGCTAGGAGGGTGTCTTGGGGGGATCTAACCAGGAGACTCACCTGGGGAGTTTTGGCCATTCTCATCATGGTCATGATAGGAGGCCTCAGTCTCAGCGTTTCTCGTATACAGCGGTCAAGCACATTTAGATCCTTGAGCTACAAAGAAAAAACATCTCTTGATTTTCATAAATATTTAACTGACTCCAATAGTAAAAATTACTGTCCCCTACAAGGGAGGGCAGTGCAAGGGAGCGTGTTGCACCTGAAGAGGCTCACGCACCTGGTCGTAATTGAGAGGCGGCAGGTCCTCCCCACACACGGCCTTCTGCTCTAAATAGCACCTTTCCTGAAGCGGTTTGTCTCTGGCCAAGAAGAAGCCGAGCCAGGCGCTGGTGGTGGACGATGTGTGCTGGCCAGCCAGCAGCAGCCCAATGAGCATCCCCGCAATCTCATCGTCGGTCAGCGGGCGCCCGTCCCTACGGAAGAGGCCCCCGCCGGGCAGTAAGCATCTCCCACATCTCACTCCCCAGCCTTAACAAGCACTGCAGGCACTAGGGGCTCCTGCCTTTGTCCCCTACATGACTCAGAATGCCCCTCCCCACACTGGACCCCTCCCCACCCCACTTAGGGAATGGACAGACCGTTGGAAAGTGGGGTTCCAAGTACCCAAGCCTCATCATCCTTTCAGGTGACCCCCCCCGCACCAACCTGACCGGTGGCTGAATGGCCTTACTTGTAAGTGGAGTCCATTAAGGTCTGCAGGATGTCCTCGAACTTCTCTTTGGACTCTCTGCGCTTCTGGATGGCCTTATAGAAAATATTCTTGATCTCACGATGAGCCCGGTCTCGGCGCCTGTGATGCCAAGAGAATAACGGTTTCTTACTATCTGACTACACTTGCAGGAGGAAAGTGCATTAAGAAAATTAGCACTGAGCTTGAAACCACTGTATTCAACTTAGGTAAAACATGAAAAGACATCAACGTCTTGCACTGTTAAGAATTTCTCCTGGCTCCCCCTTTTCCTCCCACCCCTCCTCTCTTCTGTGACTTGATGCAGAGCACAAAAATAGAAGGAAAAGGAGCACCAGTTAACGCCTCTTCATGGCTCACCTAAGCAGAAATCATCAACAGAAGCACCAAGAACCTACTACTGCACAAGACCCTCCACTGCACAACAGGTGCTAACGCACAATCTCTTGGTATCGAGATGGAGCAGCCTATAAGCAAATCACATTCCAAGTTGGTCAGAGAAGATGAAGGCACACTGGGAGCCACGGTGTGGAGCAGCAGCACCCTAGACAGAGGCACGGGCCAAGGCCCAGCTGCTCTGCTTCAGATCCAGCTCCCTGCTAACACATCTGGGAAAGCGGAAGGAAATGGCCCAAGTCCCTGGGCCCCTGTCACCCAGACCTGAGACAAGAGCTGGAGTTCCAAACTCCTCCTGGCTCTGGAGCCCAGGCCCAGCTCCAGCCATGTGGGGAATGAATGGATGGAAAATATCTTTCTGTGTCCCTCTCTCTGTCACTCTTTCAAATAAATCTTTTTTTTCTCCTTAAGATTTTGTTATTTTTTTATTGGAAAGTCAGATATACAGAAAGGAGGAGAGAGAAAGAGGAAGATCCTCCAACCACTGATTCACTCTCCAAGCAGCCACAATTGCTGGAGCTGAGCTGATCCGAAGCAAGGAGCCCGGGGCCTCTTCTGGGTCTTCCATGCGGGTACAGGGTTCCAAGGCTTTGGGCTGTGCTCAACTGCTTTCCCAGGCCACAAGCAGGGTGCTGGATGGGAAGCAGGGCTGCCAGGATTAGAACCAGCGTCCATATGGGATCCTGGCACATGCAAGGCAACGACTTTAGCCACTGGGCTATTGCTCCGGGCCCTCAAATAAATTTTTAAAACAAAACAAAACAAAACAAAATCTTTGGACCAGTGGCAGTATAGTAACATAAGCCGCATGCTGCATACTGGCATCCCATATGGATTAAAAGGTAGAATTTTCCATGCATTGGCTTTAGACAGTACACACATTACCAAACTGAGACTTTCAAACAAGTGCCCCAAGAGGCCTATATGACTTAGGTATGTTCAAAGACTTCCCGACTACAAGCTATATGTGAATTGAACAAGCTTTAAAATACTAGCTTAAACAATAAATTGGGGATTTTATAAATGGAAACTTACTTTAAATGACCTCACCATATCTTGAGTTTTTATAGAGCAAAGTTTATAGAGCAAAATCAAATTCTCCCCCAGTTTGTTCTACCTCTCGCTTTTATCTGTTAAAGCAAAGCACACTGACAGTACTGTGAGGCCCCGCTACCCAGCGTAGCAGCATCTTTATCCATACCTGAAACTGGGTAAAGGCAGCCAGCCTGGCAACAGCCAGGCAGCATGGCTAAAACCACCATCCAAATCTGCATACAGCTGAGCCACCTTCTCATTGAGCTGACTTCTGATTTCTTTCCCATGTAAACAATGACTAGCTGTTAAAATTATGAGCTCAGAAAGTGCTTCAAACACATCTAGAGGGAAGAAAAAAGTCTCATTACAATCTCCAGTCTTTTCTTGAAGATAAAAAGGTACTATGAAGAAAAACAGAACAAGAAGAAAACTCTAAAACAAGGTACTGCTCATATCAGAAAAAGTCTACATCATGTGTGAAGATTAAAAACAAATGGGGCCAGTTTCTATGGCAGGCTGGCAGGGCTGGGCCGTGAGCACCCATCAGTGTGTATGAGATATGGGGCTGGAGCCAAACTGACCAGGCAGCTACATCTGCTGGTTTGTGCACTAGGTGGTACAGGTGACAAGCAGAACCTGACCCCGCACTGGCTAGCACACACAAGTCAAGTCTGAGGCCACCCCATGTGAGGTTTCTTTGGGGACTCCCAACTAACCACTAGGCTCAGACCCTAGCCACAGGGAGGAGAAAAAAATGACAGGATGTGTGGTTCAATCTTGCAGTGAATGTATCAGCACTGTGCCTCCTTGGTTGCTGGTGCCTCTGTGGTGGACAGCATGACCAGATGCACACAGGGGATGTGAAGGCCAGCTCATCTAGGCCAGCAGGAGCATCAACTGCCTCATTAGAGAGAACAGGTTGGACAACTCTCCTGACCAAGCTTTGAAGCTTGTTCCAGAGTCTGTGGATGTACTAAAATGGATTATCAAACAACAGACCCGAAAGAAAGCTAATCACCAACTGGTATACGCCAACAACACCGGAAAAAAGAGGCAACGGGTTAGCACACTTTGATGACAATACAAAGTCATAAGATGGATGCCCAATGGACTCTGTCCTTTAATCCCATGTTTGCCAAATGAGCTACCAACTAGGAAGTCCCAGGAACAGAAGATCAGCAAATATTCTGGTCTTGCTGGTGCTCTAAATAAACTCACATGTTTCAGCATGTTTATTAGCCAAGTTATTCTATATCACTCATCAGTGACTTGTGAAGTTAGAAAAAAAAAAGTGTATCAACTTTAGGGGCACTAAAAATAATAAGCTGTTGGGCCTTTTGTAGAAGCTGAAGACAAAACCCAGAAAGTAATGCCATGGGGCCCTGGGCCTGGGCCGAGATGGCCACTGCCTCTGCAGGCCACACCTGCTGTGGTCCCAGCACCAAGACACAAAGCCTGGGCTCAAGGTTACAATGCCATGGCAATCACAGCTGGTCTCTGCCATGAAACCCAATCCAGTTCTACATCTTTGGTAGCCTGCTTTATTTATACACAAGACATATTGACAGTAAAGTGAAAATAGAAGGACAAATATAAAACATTTTGCTTACTTTTTTCTCCACTTTCTCCCCAACTCTCAAAGTATTCCTTTGTCTCTTTTTCAATTATAGAGACATACTGTCGAAAATGGGCTATATTAAGGCCACTTTTTAACATTTTCTTCTGCTCCAAGAAAACCTTCAAACAAGATAAAAGGTAAATAAAATTAAAACACTTATCATTAAAATCCATTCAAGTTATCATAACCACATTAACACTTCAAGGAAACAAAATTCAGAAAACCTAAGAAATAGAGGCTTTTGTGGGCCCAGCGGCGTGGTCTAGTGGCTAAAATCCTCGCCTTGAATGCGCTGGGATCCCATATGGGCGCCAGTTCTAATCCCAGCAGCTCTACTTCCCATCCAGCTCCCTGCTTATGGTCTGGGAAAGCAGTCAAGGATGGCCCAAAGCCTTGGGACCCTGCACCCGTGTGGGAGACCTGGAAGAGGTTCCTGGATCCTGGCTTTGGATCGGCACGGCACCGGCCGTTGCACTCACTTGGGGAGTGAATCATCAGATGGAAGATCTTCCTCTCTGTCTCTCCTCCTCTCTGTATATCTGACTTTGTAATAAAAATAAATAAATCTTTAAAAAAAAAAAAAAACCAAAAGAAATAGAGGCTTTTGAAAGAGCAACACCTGAGTGGGAAACTTGGAGGACAGCAGGTATGCTTGAAGTAAGGGTACGGAAAGAAGGCAGCAGGGCCCGGGGATTAAGAATGCTGTGTCCTGTTCGCCTAGTGCTGGCAGGGCTGCCAGTCTAATCTGCTGCCATCTCCCAACCCAACCCAGAGGCCAACACAGCCTGCCAAAGGTGCACCACACTGCTACAACATTTATACCAAGACAACCAGTGGTAGCTTGTGGGGAAAAAAAGAGCAGAGGATTCTTCTATGACTTTAGCTTTTGGACTGGAGACAATCTGCTGGTTTCTAGAAACAACATTTGCCATCAACTCTATCTGCTATACAAGGATACGGGTTATGCACGCTGTACACCCAACCCGAGCCCACACCAACAGGCTGGGAAATTATTGGACTGGCATTCGCCATTTTACAACATTTCATATTCAACTGTGGAGAGGATGAAGGGCAAACACACAAGTGAACCACATCCCTGAAGTAGCTCCCAATAAATGGTGACTAATGGGATCAGCACCTCAGAATCAAACAGCTCTTACCTAGAACTGTAGGCAGGAGCTGGCAGGCAGACGCCCTTCTGATGAAATAATGGGACTTACCTGCCGCTCGCCCTAATCAAAATCCAATGTGCTAACTTATCACAGCCCACGCCACCAACAACAAAGTACCCATTCATGATTCCTGGCTAACACAGTGCTTCTACACTGCAGCTGTAGAGTGACTTTCAGCTGTGCCCAAGACAGGTCTGTGTAAGGTCAAGGTGTCACCTACCGCATTAGGCACGTCGTATGCGACTCCCTTCCCAAACACGGGCGTGGTGAGCCGGCTGTAGACGTCCTCTGCATTCAGGTCTTCATTTTTGCTGTTGAAAAGCAGCGCTGCAGCATCACTGCCCAGAAGGTATGTAAACGTCTTGCCCACCATGGTAAAACTAAAGACAGGTCCATACTGAAGAGAAGAACAGCCACAGTGACGTTAGCAAAAACCACAAAACACTACGACACCCAGCTCTTGGATCACAACAGTGTTGAAAAACTAAGCATTCCCAAATGCTAAGTGGTGAAGCAACTCCTTCCAGGACACTTCTCTCCTAGTCTTTTCCAGCTTTACTCTTATATCCATGTACTTGCAAATGGAATGTAACTTTCCTTTTTTCAAGATTTATTTATTTGAAAGGCAGAGTGACAAGAGGGAGGGAGGAGAAAGATCTTCAATTTACTGGTTCACCCCCACAGTGGCCCCAGTAGTTGGGGCTATGCCAGACCTAAAGACCCTCCCAAACCATTCGAAGAAAATGTCTGTGGCAAACAATGGGAAGCTGAGAAGACTGCTGCCGGTGCTGGGGGGAGATACACCAGCGCATGGGCAGACCTCTCCGCTGGCTGTAAAAGGTGCAGCAGGAGCGGGAGGGATGCGGGGAGCAGCTGGGCCTTCTGCAGAGATGTCATGGCAAGCACGTGTGACAAGCAACAGCACGACAGGGGAGCTGGCAGTGCCCTGATGCAGCATCTGAGGAGACTGCACACTGACAGAGGCTAGATGGGAAAGCGAGCCAGCAGGAAGGGCTCCGTGCTTCTGGCATGCTGCCCCCGCACCATCGGGAGGCGGGCAGGATGGGAGAATTGACTGTTGCATTTCAGATAGGCAGGAAACCACCAAGGAGGAATCACGGAGGTCTGCCATCATGCAAGAGGATCAGACAGGAGATCTGAGCCAGCTGCATCTTCCCAGTGACGCGAGCTGCGAGCACAGACGACATTCCCAAGAACAGAGACGCTGAGGACCTAGACCCAGCACTCTCACGCACGCCTGCCGCCTCTAGGAGACAGCTTAGCTGTCTTCCTTTTACAGTCCTTTACTGACTTAGCACAGGCTTCCGCCCTCCTCTCAATCAGCAAAGAGGTAGACAGAAAAAAGTAGTCACATTTGAGAACACACAGATAACATGGCCAAGTTCAATGTAGATTAGTGGCATGAAGCTCACTGGTAACACCACTAGAAAACGTAGTGGGTTAAAAAGTGAACAGGCATCACAGAGCTGGGGTTCACACGGCAAGTGGGAAAAGCATGAGGAGATTTGGTGAAGCCCCATTCTGCTCTTAAAGGGACAGCAGAAGAACCTTTCAAAGACAGTCTCCGGTACGCCAAGAAGTGACAGCACGAGGTAAGTGACACCAGAGACAGAGAATTCAGCACACTTGCTGGGCTCACATCCCAGCTCCTCCACTCAGCTGGGTGTTCCTCTAGTCAGAGGGCCAGCCTCCCTTCTCTAGAAAACTCTAAGCTGTACTTCACAGAGCTGCTTTCAAGATTAAATAAATAAATTACACGTACGGAGCAAAGGTAGCCTGCCCAGCCACAGTAAGACTTTTTCTCGCATTAACACTAAACGTGCAGGCTCAGAAATGAGAACGTGGTAAACCCTGGCTTGCTCACTGGCTAGTAACAGGCCCAAGTGTTAATTGCGTAACATCTCTATTGCTCAGTTTTGTCATCTATAAAATGGATCCACTGGAAGGAGTTTTGGAGCTTCAGAGAAATAATCTGTGTAAACTACTGAGTATGTAAATTACTATGTAAATTACTGAGGAAGGAAAGAGAATTTGTAGATACAAGTTTGTGTGTTCATAATTGAGAGCATGAGTTTCCACTGAGTGGTTTTTAACCACTCCTTACAAAGGAGAAAGTTGTAAGCTTTGAAGGAAAGGTGAAAGATTCTAAAGTTTGGGGAAAAGATTGCACTAGTCGTTGTGGTAACAGGGGAAAGTCAACCATGGTTAATGACATAACAATCGTTGAGCAATGTTCAGACTTCACTGAAAGTATGTAAACATGTAAGGAAGAAGGTAATAATTGGGTGCAAGAAGGAGAAAATGACCAGTTACTCCCTCCAAGTTAGTCAGGTGAGCACAACAACAAAGCAGGGGAAAGGAAACAGGTTATCAGCAAGTGTCACTAATGGAAAGTGAAGGGCCCTGAGGGGAGGCAGCGACAGAGTTCATGGGGATAGAGATCAAAGGACGGCAGAGTGATCAGCCAAAGGACGGACAAAGGAAGCCTGCTGCTGAGGGTGTGGACTGACTGCAGTGTCTGAATCCCCATTGAGGGGCAGGTGCTTAACCCAGCGTCGAACACCTATTCGGGTGCCTATGTCCTCCGGCACAGTGCGTGGGTTTCATATCTAACTCCAGCTTGCTGCCAGTGCAGATGCAGGAAGGCATTGAGGCTCCCCTGCCGTGCGGGACAAGGGGTGCCTAATAGAGCTGGTAGGCATTTGGGGACTGAACCAAATTTTAACAAATTAAACTTAAAATTTAGGGGCTTAACTGGCTAATCCTCCACCTGCAAACATCCCCTATGTGCGCCAATTTATTTCTGGCTGCTCCACTTCCCATCCAGCTCCCTGCTTGTGGCCTGGGAAAGCAGCTGAGCACAGCCCAAAGCCTTGGGACCCTGCACCCACGTGGGAGACCCAGAGGAAACTCCTGACTCCTGGCTTCAGATCTGTTCAGCTCCGGCCATTGTGGCCATTTGGAGAAATGAACCAGATGGAAGATTTTTCTCTCACTATCTCTGCTTTTCTGCTTAAATCTGCCTTTCTAATAAAAATAAATCTTTTTAAAAAATTCATAAGTTAATATTGTGGTGATCTAACTTTGGAAGAAATGGCTGCATTCACACCCAACGCTCCTTGGACAGGAGAGGCCCGGGACAACTGAGTGGCCAGGTTCACCAAGTGGCTCGTCCACAAAGAAAGTCAAGTTGTAGGCAGACGAAGCACTTGGAACGTTCCAGCCTCCAGGGTGAAGGAGCGTGTGTGTCCGCACTAGCAATGTCAGCTACAGTCAGAGCACACACACGCACAGCAGCGCTTTCATACCTCGGCTCCCAGAACTGCAGCTTCCCAACAGCCCATCATTCCAGGTCACCCCGAGATTAAGGAAAAACAAAGTGTGGGATTCTTCAAGCCTCCGCAGCTCTTACAACAGCTGTAATTTTAATTTTTCTGTCCTAACCATAAGCCTAAGGTCAAAATGCTACAAAATGGTCTGCCATTTAAAAGTGCTGGCCTCCAGCCCAAAGCTTTGGGAATCTGTACCCGCGTGGGAGACCCAGAAGAAGCTCCTGGCTTTGGATCGGATCGGCTCAGCTCCAGCCGTTGCGGTCACTTGGCGAGTGAACCACTGGACAGAAGATCTTCCTCTCTGTCTCTCCTCCTCTCTGTGTATCTTTCCAATAAAAACAAATAAATCTTTTTTTTTTTTAATAGGGCTGGTTTGATTCCTTCTCCTCTACTTAAGATACTTACCTTCTCATATGCATTTTCCAGGAACTCAATTGGACTTTTTCCAAATGCTATGGCATGCCCAAGGAATGGAATCGGAGAGAAAATATAGGGGGGAGTTTTCTACAAAAGAAGAAAAAAGAGCTTCAGTGCCCATCACATTTAAGACAAAAACCCACCTGCTTTTCAGGACTAAACAGAATTTGCCACCAGTACTAAAAACTGCCCAGAGAATGAAGCATCAAAACATACTGAAGCAAAAGGCCACACTAGAAATATCTCAGAGAAGTGATTAGAATAAAAACAAAACCCCAAAATGTAGTGTAAGATTAATGCCTTGATAAACAGGAAGTCCCTATAACTTTAAATGACTGGCTTGGTCAAGAACTCCTCCAACGCTGCTGGTACCATCGGGCAACTTTTCTAACCAAAAAAAAAAAAATAATTCAAACCACACTTTCATCACTTACACTGTCACTCAGAAATCCTGCCTCTTGTCATAGAAAACAAAATCAACAGTAACTTGAGGTCTATTCTATAAGGAAGGAGCTGCTTAAGTAGCTACACTTTCAACACACTTTGCAAGTGAGCCAGACAGTGTAATCTGAAGACGGGATCAGTTCTGGCAGGAACTGGGCGGGTCTGCAGACACCACAAAACGAGACCTGCACGTCCCAGGAGCTCACACCTGCGCGGAGGAAAGGATGGCACCACCACCCGCTCCCTGCGGCCCAGGAACCACCTCTGAGGGAACCTGGATTTTTCCGAAGCCAGTCATCGCTCCCTCAATGATCAAGGGCAGCCTCGCGCCCTTGGTGGCTGAAACAGAAACCCTGTTGGAAGCTGCTCGGTCCATGGTTTGCATATGCCATGGTCAGTAAAATAGTTTGCAAAAAGTTGCGCCGTGTTGATGAGTAAGGATATGTGCATCAACTTTAAACTTAGTCATTAAAAAAAAAAAAGCACGCTCAATTAGGGAAACTGGTATCTTAACGCCCTTGCTACCCTCTAGTCACTCCCACTCTAACAAAGTGAGGTACGGCATTAATCCTGACAGAAAGCGCCACTCCAGCCAACGTCGTATCCCACCGGACACCGACCGCACTCGACGCTTCCAGGACGGACGCCCACCGGGGACCCTCCCCACCCCGCCCCCACCGGGGCCAGGGCGGCCGCCTGGGCGCCAGGACCGCGAGCCCCCGCGAGGAGGGCCACCAGAGCCGCGGCCCAACACGAACCACGACCACGAACGTGGCTGGCACGGCTCGATCGGGACCAGACGCCCGACCGGAGAGCGCACCGCGGCGGCCGGCCAGGACCACCGGCAGCCGAGAGCATCACGGCCCCGCGGAGCTCCGCACAGCTGGCCGACGCCGGACCCCAGGACCCCGGACGCGACCGGCCAGGCCAGCCCCTCGGCCACCGCGCCGGGGAGCCACGCACCGTTCCGGCTGACAACTGGAGCAGGTGGCCGACGGCGAGGCGGATGAGGTAGACCAGGCTGAGGGTGAAGGCGCAGGCGATGAGCAGCGTGGACAGGAGGCTGCCGCCCGTCACCTGCTCCACAGCCTGGGTCAGCACCGACCCTCCTGCCTGCAGCAAGCCCAGCAGTACCATCCCGGCCGCCGCAGATTCACTCCGCCCGAGAGGGTGGAGGCCGAGGTCGCCGCCGCTTCTCCGACAAGATGGAAAGCAGAGAAGCTGGCGGATGGGCGTGCGGAAGCGGCCCCGGCCCCCAGCTCGGCCGCTAAATCCACCCGCACCCCCACCCCGGCCCGCTGCGCGCCACCGGCGGCGTCACAGGCCGGGGCGGGGCCTGCCGCCGGCCACGCCTCCTGAGCGCGCTCGGCCACGCCCCTGGCGAGAACACGTCACGCCGAGGTCTCCTTGCGCCCGTGGAAAGACAAGGAGGCCGCAGCCGGCACGCGTGGCCTAGGGAGGGCAGAGGACGCAGCTTAACGCTGAACCTCCGTGCGGGGAATGTGCGGGCTCCGGGAGCCTGTGTGCGGGCGGTGGGGGCCCCGGGCGCGGCGCGGGCGGGGCCTGGCGGAGGGATCTGGGCGCGGGGCGTGAGGCGGCCGAGGGCCGGCGGCGGCTGCAGCGCGCTCTGTGATTGCACGGCGCGCGCCTGAGGTGATCTCGGCCTATGTGGCGTCAGCGGGGCGCGTGGCTCGGGCGCCGCCCCCTGGCCCGGGAGCGCGGGCCTGCTCCCCGCCGCCTGCCCGGCGGACCTGGTGGCCCTGACGGGGACGCGAGGTCGTGAAGACGCCGAGCTGGCCCTCGCGGGGAGCCCGCCGTGCAGGCCGCTCCCTTCCCACTGCCGTGGCTCTGAGTCTGACAGGTATTGATACTCAGTCACGTTGTTAGGTAGGAGGAAGCAGGTCTTCCCGAAGCTCTGAGCGCTCACGGCTGTTCTCTGAGAACAAAAGCTGAACTCGAGTCCACCTGGCCGCGCTCGGCCGAGTGTGCCCCAACAGACGCCCGCCGGGACGGGGACACCTGCCGCTCCCTGCTTGCCGGCTGTCACACCCGGTTCGTCCGTTCGGAGAGCCAGGCTCGGCCCGGAGATGGACCTCCCGATGCTGGTGGCCGCAGATCCTGCCCCGCTGCCCCGGGAGGCCCCACAGAGACACCCTCGGCCTGTGGCCCTCCTTCGGGCAGGACACCTCTCAGTCTAGGGGTTCTTTTACACGAGCACCCAAATTCCTGCTTGTAGTCTGGCCTGTTTCCGCGTTGCCGCCGCTTCTTGAATCACTTAAAAATTTGGGCTTTCATCTCAAGTGTGGAGTTCCAAAAGATCAAAATCTGTGGTGCCTCAAAATTCTGAAAAAAATCCCCAAAACCGTAAGATTTCTTCAGTATCATTGACATTTTAAAAGGGATCTTATTTGACAAACGTAAAAACCTGACAATGCTTCATACGCTATCATATTCAGGTACGCTGAGAGTCACAGGTGAAATCCAGAGCACAGTGAATTGTTTTAAAAAATTAAAAAATGATAAAGTCACCCGGCGTGGGGGCCTAGCGGCTAAGGTCCGCGATGGGATAACGGTAAGGTTGCGGGTTCTAATCCCGGCAGCTCCACTTCCCATCCAGCTCCCTGCCTGTGGCCTGGGAAGGCAGTCCGAGGCTTTGGGACCCTGCACCCGCGTGGGAGACCTGGAGGAAGGTCACGGCTTCAGATCAGCTCAGCTCCAGCCGTTGTGGCCACTTGGGGAGGGAATCAATGGACAGAAGATCTTCCTCCGTTTCTCCTCATCTCTGTATTTCTCACTTTCCATTCAAAATAACTCATTTTTTTAAGTGGGAAAACAAATTTCAAAACATGGCAGGAGGTGTTAGAGGGACAGGTTGTGGGCAGTTACACGGAGGTGAACGGTATGCGCTGACAGCTTTCCCATCATGAATTGTTATTGAAACTTTTGCATTTTGAGGACAACCTTTTGTCTTTAGGGCACGACTTTCCTCACAGAATGTCCACATCCACTGTATGTGGCACTAGTCTTTGAATTCTGTGATTCAGCACATAGCAATGTGGGTAATTCCTGTTAAGTTGTCCTATCTTACGTGCCATGCTTCTGAATTTATACGAGTATATAAACATGTTGTGGAGCGCAGTGTGGGTATGGTAATAGTTGTTTTATGCTGTTAATGGACTATTAATTATTATTGCCTTACTTCTTGCCATCTTCAAATTCATAGTTTTCAAAAAAGATTTATTTATTCTTATTGTAAAGTCAGATTTATAGAGAGGAGGAGAGTCAGCAAGAAAGATCCTTCATCTGCTGGTCAAGTGCAGCTGAGCTGATCCAAAGCCGGAAGCCAGGACCCTCCTCCAGGTCTCCCATGCAGGTGAAGGGTGCCAAGGCCAAGGCCAAAGGCAGGGAGCTGGAGGGGAAGTAGAGCAGCCAGGATACAAACCCACACCCATGTGGGATCTCGGCGGCCCAAGCAAGGCAAGGGCTTTAGCCACTAGGGTACTGCGCCGGGTCCACATTCACATGCTTATAGTTTCTCAGTTTTAATTCCTAGGGTCTTTTTTTTTTTTTTTTTTTTTTTTTTTAGTACTGTTATTGCCAAAGGTTTATCAGATGCCACTTTGTGAAAGGGAGTATATACTTGTTCAGCAGAAGCACAGGCCTGGAGTGGCAGCCTGAGGTTATAGTGGTGGTCATGCAGGAGTGGACCATGGACACAATCCTTGTGGAAAACAGCATGGCGGTAGAAGACAGAATTACAGGATAGTTATGATTTAATGCCAGTTTCTCCACTTGGATATTAACTAACAAATGATTTAAAACAAAACCAAAAATGCTCATGAAGCTGTGATCATGAGAGTATTGAAACCCTAAAAGCCATACTTCTCTTGCCACGTTGCCGTAATGCTGGACTATTTTAAAACAGGGTAGGATAGCCATCAAAACATAATTACAAAAACCCTATAGAAAAGTAGAAAAATGCAAAATATAACATATATGTATCTTAACGGAAACTAGTCATAAACATGTTAAGCCTCACACACACATTTAGATGATTACTATCTGAAAAATAAACAGAAAATAGCAAGTTTGGCAAGACTTTAGAGATGTTCGGCTCAGTGGGGGTGATGATGCCTAGGATGCTGCTTAGTGCCCAGTTTGGGTCCCAGCTCTCTTTCCAAGTCTAGCTTCTAGCTAACACGCAGGCTGAGGGAGCAGGTGATGACTCAAGCACTTTAACTTGCCGCCTGCCTGGGCAACCTGGATTGACGTCTAAGCCCCTGGCTTCAGCCTGAGCTAGCATGGACTGCTGCAGGCACTTAGGAAGTAAGCCACCAGAAGGGTAGAAGATCTCATCTCTCGCTGCTGTCCCACAGTGATGGACTTGGTGCGTGGAGCTGATAATAAGATAATAACACTCTAATAACACGCGTGGACTCTGACCAATGGTCAAAGCCCAAGTTTATTAGTGGCAGCAGACTTTATACACTGAGGGTCATATGGGATAAGGGAGGAAGTATTGAGTTTATCAACAAAACCCATCAACTGTTTCTATGCTTTTGTTTGGAACTCCTTTTGTCTTATATATTCCACCAAGTGTTCTCATACACAGAGGTCCATTCAACTGTTCTTATACAAATGATATCCAATCAGGTATATAAAAGGTATCCATTTGGTTGTTATCATACAAATATTGTCCAATCAACTGCAATCCTGTGCTTGCTGACCTTCTAGGGTCACAATGTCCTACAATCTCTTCCTGTGTCTTTCCCACTTCCTGTATTTCAACTAAATAAATAATACATTTGCCGACCAGCATTGTGGCACAAGTGAAGCCATCACCAGTCATGTCAGTGTCCCATACCAGAACACCATTTCAAGTCCAGGCTTTTGATCCATCTTTTTTTTTCTGATGGGCTTTATTTATTAGAACATTTCATTGTATGCTTTAGACATTTTTTTCTCATGTATTTTTCATTTTTAAAAGTTTCTATGATTCTTAGCAAACAGCTTCATATTCTTCTGTTTGCTAATGCTTTACTCAACTCTTTGTCTGTTGAATCCATTCACTAAATTCTTTGATGTTTTGCAAGTTTGAATTCCATTTTGTTCTTTTAAAAGCAGTTTCAGGATGCAAAATTCTTTTTTTTTAATTGTTAATAACATTGTATTATGTGATACAGTTTTATAGGCACTAGGATTTCCCCCGCTCCTCCTACAACCTTCCCCCCATGGTCGATGGCCGAAAACCTTGGGACCCTGAACCCACATGGGAGACCCAGAAGAGGCTCCTGGCTCCTGGCTCTTGGCTTCGGATCAGCTCAGCTCCAGCCATTGCAGCACTTGGGGAGTGAATCAGTGGATGGAAGATCTTCCTCTCTGTCTCTCCTCCTCTCTATATATCAACCTTTGCAATAAACGATACTTTTTAAAATTTTTACCAAAAAAAAAAAAAGTAAAAAGAAACAAACATGGCACTAATATCATTAGGATTACTATGAAAAATAGTTTGGATGTTCTTCTAAAAAATATAAATAGAACTACCATATGGTCCAGAAATTTCACTTTGTACCATATGTGTACCTCCAAAAGAATTGAAAGCAGACTCAAAGATCTATTTGCACACCCATGATTATTATTCACAATAATCAGAAAATGGAGGCATCAGCAGACCAATGGATAAACAAAAATTGGTATACACATACACTGAAATGTCACTCAACCTTAAACAGGAAGTAAATCCTGGCACATGCCTTGGTAAGTGAAGGAGCCAGTCTTCAAAAGACTAATCCCATAGATTCTACTTCTCTAAAACAGACAAATTCAGAAGAAGTAGAATGACGGTTACCAGCGGATGGGAGAAGGAGAAAGTGTTATTCAGTGAGTATAGAATTTCAGATTTTTAGGGTCCCAACACAATGACATAGTCGGCTAATCTGCAGACTGCTAGTGACAGCACCTCGTAAGAGCGCTGGTTTGTGTCCCAGCTGCTCCACTTCCAATCCAGCTCCCTACTCGCAGCCTGGGAGAACAGCAGAGGATGATTCAAGTCCTTGGGGTGCTGCACCTAAGTGGGAGACAAGGAAGAAGCCCCTGGCTCCTAGCTTTGGACCAACTCAGGTCAGGCCCTTGTGGCTATTTGGAAATAGTGAATGGAAGATCGATCTCTCTCTTTGTAAAATCTTTCTTTCAAATAAAAATAAATAAGTATTAAAAAAGGATTTCAGATTTTTTTCAAGCTTTTTTTCCTAAGATTTTTTTTTTTTATTGGAAAGTCATATACAGAGAGGAGGAGAGACAGAAAGGAAGATCTTCCATTTGCTGGCTCACTCCCCAAGTGGCTGCAACAGCCAGAACTGAACCAACATGAAGCCAAGAGCCTCTTCTGGGTCACCCATGTGAGTGCAGGGTCCCAAGACTTGGGCTGTCCTTTACTGCTCTCCCAGGCCACAAGCAGGGAGCTGGATGGAAGTGGGTCACCGGGATTAGGACTGATGGCCATATAGGATCCCGGCACATGTGAGGTAAGGACTTTAATTACTAGGCTACTGCACCAGGCCCAGAGTTTCAAATTTCTAAGGTGAAAAAGTTCTAGAGAAATGTTTCACAACACTGTTAGTATATTCGGTGCTACTGAGCTGCATTTAAAAATGTGTAAGAGTATAACTTGATTCTTTTAAAAACACATTTTCTAAAAATTGTATATCAGCCACAAGTTTATTTAGACATATATTAATATATTACATACATTAAATCTTTACTACAGCACAATTAGGAATGCTGTTCATCCGGTAATAAAGTCAGGACTGGATGACTTTCACAAAACCAAGTAGCTAATTACCAGCAGAGCAAGGGTTTAAAAATAATTTGACTCCAAAGCATATATATCTACTGCACCATTATTATATAAAAAATAAGTTATGTACATAAGATTATAAACTTCAAGATAAAAGACAACATGCATTGTTAAATTGGTAAAAGATACGATTTCATTTTTGCTGTTTTTGTGATACACACTCATTTGAAAAGCACAAATTAACAAAAATAGCAGCTGTCACCCTAGTACCCTGAAATTGATTGATTTGAAGGGGGTGTTGGATTCTTGAAGTTCATTTTCTGCTTTGTCCAAGGGCAGCGGTTGCGGGTGTCAGGGAAGCTCGTAATGAGGTCAGACCGTGTATTGAGCGGGGCGCTCTCGGTTCCCTTGTGCTTGCTGCTTTCATACACAAAACCTGACTGCTTCTCTCCCTGCCATGACCTACCTCATCTACAGGGTTGTGGCTGGGTACACAATGTGTGTACTGATGGCCCAGTACCTCCCACCTGGTACCTGAGCTGGGTTCGCTGGGCTGGCTGCACAGAGGATTGACAGTGTGGCTTCCTGGACTTCCTGGAGCACGAGGTGGCCCAGGGATGACCCAGGTGTGCCTGGGAGAGATGTAGCAGGTGGCAGTTTCCCTGGGCAACTCAGTGCTTCCACAAGGGCTGTTGTAACCGCTATTGTGTTGTCTCATGTTTTAAAACTTCTTTTAATGATTCCTAACCCTATTTTCAAATTAAACCCTAATAATTGAATGTTCAATACACAATCCAAGATAAGCTGTGGGAAATTCACTAGAGAGCTACCAGAGACATGTAAAACAAAACTGTCCTAAAAATTATTGAGGCCTAACATTTTACATGACACTTATTAAGCATTTTTGTTTTGGGTATCTCTAGAGAATGTTCCAGCACCTGTCAGCACTGCTTCGTTTATTCTACCAATAATGAAGAATGCAAATATGAATGAAGAGAAGGTAAGGGCATTTGTTGCATCGCAGAACCCTTGTGACTTTGTTTCCCTTCTACACATTTGACTGCAGAACAGGCCCAGAGCTGATCCTGTTTGGGAGATGCCACAGCTACCAGGGTAGACTAATTGCTGTGCCAGCCAACCCTAAGACCTCAGACACCCAATATAAGTTTGTGCTCATTTATTCAACAGCACAAATTGGTTATGCCTGCTTTCAGAATCTCTCTCAAGTTTACATTCAGGGACCCATGCTTCTGAATGCTATGGATCTGCCCAGGAATCCAGAGAGAATACAATGCAACATCTATGGGAGGTGGGTCTGCCAGCTAGTTACATCACTCTGTCCTCATGTAATGATTGAGAAATTCATTTCAGAGCCACACCCAAGCATTGGGTAGGCTGGGAAAGTAGTCTCTGCCACTCCCAGAAGGAATGGAAAGTGGGGTCTGGTGAAAAGGTGATGGTTACTAAAAAAAAAGAAAACCAAAAAACCTAACCTGGCCTGGAATGGATGGATTATGCCGTCTCTCTCTGCTCTAGGCTTTAGGAATACATTTCCTTTGGCTGTTGTGTTTCTTTCATCATCAAAATTGTGAAAATACGGTTAGAGATAAAGGTTGCTGCTTATCTGTTCAGGTTGTAGATCAATATAAATATATCTGATATAGGTTAAAGAAATCTTCAGCATGAGTTGGTTCTACAGGTGACTACATTTAGATGTGGCCTCCAAGTTTCACAAGAACATGTGTATTACATGGGTATACCTTGTTTCCATCTGCCCAGAAGCCATGAACTCCACAGTCTCTCAGCTATACCTCCTCCAGCTTTCCCCTACCCGAGGTGATTATGGTAGAACTCCCAGCCATAGTATCTATGCAAACCTGGCGAAACATACCAGGGATCACACATCGTGACCAGTGACTGGTCTAAAAGATGTGTTCAAAGTGGGAACAAAGCCAATCAGACCCCCTTTCTAACTATCCAGAGGCAGAGCTAAATCAGTTCCCATTTTATTCCCTTATCATGAGCTGTATCAGACATTCCATGTCATAGAGAAGAACCTGAGAAAATGAGGCTCTTACAGCTAAAAGGCAAGAGGCAGAAAAAGAATTCTAATGTTTGCAGTTTCTGAATGTAGCTATAAAATGAAAGCAGAGCAACTGCCATTCTTCAAGAAAAAAATAAAATATAAGGAGAGAAGTATCCTCTTCATGGAAGGAAGTTAAAGCTTCAGACAAATTTAAGAGTGAGTAAAGAATGATTCATGAATCAGGCAACGACTGCAGCAGCCTGAGCAGCAGGCTTTCAGAAGCTAAATGCCAACCAAAGACTAATGGTTAGAGTGGAGAGGCCCCAGTGAGAGGTTAGTTGGCAGACTGTAATTGGTAAGACCTCGTTTCCTTCACAGCTTAAGTTGGACTTTAGTTTGCTTATAAGGAACTTAAAGGACTGGAGCTTTTCCAGCTTAACGGTGTCACAATTAAAATGTTTAAAAATGATTTTCCACAGGACAAATGTTGTGGCACATAGTTAACCCCTACTTGTGTTAAACCCCTACTTGGGACACCTGCCTGCCATTGTGGAGTTCGAGTCCTAACTACTCTGCTTCCAACCTAGCTTCCTGCTAATGTACCTGAGAAGCAATATGATGGGTCAAGTGCCTGCAACCCCCGCCACATGGGAGACCTAGAGGGAGTTCCCGGCTCCTAGCTTCTGCCTGTTGCAGGCATTCCTGGGTGTCAACAGCAATTGGGAATTGGGGAATGCACTAGTCAGTGGGTTCTCTTCCTCCCTCTCAGTTACTGTGCATTTCAAATCAATCATCCTCATTTTTTTTTCCTATTGTTGGTGAGTCTCATATATGGTAGTCTAAAACTTAGGCATGAGTACCACTTGCTCCTCTCCTGGTTGCAGTTTCCCTGTATTAGCATGTACTTGTAAGTCATGACATCAGGCTCAATGAAGAAACGCTCCCCTAGCCATCCAGGTGAGAGCATGCTGTGTTTTCTGGATGACACACAGCTTAGAGCCTGGGGAAAATGCGCACACCAGGGGCATGATAACCAGAACTGCTGCACAGGAGCAATGAGCATTCGTAGCCCAGGCCTCCCCAAACCAACCAACTAAAAGGCAAAAGGCTGCAATGAACTAGAAACTCAGATTCCAAATCCAAAAGGCATTTAGTCAAGATTTCTAGATGTTAGATTGTAGTATGTTTTCCTAGCTTGTGGTTTGAATGTTTGCAGTTAAGTCATCACAAGTTTTAGTGAACTTCCTGAGTAACCCAGACTTTATCGGGTATAAGTGTGTCCTCTGCCATTTATAATAAGTTGTTCAGCTCCAGTTTTTTGGGCTTTAAGGAAAAAAATAAAATATAAGGAGAGAAGTGTCCTCTTCATGGAAGAAAGTTAAAGCTTCAGACAAATTTAAGAGTGAGCAAAGAATGATTCATGAATCAGGCAATGACTGCACTACGGTTGATCACTAACAAAATTTTAAGGACAGTGACTAGTGTCTGCCATCTACAAGGGTGCATGATAGTTTTCTGTTTAAGCATTGTTTCTCTATGTAACTGCCCTCATTTCTACCTGGAAGAATCACAAATTAGGGGCCTGTGTGGTAACATACCAGGCTAATTATCTTCCTACAGTTCTCACATCCCATATGGGTGCTGTTTATTCCTGGCTGCTCCACTTTCAATGAAGCTCTCTACTTACGGCCTGGGAACCCAACAAAGGATGGCCCATGGTCTTAGGATCCAATGATCATGTGGGAGACCCAGAAGAAGCCCCAGGCTTTCACCTTTGGATCAACTCAGCTCTGACCCATTGCAGCCATTTGGGGAGTGAACCAACAGATGAAAGATATCTCTTTCTCTCTCTAAATCTTCCAATAAAAACGATCTTTTTGGGCCTGGCGTCGTGGTCTAGCGGCTGAAGTCCTCGCCTTGAATGCGCCGAGGTCCCATATGGACGCTGATTCTAATCCTGGCAGCTCCACTTCCCATCCAGCTCCCTGCTTGTGGCCTGGGAAAGCAGTTGAGGATGGCCCAAAGCTTTGGGACCCTGCACCCGTGTGGGAGACCCGGAAGAAGTTCCTGGCCCCTGGCTTTGGATCGGCATAGCAGCGGCTGTTGCGCTGACTTGGGGAGTGAATCATCAGATGGAAGATCTTCCTCTCTGTCTCTCCTCCTCTCTGTATATCTGACTTTCCAAAAAATAAATAAACCTTTTTAAAAAATGCATGTGTATCAGTGTTCAGTTTTTATTATGGATCAACTAGTTAGAATTTAATTGCCCGTGTGAAAAGGTTTAGTGCTGTTATTTTGTCCATAATATCATACGCCCCTATCATAGTTAGCGCCCGGACTAGTTGGCCTTTTACAGCAGCAGCTGTTAGTGATGAGTTGGTACTTTCCATTTTCCATTTAACAAGTGCCTGGTAGACTCTCTCATTTAATGGCACAGTGCTGAAAGAAAAATTAAAATAGTAATTATATTCATCATCAGTTTAGGACATCATTTTATTTAACTACTTAAATATTATGTATCTAGGTTTTTCAAAACAATTTGCCACATTGAAGTGAGCCTCAAAGTAATTGGTGAAGAGAGGCTACAAAAAAGATTGGCACATGAACCTACAATTTTGCTTCCGTTCAGTGTACAAGGCATCCGAACAGTAATCTTGGATTATTTACTGTAAGCTAATGTATTACGCTCCTGTTCTACAGTCCTATGGCTTGCTCTCCTTCGACCCTCAGGGCATCTCTCTTAGGTAAGCATAGCCATTTTACCAGTGAGGAATGAAGGCGCAGAGAAGCTAAAGGATTGCCCTAGACCACTGGGCCAGGCAGCTGGTGCTCTCAGAGCCCTGGCTCTCCCCCATGGGGATCACAAGTGAGTCTGCTACAGAAAATTAGAATTTATGAAAACATGAACATTAAAAACCTAAAATTTCCATATTATAAAGATCAGAACAGCAGAATGAATTTGCACCAAATGTCATTCATACCCACCTCTTGTGAGAGATATCAATTTCTGAGATTGGCAGGTTCATTTTTTGACACAAAAACAGAAAATTCGTTGCAGTGATATTGTTGGCAACTATCTTGAATGTCTTCTCTAAAATTTTTTCTATGTTTCAATGTAAAAGAAAATTGAATCTGTCACTTTGGAGAAAGATACTCTATTTTGAGTTAATACATCTAGTTTTCTTACCTCTGACTATCAAATGTGTATGTGAAGTAAATTTGAACATGACAATGCAAATCTAAAATATAAACTGAAGTTTTAATTCTGTTCCATTTCTTCTAAAATCTGAAAAATTCTATAGCTTAGTAATATGTTTAAAAGGATACTATATGCAAACTCAAAGAGATTTCCAAACCTCTTCCTTAATTATTTCAAAACTTGTCACTCTGCCTCTGTCATTTACCATCTTAGGAACAGGCTCAGTGTCTGGCAAGGGAAGGAAGGGTGGATAACACTTCCTTCATGAGACTCAATACACAAGCCTCCATCTGACTTGATGGGAGTCCATTGCAAGAAAAGGCACCTGCTCTCCAAAACAGGAGATACACAATGGAGAGCTCGAGGGTAGAGAGATGAGGATTGTCCCAAGATTTCAGACAGAGTGGGCCCCAAACAAACATCAGTGTACAGGGTTTATAGACTTCCTGCCAGTCCAGGCAGGTCTTTCAGAACATCTGCATCTGGCAAGCAGATCAGAGCAAAGGAGGAAACCCAGGGACAGATTCTCTGAGTCTGGCTGTAACCAGGAAGACAAACCTATTGGAGGGCATCAAGGCCGAGCCCTTTACTTAGATTTGCCTGGTTTCAATGGTTCAGTCTGGAGCAGTGACATCTAACTTCTTATAATGTGTATGGCAAGGCAGCGGAAAATGGCTCAATTGCTGGGGGCCCTGCCATCCATGCAGGACTCCCTCATGGAGTCTGGGCTCCTAGCTTTGGAGTGGCCTGGCCCCAGTTGACCCGACTGCTGCTGCCACTGGGGAATGAATGGAAGACTCTCTCTCTCTCTCTCTCTCTCCCTCCCTCCATCCGTCCCTTTCTCTCTCTCTCACTCATGCATACATGCTCTTGTGCACACACTCTCATACTGTAATTCTACCTTGCAAATAAATAAATCTTTACACATACACACATATACACATACACAGTTCAACCTCAAGATAACTTCCCAACCTTCAGGAAAGGGGAGATAAGTATTTTATTGTCTCCTCCAGATTGAAAGTCTCAAATTAAAGCAAGCTTTTTTGGTTTACACCTGGAATATCACTTGTAAGATAGTCCATCGTGCAGCACGTACCATCTCTCTCATCTGCCCTCTGGAGGTAGCATGCAATGGTGTGCAGCTGCTTTCCATTACAGATTTCCATCGGAGGTCTCAGCAAAGGGTTATCATCAAAATTGATCTCCTTCAGTGAAGAAAGATTGCAGATAGCAGCAGGTAGAGCTGTTAGATTATTTCCTAATAGAAAAAATATTGTAATTGAATTACACCTTACTCAGAAGAATACTATGGAGACAAAGAACATTGCCCGTGTATGAAGTATCTATTATGTGTTGTTGGCAAAGTTCTAGAGCACCTTCACCATGCTGGCAAGTGCCAAGTGCTCACTGATACCTTGATGGACTGGAGCAATTCAGCCCCCAGGACCATCTAACGTCAACAGCTATTGGTCTAGCCCTGCCAATGTAACCACTGCCTCGGGACTTGAAATTCAATAAATCTGTAACAGGCTGTTTTTAAAGTTAATTTTGTATGACCTGTGAAGAATGTTAGCAATAGCCAGATGGAGAATTAAAAAAAAAAAAAAAAAACAGCATCCACTCCTCACCAATACCAGGCTACAGTGAAAAGGAAGTTTGAGTTCTTGATTTCTGAATTTTATTTTTTTAGAGTTTTTTTAAATGTATTAAGCAAATACTTTCTCCTAGTCTGCATTTCCATTCTCTTAAAGCTTTTGAAGGAACAAAAATTTCTCATTTTTAACAATCATATTTATTTATGGATTGCAATTTCCATTGCTGTATCTGATTTTTCCTAAGATTATAAATCTTGTATGTTTGTATCTATACATTTTATTTATTTTTTGGCAGAAACAGAGTACTCTCTGGGGACATTTGGTGAGTGAGCCTATGGATGACAGATTTCTCTGCCTCTCTATCTTTCAAATACATAAAAATACATTTTTAAAAATTAAAGAACAACCTCAATTATAATAAAAAATACTTAGGAATAAACTTAATCAAGAAGGTGAAGGATTATGAATTGAAACAATTCTTGGGAAAAAATAAAGACTTAGGTAACTGAAACACATCCTATACTCATGTACTGGAAACCTTGCTGTGGTCAATATGTCCAAACTACCCAAAGCAATCTACAGATGCAGTGCAATCCCCGTTAAAATCCAGAGCGATCCCCCATCTTTTTTTTTTTTTTTTAAGGAAATAACAACAAAAAAATCCTATAATTCACAAACTACAAAGACCTTCAAACAATGAAAATAATGTTGAGAGAAAAGAAAGAAAGTGGAAGATTCACATTTCCTGTCTTTAAGACATTACAAAGCCACAGTATCTAAAGCAGCATGTAACTGGGTTATCACCTCATTCAGTGCGGGAGCTGGATCTTACACTTTCTCTCATTCTTTCTTTTTTCTTTTCTTTTTTTTTTTTTTTTTGTACCTGGGGTAGTCATTTCCCCCAAGTGGACACTGAAAATGTCCACTGTTTGCTATGTTGTATTTTATCAGCAAAATCTGCAGCCAGACATTAATACTCAAACCATGGGTTATACTTACTGATCGTGACACTTACCACTCAGGTTTAGTTGCTGGAGATTATTTAAAGATAGAAACGATGGTGGAAGGTAGCTTATTTGATTATTTTGTGCATATAAGCTAACCAAACTTCTCAGTCCCCCCATATTGTTTGGAATCTCTCTGATTGCATTATTTGAGATATCAAGTTTTAGAAGCTGAGTCATATTAGGGAGCTCATCAGGGATTCTTGTTAACTGTAACAAAAATTAAACTTTTATGAATACATAAATATTTGTATGAATAAAATGTTTTTTAAAATTGCACAGGAGGTAATTCTATTTGTTACCTGGCTTAGAAAGGCAGGACTTCCTCTCCTAGCTGTAATACACATGACAGTGTGTTGCATTTCCAAATACCTCCTAATCTGACCCATGCTAGAATTCCACCCTGTGGCTGGCTAACTCTCTTCTTTCACTCTGTTCACATTCAGTTTCCTTGCCTCCTGTTCTTTCCTCGCCTCCCTAAAGCTGACTGCTCTGGTTTCTCCTTGAAATTGTAACCAATTACTCTACACTTCTGTTATCCTCACTGTTACTGCTCTTATTACCATTTTTCCTTTTTGGACTCTGTGTGTTTTCCTTGGATTTTAAGTGACTTTATAAGCATGTTTAAAGCTTTTTAGTGTTTGTGTTCTCAAGCATAATGCATTGTAAGTAAATACTCCATGATAGACTTGGGGCTGACATCGTGGCCCAGTGGGTTAAGCTGCTTGCAACATATGAATCCTCTGGGTTCAGTCCCAGCTTCTCCACTTCTCCACCTATCTTCTTGCTAGTGCCTTCTGGAAGACAAGAGGTGATGAGCTAATGGCTTAGGACCCTGCCGCTCCTGTGGGAATCCCTGATAGAATTCCTGACCCAACCTAGCCATCATGGGCTTGGGCACTTGAAGAATAAACCAGTAGGGCCCGGCGGCGTGGCCTAGCGGCTAAAGTCCTCTTCTTGAATGCGCCGGGATCCCATAAGGGCGCCGGTTCTAATCCCTGCAGCTCCACTTCCCTTCCAGCTCCCTGCTTGTGGCCTGGGAAGGCAGTCAAGGACGGCCCAAAGCTTTGGGTCCCTGCACCTGTGTGGGAGACCCGGAGGAAGTTCCTGGATCCTGGCTTTGGACCAGCTGTTGCGCTCACTTGGGGAGTGAATCATCGGATGGAAGATCTTCTGTCTCTCTGTCTCTCCTCCTCTCTATAAATCTGACTTTCCAATAAATAGATAAATCTTAAAAAAAAAAAAGAATAAACCAGTAAATGGTAGATCTCCCCACTTCAACCTGCAAGTGTGTATGTGTGTGTGTGTGTGTGAGTGAGTGAGAGGACTCCCCTTGCAAATAGATGAAAACAAACAAAGGGAAGATCTGTATGTCTCTCTGTCTCTTCATATGATGTGCTTTTCCAATAAAAATAAGTAAATCCTTTTTAAAAAAATAGTGGTGGTCACCAAATTTTTAATGTGGCCTCAAATAATTCCTAAAATGTGTTGCAAAATAGGGCATGGCACAGTTGTCTAGCAGCTAAAGTCCTCGTGTTGAACATGCTGGGATCCCAGTTCTAACCCTGTGTACTCCACTTCCCATCCAGTTCCCTCCTTGTGGCCTGGGAAAGCAGTAAAGGATGGCTCAAAGCCTTGGGACTTTGCACCTCTGTGGGAGACCTGGAGGAAGTTCCTGGTTCCTGGCTTTGGGTTGGTGCAGCTCCAGCTGTTGCGGCCACTTGGGGAGTGAATCATCAGATCGCTCTTCCTCTCTCTCTCCTCCTCTCTGTGTATCTGACTTTGCAATAAAAATAAATAAATGTTAAGAAAATGTATTGCAAAATAAAGTATATCCAGAGCTGGATATGGAAGCCAGGTGTTCCTATACAGGACAAAGGCATCTGGACCATAAAGCGAAGCACCTTGTCTCAAAAGATTTTCTTGAAGGGAGTTCTTGTAAATATGTTTTTCTATCTGCTAACCTTTGGAATAATGCTACACTGATGTGAACCAGGGCCTTTGACAAGCAATAGATATGCAGTGTGGATTCCTGAAAAGCAGGCAGCATGCAGTCCTCTGGGTGAGATCAGACAGCGGCCCACTGAAGTGGAGAAGTCTGAGTCCAGCCAGGTTCACTCAGAGGCCAGGAGAATGCGAGAGTGATGGAGACAGTAACAGAGGAAAATGAGTGAGATAATCCGGGAGCTTTTTCAGAGGGTAAATAAGACAATTTTGGTGTAAGTATTGGCATCAATGACAGAAAAGGAAAAAAACCATAATTTCATGATTTTTAGCCTTGTAGATTTGAATAAAGTTGGCATCACAAACAGAAATGAAGTTTTGAATGGAGTTAACACTAGAAAGAAAAAACAAATTGCTTCTGAGACAATAGAAAAAATAGGACAGAAGATTCTCCAGGGACAACTGGAAACTATGAGAGTAGGATACTTGGGCAAAATAATCTTGCATTATGCAACCTGGCAAATCATTTGTGATAGCAGGTATGGTGGGAGACACAAAGGCAGTATCAGAAATGAGAAAATTAAGTATATGATACTGGAGGTACTCACAGTTAAGACTGAGGAGTAGACAGTAACAGGATTATAAGGAATTAGCTGACAATTGCAGAATTAAAATGTGTTTCTTTAGCACAAAAGCAACTTTCTAAAAAAAAAATTTTTATTTGAAAGGGCATGTTACCAGAGAGAAAGAGAGACAGAAAGATCCTCCATCTGTTGGTTCAGTCCCCATATGGCCACATGGCCACATAGCCAAGGTTGGACAAGGAGTCTAGAAAAACAACTGGGTTTTCCACATGGGTGGCAAGCACCCAAGTACTCTGGCCGTCTTTCATTGCCTTCCCAGGGATGTAAGAAGGAAGCTGGAACTGGAAGTGGAACAGCTGAGACTCGAACCAGTGCTCATATGGGATGCTAACCTTATCCACTCCTGAAAAGATTTTTTTAAAACACAATTTGTATCATTAAACATCCCATCAACTTGTTTAAGTATTCTCTTGAAGCCTTTCTTGAAATGTATTATATGGCAGATGTTATACTTAAAGGGATAAATAAACTGCATGAAATTTGAAATAAGAGACAAACTGGTTTCCTTATTTCATATGTGTCAGAGCTTTAAATATACTGACACTGTTGGTGATTAAGACAACTTAAGTCTTCTCCAACTCATTTATCCCCAGGAACAGTCCCCTGCTCTTAAAACTTAGCTTATATTTTAAAGTTAAAGGTCATGAGAACAGAGTTTTAAGAAACACACTTTGGGAAATATTACTTTAGGTTAATAAAAATTAACATTAAAATGACAGATATTGCTACATAACAGCTGTGGTTCATTTCATTAATTTACTGAGAGCTTAACATAAATCAGTTTTAATTTTCAGAAAGTACTTCCATGAAATTCACTCTTTGAGAAAAAAGAAGTGTGAACATGTTAAAATGCTTATTCTTGTTCATCTATCAATTCTGGAAAATTTCTTCAGGAAATAGACAAACATGATTTATAAAGAACATCAGCCTAATCTTATTATAAAGAAAAATTCTAAATACTTAATAAAATGATTTGTAGTACAAATTTAATAGATTCACAACTAATGACACATTATAGTGTATCAAAGAGAAATGTTTGTGTTAAATGAAAATACGAGAATTCTTACAGGAGTGGGTGCTAAGGCACGGTAGGCTAAAGTTGTCTGCAGGTTGGCATCCCTCATGGGTTCTGGTTAGAATCTTAGCTCTTGCACTTCCTATCATGCTCCCACTAATGCACCTGAGTGAGCTGCGGAAGATGACCCAATTGCTGGAATTCCATCGACTCAGGTAGGAGACCTAGATGGAGTTCCAGACTCCTGGCTCTGACTTGGTCCAACCCCGGCCATTTGTGGCTGTTCAGGGAATGAACCAGTGGATGGAAGATAACTCCCTCAAGTTAAAGCACATGCAAGGGCTGAGATTCTGATCCCCATCCAATCCCTCCTTCCTTCCACAACTCCCAAATCGCAGTCTCTTACCTTTCTTCCTTTTGTCTGACTTATATTCAGCTCTTCCAGGGACTGAAGTTGACATAGTTCAATGGGAAAATGCACGAACTGATTGCTGGAAAGATTGAGTTTCTGGATTCCTTTTAAATTACAAATCTCAGAAGGGATTTTCTGTAATTGGTTTTCTGAAAAATCAAGTACTTGCAAATTTTCCAAAGTACACAATTCAATTGGAAAAGTTTCAAACTTATTTGAGTATAAAATAAGTACCTGGAGTGATACCATCCTGTATATAGATGGTGAAATTTTCCTTATTTGGTTTCTACCAAGATCTAAGTATCTAAGATGAATAAGAGAACATAAATGCTCAGAAAATACATGGAGTTTGTTTTGATTAAGTGCTAAATGAAGCAGTCGTTTACTGAAAGATATATCCACAGGTACTTCAGAAATATAATTTCCATTAAAACTCAAATAATAAAGAGACTCTAAAGCACACAGCCCTACCGGAAAATACATTATTTTATTATAGTCCAGTTCAACTCTAGTTATTTTTTTGCAGTTTTTTACTTCAATGGGAACATCTGTAATTATATTTCCTGAAAATTCCAGACTGCACATGTTACTAAGATGTGAGATATCTTCAGCTATTTTCACGATATTATTTTTGTTTACATGGAGTTTTCTTAAATTTTTAAGCTTATAGATGCTCTTAGGAAGTTCATTTAATCTGTTGTCACTAAGACTAAGGTATTCCAGCATTCCACAGGAAGAAATTTTCTCTGGTATACTTGTCAATAAATTCTTATCAAGTATCAGAATCCTAAGTTCCTTGAAATTCTCAATTTTGGGTGAAATAAGTTCCAGTTTATTGTCAGCCAATTGGAGTTCCTTTATTTTGATTAACTGAAAAATTTGCACTGCCAAAAAGGTAAGTTTATTGTGATCCAGAAAAAGCTTTTCTAGCTGTTTAAGTTCCCTGATTTCTTTTGGTAAACTGTCTATCAGGTTTCCAGCAAGATTTAGTGAAATTAAGTTTGGAAGGAAGCAGAGAGATTTAGGAAATATTGTTAGCTGATTACACTCCAGATTAAGAATCTTCAAGTTCTTCAGATTACACACGGTGTCTGATATTTGTCTCATCTTATTTCTGCCAAAATCTAGTATTTCCAAGTTTGCAAGACTGTCTAGGTCAGAAGGAAAAGTCTCGATGTGATTATTATTGAACAAGAGCTGCCTAATATTTCCAAGCTGTGATATTTCCTTAGGTATATGTGATATCTGGTTGTGACTGACGTTTAATATCCTTAAATTGTGAAGTAAGTGAATTTCAGATGGAAGCGATGACAATCCATTTTCTTGCAAAGATAGAATTTCAAGACCTCTCAGATCACCGGAGTCTGGCCCTTGACAAGTTCTGATTTGATTCTTATCTAAATACAGATATTTTACATACTTGATTTTTAAAATGTCCTTAGGGAATTCTTGCAGACCCTTTGCCTCAAGATTAACTGTGAAGTTATCAAACTCTAAGTCAAGGTCTTCCTGATTTTCCCCAGGGATTTGTGAGCCAGTTTCTCCAGCTACTTCACAAGGTGGGACGTCAGTGGAGACCTGAGAGTCTGCACTTGTTGAGAATGACGAGCTTGGTGACATGTCTGTTACCGACCAGGGGTTGTCATCTCCAGGGCTTGTGTCAGACACCTGATGCCCTGTGCTGTGATCTGCCTGTTCCTGAGGCTTGCTGCTAGGGAAAGATGTTGACTCAAGCGTATCCTTCCCAAGATCTGGTTCAGGACTGAGACTCGAGGCATCATTCAACAAGCTTGATGTTTCTTCAGGAAGCCCGGGCTCTCCCAGGGACTCTGATCTGGACCCTTTTCTGGACTGAGTGGAGCTGTCCTCAAGCTCTTCTGAAGTAGCCGCGTCCTCAGACATTGGATTTCCTGAGATGTTCTGCGCCAATTCAAGATCCGACCTTGATTTCACTTTTCATGGTTTTCTGCTTTGGAACCTACAAAATAAATGTTAATATTACAAGAAGAGATGCAGTAGTTGTTAGTACTACAATTGAATTGGAATGAAGTGGTTTTATTTTATAATGAGAAATTTAATAAATAGAAAAGCAATACAAAAAAAACATGGAGATGCAATAATTTCATGGTATTTTACATCAAGATTTACTAAGCAACTTTTGATTTATTCTTTTTTTCTTGTAATGAGAATGCAACAATCCATCATTTATTTTTTAAAAGTTTTATTTAATTTTACTGTAAATTCAGATATATAGAAAGGAGGAGAGACAGAGAGGAAGATCTTCCATCTGATGATTCACACCCCAAGTGTCCACAATGGCTAGAGCTGTGCCAAGCCGAAGCCAGGAGCCAGGAGCTTCTTCTGAGTCTCCCATGCAGGATCTCAGGGCTTACGGCCGTCCTCGACTGCTTTCCCAGGCCACAGCAGGGAGCTGGATGGGAAGCGGGGCTGCTGGGAATAGAAGCAGCGCCCATATGGGATTCCGGTTTGTGCAAAGTGAGAACTTTAGCTACTATGCTACTGCTCCAGGCCCAATGCAGCATTTATTAGCAGCGATTTGTTACAATTATTAAGGGATCTCTAAGACTCTTGGCTCATCCCACTGTTCATTACTAATTTTATTTACTTATTTATTCTGTCAAGGTTTTTTTCTTTCTTTTTTTAATTTTACTTTTTAAAATTATTATTATCATTTTATGATATAATTCCATAGACCCTGGGATTTCCCTTTATCCCTCCCCAAGCCCTTCCTCCCCACCCCCACCAACTGAGTTCTCATATATTATCACTATAGTATCGTTCTTCATAAACGGTTCTAAGTCCATCAATTGTAGGCATGGACAGTGGCATAGTATCCAGCATCCTATTGTAAAGATACAGGTAACAATTTCATTGGGAGTCCCTCATTGAACTGGAAGTAGAAATGCATAGTGTGTTGTATCCTCACATCTGGACATGACAGTCTCCATTACACAGTTACTATACATCCCCTTAAATGAAAAGGCACAAATCAACAACAGGAAGAAAAATACAAATTTATAAGCCACGAAGTTAAATAACATGCTACTGAATGATTAATGTGTCACTGAAGAAATGAAAAATAAAATCAAGAACCTTCTTGAAGAAGATGATACTACTTTATGATTGGTGAAGAATTTAACAAGAAATTGTTTTTGAAGAGATGAAAATTTTTAAAAAGTCAAAATCCATGTGATATAGTTTCCACTGATCCTTCTTGGTGAGATATTTCTCCTGTAGGCAATAAACAGATGGATTTTGGTTTTTTGATCCAGTCTACTAATCTATGACAATTGATCGATGAGTTTAAGCCATTTACATTCAGCATTAATATGAATGGGCTGTTATTTTACTGGGATGTTCTTTGCTCATTTGCCTTTGGTTTTAGTGGGCGCTATTCCTTTTCTGTCAAGAGAACATTTTTAAGTATCATTTGTATGGCAGGTTTGGAAGATGCATATTCTTTTAACTTTTCTTTACTATAGAAGAATTTTATTTCATTTTCAAAGACAAAGGAAAGCTTTGCTGGGTACGGTATTATGGGCTAACAATATCAGCATCTGGAATATGTCACTCCATTCTCTTCTGGCTTGTAAAGTTTCCTGTAAGAGGTCTCCTGTGAAATTTATTGGCATTCCTTTATATGTCAATTGATTTTTTCACATGCACATTTAAGGATCTTTTCCTTATGTTCAATTGAAGAGAGTTTTATTATCATGTGTCATGGTGAAGATCACTTTTGGTCAATCTTGTTGGGAGTACTGCCCCTCCTGAATGTTGTTTTTCAATTCTTTGTCTATATTAGGGAAAATTTTCCCTTATTATTTCATTAAATACATTTTTAAACGCAGTATCTGTTTCTGCACCTTCTGGGACTCCCACAATTCCTGTAGTTAGCCTTTTAGTAGTGTCTTTCAATTCTTGAATACTTTTTTTTTAGGTTGACACAGCTCTGCTTCCAGCTTTTTCTTTGTTTCCCTCTAGTGACAAGAAATATCTTCCAATTCTGAGATTCTTTCTTCTGCATCATTCATTCTATTTTGGAGACTCTCCACTGCACTTTCAATTTGCTTCACTGTATTCTTTATTTCTGATATATCAGCTTTCATTTGATTCATTTCCTGTGTGACATATTCCTTAATTCTTTGAACTCCTATATTAAGTGCTTCTCGTTGTTGATAAGAACCTATGTAACAAGTATTTTGAATTCTGTATCCCTTATTTTCTCAATGTATTTTTCAGTTAGCTCTGAGGTTTGCAAAGGGTTTTGCTTCTTTGCAGGGGAATCTTCAGTAATATTCACTGTACCTTTGTCTCCTCTTTTGCTCTTTGCTCCTCTTTTGTTGTTCCCACACAGTGTTTCGGTGATTTCCCCATGGGACAAACACTTGTTCCAGTTTCAGCTTCAGCAGAATTCAGAGTGCTCTGAGTGGGTTCCTTTTCAAATGCACTTATGCCTCTTAGGATAAGATCTCACTCAGGTATGTTCCAGTGTGTTAGTGTGAGCTTGGTTTCATGTAGCAATTGTTGAAATCCATGTGCCATTTTTCATAATATGTATCTTCCATGAATGATCTGAAGACCCCATGTATTAAGCTATAATGATTGCAGTGGTTCACAAATTCTCCCAGATAATAGAAAAAGAGGGCACATCCTCCAGTTTGCTTTTTCTTTTTTTAAGGGTTTGTTTATTTTTATTGGAAAGTCAGACTTACAGAGAGAAGGAGACAGAAAGATCTCCCATACACTGGTTCACTTCCCAAATGGCTGCAATGTTTGGAGGTGAGCTGATCTGAGGCCAGGAGCCAGAAGATTCTTTCAGGTCTCTTATGCAGGTGCAGGGTCCCAAGGCTTTGGGTTGTCCTCGATTGCTTTCCCAGGCCACAAGCAGGGAGCTGGAAGGGAAGTGGAGCAGCTGGAACATGAGCCAGAACACAAACCGGCACCCTTCTGGGATCTGAGTGCATGCAAAGCGAGGACTTTAGCCACTAGGTTATCGCGCTGGGCCCTCTCCAATTTGCTTTTATAGAGCTAGCCTCTAACCTTGGTATCTGTAACTAATGAGAGTATGAAAAAGAAAATTGCAGATCAGTTTTACTTACAATTACAAATACAGGGGCTGATGCTGTGATACAGTAGGTTAAGCTACTGCCTGTGATGCCAGCATCCCACAAGAGCACTAGTACTAGTTCCAGCTGCTCCACTTCCGATTCAACTCTGTTGATGCTCCTAGGAGAGTGACAGAAGATGATTCACGTGCTTCGGTCCCTGCACCCACATGGGAGACCTGGCTTAGGCTTGGTCCAGCGGTGGCCACTATGCTCATCGGGGACATTAATCAGTGGATGGAAGATTGCTCTTTGTCTGTCTACTTCCACCCCCTTTGTAACTTTGCCTTGCAAATAAACCATACAAAAAATTCTAAACAGTAGAAAACTATTCTAAATACTATAAAGCCATGAATAGAAAGGATATTATTTAATGAATAAATTTCATTTGTTTTAGAAATTCATGGATGAACTTTAATGACAGAAAGTTAAAAGGGCCGGCACTGTGACAATAGCAGGTCCTTAGGCCCTGCAACCATGTGGGAGACCTGGAAGAAGCTTCAGGCTTCGAACCTGGGCCAACTCTGACTAGTGTGGTCACTTGGGGAGTGATCCAGCAGATGGAAGATTTTTGTCTCTCCTTCTTTCTGTAAATTTGCCTTTCCAAAGAAAACAAATCTTAAAGAAAAAGAAGAAGAAGAAGAGGATGGCTCAAGTGTCAGGCCTCTGCTGCCTTCCTGGGAGACCTGGCTCCTAGCTTCAAACAGCTCAGCTCCAGCCATTGTGGCTATTTGGAGAGAGAACCAGTGGATGCCAGATTTCTGTCGCTCATTCTTTCTCTGTAACGCTGCCTTTCAAAGAAATAGTTCTGTTTTTAAAAAGTGGCTTTTCGAAACAAAGAAAATAAAGAGTTAGGGAAGAGAAAAGAAAAAGACAGAACTGAGGCTCCCGAATGGCCAGCAGCCATGGTACATAGGGTACTGGACTGCAGGCTGAGCTCGACATTCTGCAGCTGCTGGCTCCGTGCCCTTAGCTTCAGAGCTCAGGGTTTGGTCAGCCTGACACACACACGGCTGTGATCCGGTGGCTTGCCACCAAGATGCTGTGTCCGGTGCAGTAGTAGAGCACACGCTGGGTCTGACACTAGGTGTGCTGCTCAGGTTCGGCTGTGTGCCCAACACGGAACCTGAAGCCAGCTGAGCCAGATACTTGCAGGCTGCAAATTGCGCCGCTGAAGAATGTGTCACCAATTTTTTAACCATTCAAATGGGAGTACTTTACACTCTGGCTACATAACATTCCCAAGTAGTACTGTGCGAGTCTCACTTAAAATATCACATCTTAACTCACTAAGGCAAACACGGAGCCAACTATTAGAACAATTGAAGGAATTGAGGTACCTTGTGAGCTCGAGGGAACCACAACTTTTCCTACTGCGCAGTTAATCAACAAATAGTTTCCTATAGTGGGGAAAAGGCTATTCCACAGAGGCTGGGGCAGCCAGGGACAAAGCTGCAGCAGTGCAGGGCATCCAGGAGGAAGGGGCGCACCTTGGCTAGCAGGGGTACCAAGCCTCACCTGGGGCCGCTGCGGCGCCGTCCAGGACCGGCAGGGGGCGTGCTCGGCGGAGTGTGGAGATGGCAGGGATGACGCCGACCCAGGCCCCTAGGCTCTGGTCTCCAGGCTGGCAGGGTTCAGGTCCTCGGACTGCCGCGCCCGCAGCGCGTTTATGAGCTGGCCATCGGTCACACTGGGACAGCTGAGGGGCCGTCCTGGCCTTGCTGCCGGGCTTGAGCCTGCGCTCACGGCTGGGGCCCTAGCTGTTTCCAGGCGTGATTGCAGCTCAGCCGTCGGCGAG